AGGCCAAGCCGGTGAATCGCCTCTTGAATCCTTCCTCGACGGAACATGACCGACCAAGCGCGTGTCGTCACTGCTGAGACGGAGACCAAGAAACAGTCAAACACCACGGCGACAAACGACGACGCGTCGCCCGTCCGTCGAGACATCTAGAAAGAGCCTACTTCGTGCCAGGATGCCTTGACTCTACGGCACTTCCTGGCTTGCGTACTGCGTTTCCATTCATCTTGCAATTCGATGCATCATCAGCCGAGACGGCGATGAATGGATGATCCGAACGACACCGTCTTGCCCCTTGGTCTGTGGCCGTATCGTCTCCTCCTCATGGATCTTGGCAGGCTGTGCAGAAGGACTAACCCTGCAATCAGTTGCAGACACTACCCGTGGGCCCTATCTGCTGTGTGGCGCCCCCAAGGCCTTTTTTTCGGATATTGCTGGATTCGAAACCAAAAACGGACCTCGGATGTTGGACCACGGTTACACAGCCCGTACTCGCTGCCTACACTGCCGGAGATGCGTCGGTGCCATCCATGAAGAAGGATATCAAAAACGAACGTGCCGCCGATTGTCATCTCGCCTGTTGAAGCATCCAGGGCCGATATACGCGCATCCATGCACGGCGTGCAATTTAATCGGCTCATGGCCCGCGATCAATCCCCAGGATATCGTCACGCCAGACGATATAGATAGATCGCCTCGTATCTCCTCATCTTGTTGGCCTGGCATCTCAGCTCCTGGAGCCACCATCCGTGCACTTCCTGGGCCGGTTTGGCATCGGCGCGCCATCCCCCTCCTCCAACCCCAGGCGTCCCCTCATTTCATCAAAACAGCCATCGGCGCAGCTATCAAAGGCCTGTCTCAACCGTCCACTAATACCAGTGCCAATGTCAACCCAGACGCCGACGCCAACGCGACGCCATTTCTCGCGACAGCGGGAGCAAGAGACACGGGGTTCCTATTCGGGCAGCTGGCCAACACTGGAATATCCACCAGTCGCACGAAGTTGTCCTGCCATTTCGCCGTCCCGCCATCTGCGTCTCACCATGCACGTCAAGAAAGAAGGGCAGGGCAGACCGACGCACATAAGCTTCCGTACCTCGAATCCGAGACGGATGGCGCCTTTGAGCGCGTTGCCTTGTACCCTCATCATCGGGTCTTCTCGTCCGCGACCACTAGCAACGAGCGCGAATTATCCCGCGCTGCTAGCCATACCGTACGGAACTGCATCCAATCGCCATGCCCTCCTGCTCATGGAATATGGCCCGAAAGCCCATTCAAGCGGCTTTGCTATTGACGCGCCTCCATTGGGCTGTCTGCCTGGCCTGGTCGGGCTTACTTTTCCCAAGCTGAGCCTTGCAGCTCTGTACATCTCGTTCCTGTCACTCGCGTGTAACGCCATCTCAAGCCCGACATGTGTGATCTGAATTAAACTTCCCGACCTCGTCTTCGCGTTGGGCGTGGATGCGGGATGTAGTACGACAAAGTACGACGAGTGAGGACCCAGAAGCTGCATCACATTTATCCTGGCGCATGACTTTCGCCCACGTTCTCCCACGTTAGCCACCTCTTTGATCTTGTTGGCCTCATCGGACACCCTAAATTGCAAGAACCCCCCCCCTCTATCTTCATGGCTCGACTCGTCGCATACACTCGGTGGCACGCTGCCATGTTGTCAGACGTTGGCATGCAAGATTCAATCACCGTTTCTCCAACCCGTACAACAGGTGTATGGCTAACCGCCATCTTGTTTACACGACTTCCCCCCATGACTTTACGGTGGCCTCCTGTCCAATTCGGTCACGGGCGAGCATCGCGACAATGTCACGGCGTGCTCACCTGGACCAGCTAACGGACCGGCGAGCCAAACCCTCGTGACTCTCCCACGGTCACCCGCTTCCCACCCACCATCTCCGCAGCCGTATCTTGCGCCAGTACGGAGCCAAGATCAAGATACCGAAAACCTCGCGGCGCGATCCTCTGTTAGTTCGGCCTCTCGAACCGGCGGACGTAGAGCCCACAAGGCTTCCGTCAGCGGCATCCCGACTTTTTGACTAGCAAATAAGCGCATATCCCTCCTTTACCTAGACCAAATGGCGGGATGAGCACACACGCCTAATCATGCCAGGTATCCATCCGTACAGAAGCTCGCTTGTGGCTGATGCTTACCCGGAGGATAGTCCACTGCACCACATTGTGCATCCTGCCCCCCTCAAGGGATACCGGGGCACAGGGGGAATTCTGTACATCAGGGTCCTTTGTGGCCGGGCGATCGTTGGGACCCCGCGTCGAGGAGGGGGGTGCCGAGGGCGACGGGAGGATGCAAACTTGCAGCGAACCTCTGGAGAACGATAACCCGTCAGACCGTAATGGAGGGGGGCGTGCTCGGTGTGCTTCGGCGCCATTTCACCGCCTGGTCCGCGTCTGCCCGATCTCCCAAGAGCCCGCTAACCGTCGTAGGCATCTGTCCCACTCCTCCATCCGTTGCAAGCTCCGTTTGACACGCCGCGAACCGAACACCGTATGTTGGGCCAATCTAGATACAGGTGCCGGAGGCTCCTGCCGGACCTGACTCGACTGTTCGAGCACGTCCAGAAGATCGTCTCAAGTCACCGAATTCCATGCGACACTGAGGATACGTACAACGACCGACTTAAGCATTACCTGACAAGCACCGACTCAGTTGCTCACCTTGCACCACCCCGTATGAAACGGGCTGAATCAGTTTCCACGGGATCATCAAAAGCCCGCGACTCGACTCGACACCGTGTGGTCATGTACAATCTGTCTGTCGCGCACAGAGCAGTACGTTTTCCGGCAACATGGAAAACTTTACGGATGCCACGTTTGGGTATCCTTTCACTTATCTTTTGTCTTCGGACCAAGGCCGGCAACGTTCTTGGCGTTTCTTTGCGCCGTCACACGGAGCAAAGCACGGCGTTTCTAGAATTGACGTGATTGAGCCGTTGTGACTGGTGTCTCGCCCGTGTCCCTTGGCACCCCGCAGAAAACCTAGAATCCTCAAGGAAGCATTCGAATCCTCGGCCATGGGCCGCTTGTCCGGTTGTTGTATCTCCAGGGTTGGCTCTGCCAACTTGTTGAAATCAAGTATCGACGACGGTACCGCTTTTTGTGACGGGCCGCGCCTGACGACGCACACAAGACCGTCGGCAAGGACCAACCAGATGAGATGTGCCTGTCGAGCGGATGCCACATGCCAAACCCACCAACGGATTCTAGATCTCGATTGCGGCTTATCGCCAGGCATCACCTGAAGAGTTGCCTCGACCAATCCTCGGTGAAGGTGCGGGGATCAAGGGTTCCAGATGGGGCAGCGATGGTCACGAGGATAGAGCCTCGCTGGCACGCAGACAGGCGACAGGCTGACCACGGTCAAGCTGGAGAGCAGTAGACTGTACTACGGCACCGAACAATTGGTCGAGGTTGACTTTGCAGTTGTGGCACGCTCGCATGACAGGCGCCTAGCCGGGCCACAACGCCATCTTATTGGTCGATGATTCCGGATCAGATTTCGTCTGCCTGAAAGGTCTGGTACGTTTGATGCCCATTGTACTAAAACATTTGTATTGGGGGGTTATGCATGTCTCCCGCCGGCGGGCAATTGCGACCTCCGGGCCTTTACGGCGACTGATTCGAAGGACGTTGCTTCCGGAAGTTGTGCGGTTTCGGACGTATTGCTCGCGTCGGCCGCGGTGACGGCGATCCCACACGCTTCGAGGGAAAACTCTCCGCAAGTACCACAAGAGATCTACATTGCGCCGACGGAAACACGAAGCACTGGCGGCTCCGCTCACTGGTTGAGTTGTAGTGCATTGCACATCAGCGTTGTATCGGTATAGCAAATGGCGGCGGCGGCGGCGGCCAACATGTGGAAACGCGATTTTGACAGCCCGGAGAACATTTGCGATACAGCGGAGAAGCTCCGTCTAACGAATGATAGACCAGCAGCGGAGTGCGCGAGCTGTTCTCGCATGTAGTGATGATAGAAGGCGATGCGACGCGGCAAACATATGGCACCGTCCCGGACCGTCGAGTTTGAGTCCGAGTCAACAATCCAACCGTGGGAAACGGATAATCATCAGGTCAGCTTCCAAGGACTTGGAGTAATTCGCGGCACAAAGACGGTGAGCCGTGGCAAAGGCTCCGAATGGCGGGTTCGCCATGGGATGAATCGCGAGATTGAGACGCGGCGCGAGGCCCGGCGTCGTGGCCATGACGTCAACGCCAGTGGAGGGGGTTCTTCTTCATCCTAGAGTCGTTTCTGCAATCCCTGGGTCCTTGGGCGCTCTCGGGAGGGTCCAACCCCGCACGCTGTGCTGCCAGCAGGCCCTGTCTAGGACCGGGGGTAAGAGTTCAAACAAGGACAGTGACGGCATCGTGTCCCGCTTCGGGAGCGACATTCTCAGGGGGGTTCTGTTTGACAGTACCACGGCAGAGAAGAGTTCAGCAGAAAAGATTGTCATTGCGTATGTACTCTTCGAGGCGGCGTCGCTGGGCAGGGCGGGCGATGACATCAGTGCAGAGAATAATGGTTTCCACTGACAATGCCTACCCGCAATACCTCATGCACCACCGTGGGGGGGGGGGTTGGACAAGGGCTGAACGTGTCAGTTGAATGCAGCGGGAGGCAAGGAATCCGGAAGTCTGGGAGAGCTTAACGGTCTCAGGGCCCCGACGTCGCTGAACGATAGCGTTTTAGGCTTCCTAGTAACAACTGCCCTACGTAAAGCACTCTAAATCAAGGTACTAACCGGGCTGCGGCGCAGGGGTTGCTAGGCAAAATGTCTTTGATGTGCTGCCGTGTGGTTGCGGACGAGCTTCCTTTGGTGAGAATGACGCTGCTGAGTGTTGAACCTCCAACGTCACCAACGACGATCTCTTTGAGTCCCTTATTCGTGCGGCACTGCAGAACGCAACTTCCACCTCGGTAGGAGGATCACCTCCTTTTATTGATTTAACTTTTTCATATTAAAATTTTTAAAACTTTAGTACCCAAGGATTCCACGGCCGGACTCATCATCGCCTAGAGCGGCGGCGTGCTGGAGGATTCCAAGACCGCCGGACGCTATGTTGCGTCGCGTGATGCTTACAGGCAGGGCGGTGTTGCTGGTGCTGATGTAATCGGAGGCGTCTCCGGCCGAGCATGGCCCCTCGAAACTAGACATTAGACATTGACGAAGATTGGGCAGCCCTGCGCCGTCGAAAGCTTTTGAACCGTGGCTGCGGCTGCGCGGATCTTAGGGAACAGTGACTGGATCGCAAAGCCCCATTGGAGAAAAGAACACGCAATAAACTTTCGCGTCCTTGCTCTGCAGAGGACCGGGACAAGGCTGGAGGCCTCGGACCTCTTGCTCCGGCCGGCCTTCTGCACGACCGCGCCCTTTCCGGTTCGCTTTGCAAAGAAAAACCAGCAAGCAGGTGGAAAAGCAAGTACATAGTAAACGGGGGCAGGCCGTGCTGTTTTGCCGTCCCGTCGCTGCTGCGTTGAAACGCCGCCAGAAGCTTCGGTGGGGGAATTTGTGCCGGAATCTAATCGGAAACAAGAGATCGAGAAGGATTTCTTATCACGGCAATGCCTTTGTGCGGCGCGAAACGGAATTATCAAACGGTTCAGCGGGGAGGGTGTGAAGTGTTGCGCGGGATGCGAGGCGGATGACAGGACGACAGGTTGCCAAGAAAAAGCAGGAAGCAGAGACCGAAAGAAAGAAAATAAGAAAAGGCCGAGCATGGGTTCGTTTCCTTGATTTTCCTTCTTCCATCTTCTTTCCCCCCGTCACCCCCCTCTCGAATTCGGCATGTTCGGCCGGGGAGTGTTTATGCAACTTTTGTCCCTACCCTGGTAGCGACCGGCCAACGATCGGGCGGATCGGGAGAATCGGGCGCCATCGGACGGGATTAAGAGAGGGGCGCGGCGGGCGGAGAAGTGGGGTTTGCGGGCCCCGTCATGCCCCCGTCGGCACCTTCGGTGGCACCTTGAGGAACTTTGTTCGCATTCGAAGTTTGGGAGCCTCGGTCTCCTTTTCAGCACGACGACTGGGTCGCGATTTTCTAGAATTGTCTCCCTTGGCCTCTGAAGCTGTCATGGACGAGCGCAACGACTTTCTGTTTTTATCGACGTGCCCGGCCTGCGCACCTGCGGGTTGTGGGGAAGAGGGGTCGGATGTCCGGTGCTCGGGCTGCGCTGATGCCAGAGGAGGGGCCATGTCACGGTTTTGCTTCGGGAGGAACACCAGCCGCGAGTCTTATTTTGGCTGCGCTGCGAAGCACGGCGGGCTGGAGGGAGGTGACGATCACGAAGGGACGAACTCTGTGGACAGTTTGGGCCTGTGCCGTTCGGCCTCCCCAACTAGGGGCGGTGCGGTTTCGGTTGGGGGGTTGAGAGGTGAGCTCGGGGACCTGCTCGAGGCTGCGTCGAGCGCTGGTCCGCATCGGTTACGGGTGGGAATGTCCGAGTTGACGCTGCCGGGGCGAGCTGGGGATGGGAAAAACGGTTCCCATGGCATGGCCTTTTGACAACGTGACAACGTGGGAGAGAGGGGTGAGCTCAGAAGGTTGACCGATGACATTGCCATGGTTGAATGTCGATGGCAAACCCCCCGACTTTGAAATATGGCATTTCGACGCCTCCCCTCCACCGAGAAGGGCTGGGTTTTGGATCTGTTCACGTTGCAGAACCCTCGACGGCTCAAGACACAGGTGCACGGGGGACGAAACGTTGGGAAACGTGGCTTGCTTGGAATTCGTAGATGACTGTGACTCTGAACGCCGTACCTGATCAATGTGGCTTGCCATGACCTCGCGCCGTGCAGAGATGACTACAAAGGAAATTGCCGCTCATGGACCCCAAGTCCCATGAGAGGATATGTGCCGGATGAGTATCTACTCCTTCTTCTCCTTGCCGTCGTCCTTGGACTCGGACTCGGAATCCGACTTGGACTCGTCCTTCTCCTCCTCATCTCCCTCCGTCTCTTTGTCTTTCTTGTCCTCTTTCTTGTCAGCACCCTTCTCTTCCTTCTTGTCCTTGCCCTTGGACTCGCCCTTCTTGGCGCTCTTCTTCTCCTCCTCCTTGCGCTTTTTCTCCTCGGCCTTCTTCTTCTTCTCTTCTTCCTCCTTCTCCTTCCTCACACGCTTCTTCTCTTCCTCCTCGAGCTTCTCCCAGTCCTGGGACTCGTCGCTCTTGCCCTTGTGCATGCTCTCGGCCAGGCCTTCACCGATGTGGGGCTGTGCGTTGCCAATCTTGCTACGGCCGACCAGGCTGACAAAGATAGAGGCGCCGACAATCGCCGTCAGGACGAAGCGGTACACTCCGTACCACTGGGGAGTCCAGCCCTTGTTCTTGGCGCGAGTGTCTGCGAGGTACAGGAAGGTGAAGGCAGCGAACTGCGAGGTGAGGGCGTATTCAATGGGCATGAGAAGCGAGGGCCAGGCCACCATGGGCGCGAGCACTCCCATCCCGTAGCGAAAAGGCGTCCGGCGGGGGTGCGGTGTCTTCTCGGTATACTCCATTCCCTGTGGTAGCATGTCGTCAGTAATGTGGCTCGGCTGGCAGCGATGGGCGAGTTTCTCATCTTACCCAGTGGACGGCTCCGAGGAATGAGATGATGATCGCGCCGTATCCGAGTTGGATGGGCTCGAGCAGGTTCAGCCAGTACTGTGCCGACTCATGGTTCATGTAAATGTGGTTTGCAAAGGCCGACGTTGAGGGCCATTCGACGTTGAGATCCCAGCTGAGGTAGACTGTGCTCAGTGATGTCGCAAGGTAGGGAAGAGTCCCGGCAAGGCCGAGCGCGTAGGGTTCCCTGGGAACCTCGCTGAGGTTGAACGTGTCCTTGACAATGTTCTGCCGGCACTTGGTTAGCGAGTCTTGAGTATGACGGCCAAGAGACGGAGACCTTACCACTTCCTTCTTCAAACCTCCCGTGAGGTTCTCGTCATTCTCGGGGTTCGCTGGCGCAGGCTCCCAGAAGCGTCTCGTAGATGACTCGGTGGAAACCTCTTCCGGGCGCGCCTCGAGCTTCTTCTTGGCGATCTCCTTCTCGGCTTTCTTGTCGATCTTATCGTAGGGAGAGTTTGTGTATCGTGCTTGGAGAGACAAGGGAGTTAGGCGAGTAGCCTGGAGGGCTAACGAGGGCTTCCTGGAGCCCTGCAGGGCACCAGGTGAAGCTCTCGTCGAGAACGACGTCGCGGGGACTGTCGTGGGAGCTGCCGCCGAACGCGGAGCAAGGCGCAGAAGTTGTCGCGAGTTGCGAAGCATCGTGAAGCTGTCTGGCGGGTGTTGGCGGAGTGGAGATGTTCTGACGTAGTCAATCGGGAGCTGCGGTGTCAATTGTGCTCTCAGGCTTGTTCCAGCGTCGCACAGTAGTCCTAGGAGTACCTTGGAGATTGTTGTTCAAGCTTTGGGTTGATTTTGCAGCTATGAGAGTTGGGCCAAGTGCTGAGAGGCTTGGGATTTATTTGCGTCTCAGAAGGGCTGCAGATTGCCTCGAATTGATGTCAAGCAATGAGGAGCCAAAACCAGGTGGGTTAACAAAGCAAGGCACGCATTACGCAGCACACAATACGCAGCATCCTTTCTATCCTCCTCCTCTCGTCCACTAACATCGAGGCAAGGCCAACGCCATCGAGGTGCTGGAGCTGCAGCTGCCGGCTAGTGACGTAGTTGTGGAGACCTCTTCCCATGTCCACGCCCGGGCCAGACACTTCGTATTGGACGAACCAACTCTGAAAGTGGGGTGGTGCTAGAGAAAGATGGCCCAAGCTTCTCCCGTCCGTGCCGTTGCCGACGTTCACGCGACAGAGGGTTGGTTCAAGGCATGGTACGATGGACGAGAGGAGCATCTTGATAATGGCCACTAAATACGAAAGCGAGCTTTCCTACGCATGTAGAAAGCTTCAAAGCCTCTGATCTGCATTCCACGGAGATTTGAAAGATTTCATGGTAATTATACAGGTGCAAGCTCCTCAGAACACATTCGAGTGTCCTACTCTCCCTTGAAGACTGAATTTGACAAGGTACGTACTCAAGAGACTAACCGCTTCGGGTCGTGATGTAGGTAGACCCACCCCTTCCGTGGCTCGAAGCGGCCAGCAGCCACAGCCTGAACCGAGCTGTCGACCTGTTTTTGGCACTTTGGCACCACGACAGCTGCGGGGGAGGAAATGGACCATCAGGCAGCGTCATCATGCACAAATCAGTCCCATCCAGCCCAGAGTTCCAGACCAAACCCCCCCAACACCAACCCTGACGACCCAAGTACCAAGCATAACGTCGACTGCTTATGATCGAGTGTGCAACCTGTCAATCCCTTAGTTGATTCTCTAGATTGACTTGCCTTCCCATACTGCACGACTTGGCGTATCGACAGCCAGTTCCCCTACGATTGCTACTTTCGGAGCCACGGCAGACGCCACACACCTTTCGTATTCCCGATCAATCTCAACTCTCAACACCGCCAGATACCCATTGCCAGGTTTTTTTTTAACGACGATCCCGACACGACTGAGTACCCACGAACTCCATCTCTCACCTCAATCTCGACCTCGCGCCACGCCCACTTTGATGACGGCAGTGCCCCTCCGCCAACATTTCCGACCCCCGCGCGCGTGGTGATCGAGCTTCCCGACTGCCCCCAGTCTCCTCCCTGCCCCATGCTTCGAGCCGCTCATACACGATAGAACCTCAACACCGAGTCTCCCTCGCCAGGGTAACGGCACCATACAGACAAGATGTTGGAGGGACTCGTTGCCGGCCTGCTCAACAGGTTCCTGGGCATGTACGTCAAGAACTTTGACCCCGCACAGCTCAAGGTTGGGATCTGGTCTGGCGATGTCAAGCTACGGAACCTCGAGCTTCGGCGGGAAGCCCTCGACCAGCTGAAGCTGCCCATCAACGTGATGGAAGGCCACCTCGGCGAGCTCACTCTCATCATCCCGTGGTCCAACTTGCGCGGCGCACCCGTCAAGGTCTTTATCGAAGATGTCTTCCTGCTGGCCTCGCCCAGGGAGGAAGCCGCCTACGACGAAGAAGAGGAGGAGCGCAGGAAACAACGCATAAAGATGGAGAAGCTCGACTCGGCCGAGCTGCTCAAGGAGAGGTCTCAAGAAGGCATGAGCCAAGAGGAGCAGAAGAAGAGCCAGAGCTTCACTCAGAGCCTGGTCACCAAGATCGTCGACAACCTGCAGGTCACGATCAAGAACATTCACGTCAGATATGAGGACGCCATCTCCGCGCCTGGCCATCCCTTTGCCCTCGGCGTGACACTCGAGGAGTTCAGCGCCATCAGCACCGACGGCCAGTGGAAGCCCACCTTTATCCAGGATTCCGCGAAGAGCACCCACAAGCTCGCAACCCTTGGCGCGCTCGCTGTCTACTGGAACACGGACACAGAGCTGCTGGGTCCCGGACGAGAGGTCGACACAGGCGGAAAGCCTCCCATGCCACATGACGAGATGGTTGACAAGTTCAAGAGTTTGATCGGGTCAACCGAAGACACAGAGCTCAATCACCAGTTCATTCTGCGCCCCGTCAATGGAAAGGCAAAGATTGTCCTCGACAAGACCGGAGACGTTCATATCCCGAAAGCCAAGGCGAGCTTGCTATTCGAAGAAATCGGCCTGGTCATTGATGACGACCAATACCGCGACGGCCTAATGATGGTGGATCTTTTCCACTACTTCATCCGCCACCAAGAATACAAGAAGTTCCAGCCCAAGGGAGTCACGCCCAAGGAAGACCCGAGAGCCTGGCTCAAATTTGCCGGCGAAGCTGTGCTCAGCAAGATACACGAGAGAAACCGCAGATGGTCCTGGGACTACTTCCGAGAACGGCGTGACGATCGCAAACGCTACATTGAACTCTTCAAGAAGCGGAAACAACAGCAGCAGCTCAATGCCCAAGAAAGCGAAGAACTCAATAAGCTCGAGTTCAAGCTCGACTACGAGGACCTGCGGTTCTGGCGGTCTCTGGCCCGTAACCAACTGAAGAAGGAGAACGCTGCTGCCCTCAAGAACCAGCCTCCCAAACAGGAGCAGCAAGGTTGGCTGGCATGGGCTTGGGGCAGCGGCCAGAAACAGCAGGAACAGCATGCAGAGGACGACGAAAATACGCAGATCACCGAAGAGCAGCGCAAAGAGCTGTACGATGCCATCGAGTTTGACGAAAAGACAGCGTTGGCCGAATCAGTGGACATCCCCCGAGACTCGATTAAGATGCAGGTCGAGGCATGGTTGAGCACCGGAAGCTTCACGTTGAAGAAAAGCCATAACGGCAAGCGCAGCGACCTTCTCAGTCTTCATTTTGATGTTTTTAAAGCCAAGGTTCTACAGCGCCCCGATTCCTTCCTCGCCGATCTCAGTCTCGGTGGTCTTCGTGTCAACGATGGAACAACGCCCGATACATTGTTCCCTGAAATCGTCAGGGTCAAGGATGCCCCTGATACCCACGACCAGAAGCGACTCACCATTGAGGAACTCGAGGAAAACGACGACGAGCCCTTCTTTCGTTTTGAGGTTGAGCAGAACCCCATTGATCGTGAAGGAGACATCGCCCTTAGCGGATCGCTCAAGCCCCTGGAGATCGTGTGGAACCCGAACTTCGTGGTTGGCGTTGCAGACTTCTTCCGTCCACCAGAAAGACACATGGAATCCATCACAGCGCTGATGGAGACTGCCGGTGCTACTGTAGAGACGTTCAGAGAACAGACTCGCGCTGGTCTTGAGTTTGCACTCGAGGAACACAAAACCATCAATGCCCAGCTCGACTTGCAGGCTCCGCTCATTATCGTGCCAGTCAGCATTGCCGTCAGGGACTCCACCTGCTTGATTCTGGACGCCGGCCATATCAGTGTTAACAGCGAGCTGGTTGACCAGGACACAATGAAACAGATCCAGTCCAAGCAACGACAATCGTACACGGACGAGGACTTCAAGCGTCTCGAGTCTGTCATGTATGACAAGTTCTTGGTGAAGCTTTCCTCTACACAGGTGTTGATAGGCCCATCCATCGACGTGACGAAAGCTCAGCTTTCGAAGAAGGATAATACGCAACATCTACACGTTGTGGAAGAAATCAACGTTGACTTCGTCGTCGAAACTTCCATCCTCCCCAAAGCCCCGAACCTGACGAAGCTCAAAGTCTCCGGCCATCTTCCCATGCTCCATGCTACCGTCTCAGATTCAAAGTACAAGAACCTGATGCGAATCATCGATGTCGCCATTCCCAAATTTGGTCAGGGTGAACAACAGGAACAGATCAAAGACTCCCAAGGACAGCCAGTGACAACTCGTCCGCGTGGCTTGAGTACCGCCTCGAGTCGGTCGCGGTCACGCAAGGAACCCAGTCGTCGCAAATCGTCACAGTTCCCATTCATGCAGTCGCAGACCGCCATTGTCATCGACGACGACGATGATGACCACGACGAGTTCGAGGACGCCGACGGCGGTAGGGACAACAAGGAACAGCTCAAGTTACAGCAGCGTTCTTTCGAGCTTAAATTTAAGGTGGATACTCTCAAGGGATCTCTGTACCGAAGCGACCCAGACAAGAAGAAGCCCGATCAGTTGCTCGTTGAATTGGTTGCAGAAAACTTTGACCTTCTCTTCTACCTGCGCCCATACGACATGAACGCCGAGGTTTCGCTGGGCTCCGTCACGATGGATGACTTTGTCGACAACCCTTCAGCAGATTTCAAATCAATTGTGTCGTCTGGAGACGTCGAGGATCGCGAGCAGAATCGCAGCCTTGTCAGTGTCAAGTTCACCCGGGTCAACCGCTTGTCGCCAGAGTTTATGCCAGTGTATGAGGGCGTGGAGACAAACGTTACCGCTGCAATTTCCACAATCAACCTTATTGTGACTAGAAAGACACTTCTCACGCTTTTGGATTTTATCCTAGCAACTTTCACTGGAAATAACAACGAAGCAGCAACACCGCAGGAACAGAAGGCCATTTCGGACTCGGACGACGACGACGAAGAAGTCGAGATAGCAGTCGATGCCCCGCCAGAAGACGCTCCAGCAAACACAGGCTCCATCAGAGTCAAGGTGGACTTGAAGAGTATCCGGATGATCCTGAATAACGATGGGATCCGCCTGGCTACCCTGTCATTCAATCATGCTGACGTCGGAGTTTTCCTTTTGGGCAAAACCATGCGTGTGAATGCAAAGTTGGGCAATCTCAACCTAGTCGACGACATCAACCAGGGCGTCTCGGAGGAGTCCAATCTGAGGCAACTCATTTCCATCCAAGGCGACGAGCTTGCCGACTTCCGTTACGAGACGTTCGATGCGACCAACAAAAAGGCGTATCCCGGATACGATTCCTCAGTCTATTTGAGGGCTGGCTCCGTCAAGCTTAACTTTCTCGAAGAGCCTTTCAGAAAGATCATTCAATTCCTCGTCAAGTTTGGCAAGATGCAAGCCATCTACAATGCCGCTCGTCAAGCAGCGGCGTCGCAAGCCAACCAGATCCAACAGAGCACGAGCAAGTTAAAGTATGATGTTGTGGTCAAGACACCGATTGTTGTTTTCCCTCGGGTTGTTACCCAAGGACAAACCAAGCGGGATGTCATCACTGCCTACTTGGGTGAAATCTATGCTCAGAACAAGTTTGCCCCATTGGATGATTCTGAAGACTCTCAGATAGCGACAAAGATCTCTGCCGGAATCCGCAACATTCGTCTGACATCCGACTTCAATTACCCTGGCGATCTTTCCGAAGAGCTAGAGCTGATCGACAAGGTTGATCTTGGCTTCAACGTCACTTACGCTGAGCACCAAGACGGCAAAAAGCGACCCGAGCTTGAGATTGAAGGCAGCATGTCTGACTTCAATCTGCGGCTTACCCAGTTTCAACTCAGGTTCTTGATGGAGATCTCAAAGGCTGTCCCCGCCGCATTTGCTGCCGACTCGGAAGAGCAAGATCAAGAGGCTGAGCGCGAAGTCGATAAAGACACACTGCAGAGAGCTAAGTCTATGCCCATTGACAAGAGCTCAAGTGATGAGCAGAAAGAGGTTGATCTTGGTCCTGAGCTATCCCCCAAGAACCAAGCATGGACAAAACTCGACCTTGTCTTCCAGGTTAACACCATTGGCATGGAGCTATTACTTGCCCCCGGGGAGAAGCCCGTTGGCAAGCTAGAGGATGCCAGCTTGTCCCGGTTCTCATTAGATGGTACCAAACTAAAGACACGCATGCTCAACGATGGTTCTCTCGAGGGCGAATTCCTGATCCACTCATTTACAATTTACGATAGCCGCCCTCGTGAAACGAACAAGTTCCGCCGGATCATGACATCCTCCAACAAGGAGGTACAGCAGCTGATGGCTAGCATTACGATGTCAGGGGGCCAGGAGAGGAGCCTCATTGCTATTGTCACTATCGACAGTCCGCGCATCATCTTCGCACTTGATTACCTTTTCGCCATTCAGAACTTTGTCATGGTCGGCCTACAACCAGAGGAACCTTCGCCGGCTGATGACGAGTCACTGCTAGAGACGCCAGAGGAGTCTGACATTGACACTGATTCTATGCAAGTCACTTGGTCCAACAAAGCCAAGTCACAGAAGAGCAGCAGTGATGAGATCGAAGAGCCCCAGGGAGAAGCCAACGACAAGCCCCAAAGCACCCTGAGCATTGCGTATAGGGTAAACATTGTGGATGCACAAGTCATATTGATTGCAAACCCCCTTAGCGCCAGCTCCGAAGCCATCGTACTTGGCACCAAGCAGGTCTTGCTTTCTCAACAACATGCCCTGACCTTTCAAGTTTCCGAGATTGGCATGTTCCTTTGCCGAATGGATCGGTTCGAAGACTCACGCCTCCGACTCATCGACGATTTCTCCGTCCAAATGTCAATGGATAGTTCGAAACCCAACATTACGAGCATTCATGCAGACATTGAACCTTTGATTCTACGACTCTCCCTGAGAGATATTCTACTCGCTCTTCAAATCGCCAGCAAGGCTACTGAACTGTCGGACCAACAACAAAAGGAGCAGGACAACAAGAAGTCTGCTTCCGCTGCAGATGAGAAAGCGAAGCAACTTCGTCAGGCTGGTATCAAGCAGCGAACGGCCAGTGGTAAAGGACCATCAACCATGGCGAACAAGACCGTTGTGTCCAAGACCGCCAAGGTAGCGGCGTCTCAAGCGAAACAAGATCAAGAAGACCCGCATGGCACAGCTATCCAAGCCCGCCCGAAACGTCACGAGGAACTCTCAGCCACCATTGAGGGTATTCGTGTTGTTCTCATTGGCGACGTCCATGAGCTTCCCATCCTCGACCTGGGTATCAAAAGCTTCACTGCCACGGCTGAAGACTGGTCTTCCAACCTCAAGGCCGAGACGGCTATCGACCTTTACACAAATGTCTACAATTTCTCCAAGTCAGCATGGGAACCCTTATTGGAACCTTGGCAGGTCGGTTTCGGGATCGCGCGGGAGCAGCAGTCAGGCCTGCTGTCCATCGACGTTGCGTCCAAGAAAGTCTTCGATGTCACAATCACAACTGCCACTATTGCGCTGGCGTCGAAGTCTTTCGCCTTTCTCAGCAAAGACGAAGATGTTCTCGGCAAGCCACGTGGTGTCGATGCCCCGTATCGCATCCGAAACTACACTGGTTTCGATGTAGTGGTACAGTCCAAGAGCACGATAACGGACGACAACATGACAGCCCGCCTCGAAGATGGAGAGGAGGCGCCCTGGAGCTTTGAGCCCTGGGAAAAAATGCGAGAAAACCTTTCTACGGAAGGCAGCACCGGCAGCGTGGGAATCCATCTGGAGGGCAGTGGCTTTGACGCGGTTAAGAACGTCAGACTGAACCGTGAGGGTGAGGCGATCTATGGCCTGAAGCCCAAGACTGACAACATTCTGCATCGCTTGCTTGTCGAAGTCACCTTGGGAAAGGACAACGTCAAATACGTCACTCTACGATCGCCGCTCGTGGTTGACAACCTCACCCAAATCCCCGTCGAGCTGGGTGTGTACGACGCCCAAGAGGGCCACCTGCTCAAGATTGAGAAGATTGCCCCCGGAGAGAGCCGACCCGCTCCGGTGGGAGCTGTGTTCATGAAGTCCTTGCTCGTGCGACCCGACTCGGGCTTCGGGTATGCATGGTCTTCTGAGACCCTGTGGTGGAGAGATCTCTTGAAGCGACCTACACGGACGATGGTCTGCAAGGGAGAAAACGGCGATCCGTTCTATTTCCAGCTCAATGCTACGTTTGACAGATCGAATCCGCTGACCAAGTAAGTACTTTCGCTTTATTTGTTGGGTATCCGCTGACCACTCAACCAGGAACTATCCGTACATGCGTATCAAGCTGTCGCCGCCAGTGATTCTCGAAAACTTACTTCCGTACGACTTCAAGTACCGCATTTACGACAAGAACACAAAGAAGGACTGGGCAAACTTTCTTCGCAAGGGTGGCCTAAGTCCGGTCCACGTCGTGGAGCTGTCTCACCTCCTTCTTCTCAGTATCGACATGCAGGATACCGTATTTAAGCCCAGCGACTTTGCAATTATCAACGCCGGGTCGTCAGATGACTTCAAAAAAGAAGATCGGCTTCTTTGCAAGGATGCCGACGGCCTGCAGCTTAATCTTAAGCTTCACTACCACAAGGTTCCAGACGGCGGTGGGGCCTTCCGGGTGACCGTCTACAGTCCTTACATCATCTTGAACAAGACCGGGCTCGACCTTCAGATTAGAGCCAAGGGTTTCCTTCAGGGCGCGCGGCCTGCAGCTGGCCAGTCAACTCTGTCTAACAGGTCCAGATCCGACAGAGATCGTCCCAAGGCCACCCCGTTCATGTTTTCATTCGGCAATGAAGATCACAGAAATCGAGCGTTATTGCAGATTGCTGACTCTGAGTGGAGCAAGCCGCAAAGTTTTGATGCTATCGGTAGTACAACAGAAGTGGTACTGCCGTCACCCTCCAGGAACACCGAAGTGCACATCGGCATTACGACTGAGGCTGGAGAAGGCAAGTACAAGATGACCAAGGTCGTTACTCTGGCGCCGAGGTTTGTCCTGGAAAACAAGCTCGGAGAGGAGATCAACGTCCGAGAGTCCAGCTCATCAGGCTTCATGACACTAAAGCCTAGCGCCCACCAACCACTTCACTTCATGCAGAAGACGGCTGTCAAGCAGCTTTCTCTTTGCCATCCGGGAATGAATAATCAATGGACTTCGCCCTTCAACATCTCGGATATCGGCACTACTCATGTCAAGATTGCCAAGGCAGGTCAACGCCAACGTTTGATTCGCGTCGAGACTTTGATGGAAGGTGCTACCATTTTCTTGCACCTCAGTCTGGAGACCAAAAACTGGCCGTACCAGATGAGAAATGAGAGCGATACGGAATTCACGTTCTATCAGGCCAATCCCAGCTTGGATGATGACGGAGTTGAAGACAGATCAGGCTGGAGGCCCATCAAGTATAGACTGCCGGCCAGAAGTATCATGCCCTATGCCTGGGACTTCCCCGCTGCCAAGTTCCGCGAGATCATCATCAACGCCCACGGCAAGGAGAGACACGTCAAGCTGGCCGAGATCGGCAACCAGATTCCGATGAAGTTCACGACCAATTCCGGTCAACAAAAGATCATTGACATCAACGTAGCCGCCGATGGCCCTACGCAGACTCTGATTCTATCCAACTTCCGGCAATCGAAGAGTCTGTACCGACAGAAGTCAAAGTCTGGCTCCCGCACAAGCACCGATGGCTTTGAAGTCAAGGATCAGGAGACGACTGCAACTTTCCGAGCCCAGCTGAAGCTCTCAGGCATTGGAATTTCACTTATCAACTCTCAGCTCAAGGAACTTGCCTACGTCACCTTCAGGGACGTCTCACTTCGTTACCACGACTCTCCTCTCCAGCAAACTATCAGCTTCTCGGTCAAGTGGATCCAGATTGACAACCAACTGTACGGCGGCCTCTTCCCGATGATTTTGTACCCTAGCGTAGTCCCGAAGAGGGCCCAGGAGGTTGACGCGCATCCCTCGATCCACGCCATGGTCACTCGGGTGAAGGACGATTCATACGGTGTGCTTTACATCAAATACGCCACACTCTTGATGCAGCAAATGACGATTGAACTCGACGAAGACTTCGTTTATGCGGTTCTGGATTTTGCAAATATTCCTGGAGCCGCCTGGTCCGATACCAACGAAGAAGGCAAGCTGTGTGACGAGGAGTTGGACATTCCTGAGCCGCAACAGCAGCAGTCCGGTCAGGACATCTACTTCGAGCTGCTCAACATCCAGCCCATGCAACTTGATCTGTCCTTCATGCGCACGGAACGAATTAATGCTGAGGACAAGACATCGTCGCGAAACCCTCTCATGTTCTTCCTCAATGTCATGACCATGGCCATCGGTAACGTCAATGATGCACCCATCCGTCTAAACGCTCTCATGTTAGACAACGTCCGCGTCTCGGTGCCTGCTCTGACGCAGAACATCTCGAGTCACTACAGCCAAGAGGTACTCTATCAGATTCACAAGATCCTTGGCTCTGCCGATTTCCTCGGTAACCCAGTCGGTTTGTTCAACAACATCAGCTCTGGCCTAACAGATGTGTTCTACGAACCCTACCAAGGGCTGATTCTTTCGGACAAACCCGAAGATTTTGGTATCGGTGTTGCAAAGGGAGCTGCGTCGCTCGTCAAGAAGTCTGTCTACGGTTTCTCAGATTCTTTCTCTAAGTTTACTGGCAGCTTGTCCAAGGGTCTAGCGGCTGCAACTCTCGACAAGCAGTTTCAGGATCGTCGTCGTATTACGCGCGCACGCAACAGGCCCAAGCATGCTCTCTATGGCGTCACCACCGGCGCCAACTCACTCTTCACGAGCGCCGCATCCGGTGTGGGTGGACTTGTGCGCAAGCCACTTGAAGGGGCAGAGCAAGAGGGCGCACTGGGATTCTTCAAGGGTGTTGGAAAGGGCGTCATAGGATTTGCGACTAAGCCCGCAATCGGTGTTCTGGATATGGCCTCCAATGTTTCTGAAGGCATCCGCAACACAACGACGGTCTTTGACGGCTCAGAGCTTGACCGTGTTCGACCTGCTCGGTTCGTGCCTTCCGACGGCATTGTGCGACCCTACAACGCTCGGGAAGCACTCGGACAGTCATGGTTGAAGCAAGTTGATAACGGCAAGTACTTCAACGAAAACTACATTGCTCACCTTGAGCTACCCCGCGAAGACATGGTAGTCATGGTCACATACGCCCGGATCCTGCTTATTCGCAGCCGGCGTTTGACTTCTGAGTGGGATGTGCCACTAAAAGATGTCCAAACCATTGCAAAGGAGCGGACAGGTCTGAGCCTGACCCTAAGAGGCGGCACAAACGGGCCATTTATCCCTGTCGGCGATGAAAGCGGCCGCGCCTTCTTGTACAAAATGGTGGCCGTCGCCGTAGAGGAGTTCAACAGGCGATTTAGAGGATTGGAGTGAGGAGCAAGACATGACGAGAGGTTGGAATCGGACAAAAGGTGTAACCAGGGCTGAAAACACGAGTAGCCCTTAAACCGATGCACCTTTGCTTTTCTATATAATTACTTCCTTTTCAGTTGAGGCCTAGAAGCATAGCCTCGCGATTCCTTAGCAAGTATATATTAGTCGACGTACAAGAACTGCATTTGCCCCTGATTTGAGTACACTGTCAGAAGTCAATAATTTAACGATCGAGATGATCAACCACTTTCATCATCAGCTTGCTAGCCTTCATATCCTAGTTTTGCAAGTCAAGGTTGTATAGAAGGATAAGTTATAACTCAGATCCCGCGTACCTTGACACTATACGTTGGAGTTGATGTTGAAGGAATGTGGGTGTATTATCTGTAGAAGTGACTAAATAGAAGAAACGCCAGAGTAAAGGAAGCCCAAATGAATCGCCGTAGTGCTATGATCAAATTCCACCATGCAATGCAATATAATCAACCTTCCATCCTTCCGAGCCTTCAAAACGCCCTGGAATTGTGTATCCAGCTACCTCCGAATTCGACTCATGATTTAGTTGGAAGGGCAGTAGCCAATGGTGCAAGCATCCTGCTTGCAGCAACCGCGGAAGCCGTTGGAGCAAGACTGGAAGAAACCGGTACCGGGAGCGCAAACAGTAGGATCCTGTCGCTTCTCGGAGGTGGAAGGGCAGTAGCCGAGAGTGCAAGCATCAGACTTGCAGCATCCGCGGAAGCCGTTAGAGCAAGACTGGAAGAAACCAGTACCGGGGGCACAGACGGTAGGGTCAGCGTTGCCATCGCCGTTATTGTTACACTTGGCCTCCGGGGTGGGAGTCGGGGTGGTCTTGGGGGCAGCCTTAGTTACGGTCTCGAAGGCCTTGATGTCCGGGCAGTAACCAATGGTGCAGGCGTCGGACTTGCAGCAGCCGCGGAATCCATTGGAGCAAGACTGGAAGAAGCCAGTGCCTGGAGCACAGACGGTCGGATCGGTGGGCTGCCAGTGATTCGAGTGTGCCGTTGTAGCGGGGGTGGTCTCAGCGGGGGGGTTGTTGGAGGTGCCGGTCACGTCGGGGCAGTAGCCGATGGTGCAAGCATCGGATTTACAGCAGCCGCGAAAGCCATTGGCACAAGATTGGAAGAACCCAGTACCAGAAGCGCAGACCGTGTCGTCGCGCTTAGCGTCTTGAGGTGGAGCAGCGGCGGCAAAGCTTGCGGCAGCGGCAAAGAGGGTGAAGATGGTGGAGAAATGCATTGTGACTTTAGTATATGACTGAAGATGATATCAAACAGAAGACGACTGGTGTGAATATATTGAAGTGAATATGGTTTGGTTTGAACGATTGTCCCGAAGAAAGAGATACCGACAAAGGAAATAAGGAAATCACAAAAGGAAAAGGAGAAAAGAGAATTGTTGAGCTGTTGATGAGTTGATTGAGGTTCGTCGATGATGATGATGAGAACAGAAACCCATCTTGGAGAGGGTGATGAGGTTCATTTATAGATATCAAGACACAGCAACAAGATTGAAGATCCGTGTACTCGGGGACTATTTTCAGTACTACCCTGCTCTGCAGCTGACCATGATGTTCGGGAAGGATTTTGCTGCAGGCTGCATCTAGACAGCACACTCTGCTTTTGTGTAGCCGTGATAGTTACCCTTCATCCTAAGCCGAGTTTGGTGGTGTAAGTCGATAAGCATCCATCAGTTTGCTGCGCAACGACACCGCCCACTTGACTACCAGCGCAGTCAGTAATGCCAAGCTACGGAAGTGCGTTCGATGTAGGCCATTGGATAAATATTCTAATCCCTTGCGTCTCTGCAATCCTTCGCCTCTCCCCGGACTCGGATCCTTCCGAGCAAATAGGAAGCTGAGCATCATCCAAGCTGCTGCAGGGTGCAGTAGAAACAAGGCACTGTCAGCCCTGTAGAACCAAGCGGGATAAGTCTGCGCGCCGGGCTGAGCTGCAAGTCTTCCGCCTAGCATCCCGGGGCTGAAGTGGACAGCCAAGTAGGCGACCAAGCTGCATTGGGAAAAGTGAAGGCGGCGCAGTCGAGCTGTCAGACGTCAGCAAGCTGGCTTCAACTTGGACCTTGAGGCAATGCGACTAGTTCTTTTCCATCATGCTGACGGCACACATTTTGCGACAATGTGCGGTGAGCAGATGAATAGGTAGTAAGCTTATTCTTGGCTCGCGGAATTTGAGGTAGACTCAAGACATTGTCAGCCACGCAGAACCAAGCACGATATGCCACACTCTTACATGGGACACGGGGGCCAGAGTGGCCAACAGGATTGTTTTTGCTATTGCAAAGTGACATTCAAACTCAAGCAATATCGTAACCTAAGCGTTGGACCGGGGCGAGCAGAGGCGAAATTCTTGATGGAATCACACGGAAATCAGTTAGAGCGAGACCTGGGATTCGTATCTTTGCTTGCCTGTGAAGTGAAACGTCAAGGCACTAAATGAACAGAACCTTCCCGGCTGACCTTCCATTCTTTCCTCGGGCAACTATGACAACCATAGCCTTCGCCGGGTCTGGGGATCCCTTCTCCTCAGGTCGGCCCTCCCAAACACTAATGACGTTGAAGTCCGCCTCCCACTTACCTTCTGTGATTTTGGAGTCTTTGAACTCGTCGCCATCGACAGTAATAAATTGCCCCGAAACCTCTTCCTTTTGAACTCTGCCGGAGAGGCGAACCTTCTTGCCATCTTTCGCATCGAGCACTGTGGTATTGTCAACCACTAGTTCGGGAGGGATCAATCCCATCTTCGTCTCTCCCCCAACTAGCGAAATGGTGTCTGTTGCTAATGCCGGCGTCCTTGGGGGTGCTTGCCGCAAATGTCTCACCTTCTTAAACGCAAAGGCATAGCGTAATAGATTGTTGTCATCGTACGCTTTGGACGCAAAAGTGAGGTTGACTGGCATTCCCGTATCGGCCATTACCCCCATCGGCACACTAACCGTTGGGATTCCCAGCTGGCGGATCGCACAATTTCCGTTCGAGTAAAGGACACCATTGCGCCACGCTTCCGTCGCTGAAGCCTCGTTGACGTCCGCATCCGCTTTGCCCACGTTGCCGTTATACGGCCACACGATTGTGTCGAGGCCGAGAGCATCGAGCCAATCTTCGAAATCCGCTTTGCGTCTGGACTCGAGATCATGCAGATCCTTTCCCAGGCCTGGAATATCGTAAGTGGCAATGCGCTCGGCGGTGATGTGTGCGACGACATCTGTATGCCGGACGAGGGGGTCGTTCGAGTCATACTTGTCCGGGATTGATCCTAGTGGACGAGGGAAAATGGCTGCCGGGTCAACCTGTGAGAGACTGACTGCAACACTCGCATCTTTATTGTCGGCGAGGAAGTCGTCCCAGGCATATGCCATCAGTTGGCACATGTCAATATCGTTGCGATGGGGCGGCGCTGTGCCTTCTTTGCCGGCGGTATCGATGCCGTCCGATTCCGCCTTTTCGAACTTTGTAACGACGGGAAAATCGACTTCCTGAACGCTGGCACCAAGTCCTTCAAGGGTTTTCCGAGTGTCGCTCCAAAGATCAGTAATAGATTGGCGAGTGTATACTTTCCTGGCAGAGGGGTCTGTATCGATTTGGCCAATGTACATTTTGGGTACGCCAATCTTCTTGCCTGCCAGAGCCTTGAGGTCGGACAGCTCTTGATATGACTTTGGACGAACGGCGTTCACATCTGGCAGCTTAGTTCGCGCACCGGATCTTGATCGGCATCACTGTCTTGCCGATAGAGTCTTTGTGCGAGGTCACGGTCTTTGATCTCTTCTTCGCCCACAACCGCGGTACATATATGGGGCTGTACGTCTTCATCTTGTTCGGATCCAACTTCCTCGACCCGCTTGTTGCTGGGTGGTTCAACGATGCATACGGTTGGCGATGGACGATGAATTTTGGAAGCATCATTTGCGCTGTGTGCTTCATCATCATGTTTTTCTTCATGGAGGAGACCATCTACTTTCGCGACAATGTCATCCATGGCGAGGTCGCTAGTAGCGACAGCTCTGGTAGCCAAGCTTCGAAGGAGGCCAAGCACGATGCCAACTCGACAAAAGAGATTTCAGAATCAGCACCTAAAGCTCCAGCAACTGGTACATATGCCTTCTCATCTCCTCGGAATATTAACTCAGGATGGGGCAAGTATGGCTTGTTTAAAGTCCTCCCTGGAAGACCCAGCAACGTTGATATGCTCCGTATGGCCTACCGACCTGTCCTCATGGTCTTTCGATTGCCTACAGTCGCGTGGGGTGGTTTTCTCTATGACATCAACCTGGCATGGTACAATGTGTTGAATGGAACAGCTAGTCCGGTCCTGACAGGTAACCCATACAACTGGTCAGCCGCATTGGTGGGTTGCATCTACGCAGGTCCTATCATTGGAACAGCTGTTGCCTCGCTCTGGTCCGGAAACGCAGCGGATTGGATCACCCTTCAGCTTGCCCGACGCAACAACGGAATCCGCGAGCCTGAACACCGACTCTGGGTCTTAGCAGTTTCCGGCATCATATCCGCAGCCGGCCTTATCACTTGGGGTGTCGGTGCTTACCACAACGTACACTGGGTCGGTTTGGTTTTCGGGCTTGGCATGCTGACGTTTGGCGTTGTAACTGGTGGATCGATTGCCGTAAGCTACAATGTTGACTGTTTCTAAGAAATTGCAGGAGAGACCACAGTTTCCGTCATTTTGTTCAGGAATACGATCGGGTTTGGCTTCGGCTACGCCATCACACCTTGGTGAACTACGCAAGGACTACAGAACTGCTTTATTACTGCGGCCATGGTGTCTATGGCATGTACCTTCACATTCGTGATCATGATTATATACGGCAAACAAATCCGCCGGTGGTCCATTCCCGCTTATCAGAAGTACTTAGTTACCACGGTGGTTTTGCAGGAGTGAAGCAGACGGAACTAATTTCGAGACTAGCTGCGTCAGTTTCAGAGTGTAGGATCGGGTTATTGTTTACTTGTTTGGCAGCTATCAGAGCTATGAGATATAGATTCTTCGTAATACTTCTGTCTCCTTTCGAAAATGCGACGAACACTCAATTATTTTTATGTTACCAATACTCTACACAGCGTGCTTGAATGTCAATCCCATCCGGTAGGACTTTTGCCTTTTTCTTCAACGTTGAATAAGTCATGGAGTGATTTCTGCTAGCGCAAGGAGTCGTTGTGCTACTTCTGCTGCAGAGGGAATGTCGTGTTCCAAGTTTCCTACTAAATCTCCTAAAAACGTAATCAATCGTTTGGCTTCGGTTCCATATCGACCGTTATCGAAACCAGAGGCATTGCGGAGCATATGGCCGACACCAAGCAGTTGATGTACGATCTGACTGCTTGCGACCTTGAACCTGATGAGCGGCGCTTTGGTAACTTCTTCCAGAAAACTCTTCGCAAGAGCCATTACTTCATGGACAGGTGCTTGGCAGTAGAGCAGGGCCATGATGTTGACGAGTCTCTCCGTACAAGTGATCTGGACTGACATGTACTTGCAGCGGTTGCTTTGGAATCCGTCACCTGGCTCGGTTAAGCCAAGTAGTATGGGAGACTTGATGGCTCTAAGCTGAACTAAGCTGTTAAGCAGTGTCATAGGGGAGGGCTTGTCGTAAAGCACGGCCAGCAGTGCCTTGCGGTTTTTGCAGCCATGAAGGCTAAAGATGGCGTATTCCAACAACCGGAACAGGTCTGTGATGTAGTCCCAACCGGCTGTCCAAGCTTGCGTCTCAGGGTCCATGGCTGGGGTGATGCGGGGATAGAGGAGGGATACCTGTGATTCCGGCATCCGCACGACGTGTCCCAGTACGCATGCTGAGTGGACCTCGAGACGGTATGCACACCAGAAGAGCCGCCGCCGATCGTCAACCTTGGACGTGAGAATATCCTCCGGCCAGCGACTCTCGTCATGGAAATCGTTTTGAGCAACTGAAGCATGGTATTGTCCGAGATATCGATGGAGATCACTGTGATTGCCACGCCGTAATGAGTAGGCTGCCAGGAGGCCAAACGATCGCAAGTAGTCGAGGTCTTGCGACTGAGGGATGTGAAGTGGTATCTTTGAGACAGCTTCAGTGAAGGAAGATTCGCTTTCAGGTATAGAAAGGCCTCGAAGCAACGCGTTGTCAAAGACTGCATTCAAAGCAGCCATTTGTGAACTAACGGCGCAGAGGGCCATCAGCAACACGTACGACGGCGCATCGGAATCTGAAGTTTCTTGTTTTCCACCGAGTTTCGAGATCTTTCTTTGAGAGCGAAACGGAAGTCTAGACGCAATTTAGCACCCATGTTATAATCCCCGAAGGACGAGGGCAAAATTACTAGCACTGATACATTGTATCGCGATAAATTTGTATCAGTCGCGGAACGATGGTCAGTGATTTGAACCCTGCATCTTGCTGCTCGGACTGGGAGCCGTTAGGCTCGGCGGACTCTGGAACATTTGGCTTCCGACCCCTTTTTCGGATGGGACGATTCGTTGTGCATTCAATTTCATAGTCCTTGCAAGTGAGGCAGCCAGCCCGCGGCTCGTAAGTTCGATCAGATATCCCCGGCCCACGGCGGCATCTGAGTCCTCTGACGTGGCAAAAATCGCAGGCTTGTGAGGCGCGCTGTCTCTTCTGGGATGTGTTGGATGGCATATCTCAGATCAGATAGTCTAACCACATGGCTGCGAGCAAGATTGAATTTTCAAGTGGAATATTATCAACTGGAAAGAGGGAACAGCGATTCTGTCAGGATTTGAGTTGAAGCTTGTTAGTTATCAGTTCAGCCGCTGATAATGGTATTAGAGTTTATGAAGATTCGCACAAGCGTTATCATACTAGCCGCTGCTACATACGACACAGCAGAGCAAAGTGTTCACCCTGCCCAATCGCACGACCTTACGTAATTAGGGCAGCGGGGTGCGACATAGTGGGCTCAAACTCAGAAGCGGATAGCTCGTCAGCAACACCGCCAGCGACCGCGACAGCAACACATTTGAGCTTTAATAAGACCTTTCCAACGACTCGTAAAGGTTCAAATCTGAGAAGCTCTACCATTCCTTCAAACAAAAATGATACCATGCCACTTCCAACTCACCGAGGCATATTCATTTGCCCCAGAGGAGTCCTTGAATAGGTTATCTGAAGATCAAATGATAACTAGATGGGCTCGTCGCCCCGGAGCTACACGCGCGGACGCATCCTCACGTATCCACGCTGTAGAATCAAGGCTGCGATCAACGACTCATAAAAGATTAGATTATCGAAGGCGCAACTCGCAGACTTATTGTGCCGAAAATGATGGCTCTAAGAGGGTGCAGTGTAAGCGCGAAAGTTACCGCATCTCCCCCACATCCACCGGCACAGAGGCATCGATTTCTTTTGAGGACATGGGAGATCTGCCGACAAGCGCAGCGCATCCAGCCGTAATAACCGACACCGAGATCGTAGAGACCGGAAACCCCGCCCTAATTAATTATGTTTCACCCTGGCCGAAAGGTCACTGGGAAATCAATCGGAGAAATACCAATTGCCTCCATTGACGACACACCGCGGCGAAGTGATGGCGCTCTCAAAGTCCCCGTCAGAGATGCAGTATCGTCGTTATTATAGGACCGAAAACAGCGCAGCCAACACCTTGTTAGAGATGAGGTAGAGCTTTGCAAAGCGCCTCGTCGGCGAGAATGACGCGAAAGTTTTGCGTACACAATGAGCCAAAGGCCTTCGACCGGCAAGAGCTGTTCCGGCCCAAATATCATAGACGCATGCTTGGAGTGAGGTGTCTTCAATCAGCTTTTAACATAATCCAGATGATTACCAGCTTTTTGTTACACATTCCTGTACTTTGCGATATTTAGCCGTTCTTCTTCATACTCCGCCATTACTCGTCAACGCCAGTGCTATCGAACTCAAACTAAAGATTACTAATCATTGTCAAACAATAGTGTCCTTTCATAAACTGAGAAGTCTATGAGGCGTTGCAAAATTGGGCAGGCGGGAACAGCTTTCCGCGCAAAAAGACACCAACCTAGAACACTTGATGAGTTCTATTAGCTGTAATGTTAGACCAGCTCTGGATGTGGACCTTCGGTCTGGCACACGCCAACGGGCTTGGTCAACTTTGGCCTTTGAGGAATGTGGTTGGCCCTTTTACAGTCGTGCTGACGGTCCACATTTTGCGTCGACGTGTGGCGAGCAGGTGAAGAGGTGGTAAGCTTATTCTTGACTGGTGGAATTTCAAGGGGTTATACATAATGGTATCTTCCTGGACGTCGCAAGGGCGGGATGGAAGAGATGCAACTTCGTGTAGTGTAAGCTCACCTCGACGGGCCTACTGACGGAGGAGCCGATTGGTAGTTTTCACGTCTCAGCTGAACCCGCAGGATAATGGTGAGACCGAGTATCGGCCATCGTACTTAGACCATACAGGACACTCGAAAGTCACTCAGCGAGGAGCGTAGGTGTATGAGCGCTTCGGCCCCTCAGCTAGTACGCTGCGTGAGCTGTATCGGTCGCCTCTGTGTCCCAGAAGCGTCAGCTTCGATGTGTTGCAGCGGTGCAGAACAACGGGTGCTTTTCTGGGGTTGTGGTGACCGAGTCAAGCCCCGATAGTGGCCGATGGGCCTGCCATCGGAGATTACTTGGACGCAAATCCCGAGCCGATGCACGTGGGCCTCTTTGAAGGTTGATGGAGGCTCGCCTAAGAAGAAGGAGCATGGACAAGAATTCTCCGACAGCACATGGAATCCGGCGTTGCACCCGGGCAAAGTATCCAGCGACCCCGTTTTGGACACGATGCATCGCCGCGACGGCACGGCTTAGCAGCCCGATGACCGATAGTCAATAAGTTAATCATGTCGTCCAGATGCCAAAGGACGGATATGCATGTCCGACGGTTTTTGTATCTGATAGGAGCGCTGTGGGACTATGCAATCAAATAAAAGATCTAAGTTTGATGCCCTTGAATCCTGACTTCGGAGGTGCAGACTGCCGCTCGGGGGTTTCTGTTTTTTTCTTTTCTTTGGTAGACGACGAAGGGGATGTTTTCTGCCCAACTCAGTGCGTGCCAAACAAATGAAATCCGTCAGACCAAGACGAGACGGACTACAAAAATGACGTGGCTCATCTGGGTTGTCTTGCTTTGTTTCACCAGTGCCCGCAGCTCTCCCACAGAACGTCCCAGATTAAAGCTCCTGATGGCTCTGGTTAATTGGAAAGATTTGGTCTCGCGTTCTGCATACAGTGGTAGGGGTGCTAATGTCGAGCACTTGGACAAGCAACACCCCTGGTGACTCTTCAGGGGATAGCAAGAAACGCCCAGCGGCTAGGCCTCGATAGCGCCATCAACCACTTTATTTCTGACCCTCAATCCCCATGTGGGACGACCTTGGGGGAAGCGAACACGCCTGCAAACCCACTGTCTGCGTCGCTCCTTTGATTAATACGGTGCCAGAATCCCAGCATCGACAGCCGTTTTCCGTCCGCCGGCCATTCTCCACGGCGCTTCTTGCGTTCAATTTCCCACAAGCGATGGAGGAACCATGGATTTAGGAAAGAATGCGGTGTCGGCATTGACAAGGGTGAGGTGAGGTAAAGCTGGACCCATTTGTTGGTGAAGATGGAGGAGAGAGAGCCAGAGGAAAGGTTCCTATTTGATTACCCCATGAGGCCCTCTAATGCAGCATCGATTTCTCTGGTGGTTGCTCGTTCGCTTCATTTTCTCCTTCTGTACATATCATCTTTGACAATTCGACCGTCGACGCCTGTCGGCATCCATTCGTTTTGAGAAAATACAACCATGAAGTTAACCCCCCTTTCACTCCTTGCGCTGGGCGCTCTTCTCCCGGACATGGGCAGCGCCCAGTTGTCCGGTAAGGTTGGACCGTCCACTACCGCCGCCGCCAAGGCGGCCAAGAAGACATGCAAGATCACCGACTACGGTGCCAAGAGCGGTGCCACCGGAGACATCGGTGCAGCGCTCAAGTCCGCCTGGGACGCCTGCAAGACCGGAGGCGAGATTCTGATCCCTGAGGGAGAATGGGGTCTCGGTACTTGGCAGACGCTCTCCGGTGGTACTGGTGTTTCAATCAACCTCCAAGGCACCATCTACCGCACTGGCACCGCCGGTGGCCATATGATCATAGTCCAGAAGTCGACCGACGTGGAGTTCTACAGTAGCAACTCCAAAGGGGCAATGCAAGGCTATGGATACGAGTTCCACAAGCGTAAGCCTTTCGGAGTCCAACCTCATGCTTCATCATGATGCTGAAAAAGCGCAGAGGGCACCGGTGTCTATGGACCTCGTCTCCTGAGATTTGTCTCCGTCACAAACTTTAGTGTTCACGATATCGCCCTCGTCGACTCCCCTGCGTTTCATTTCGTCATGGACACCGTCACCAATGGAGAGGTTTACAACATGATTGTCCGTGGAGGAAACCGTGGCGGTCTTGATGGAATCGACTTGATGACCGCTAAGAACGTGCACGTTCATGATGTTGCTGTCACCAACAAGGACGAGTGGTATGTTTTATCCCTGTTTCCTTTTCGCTTGGCTGCTTTATGAGTTGGCTCTGGTTTGCATCTCATTGTGCTTTCCGAACATCTAGCTAACACTTCTTAGTGTCACTGTCAAGGTACGTGGCCTTAGTCGGGGCGGCGAATGGACTTGAGCTTGGCTACCTTCACCTTCATCTCAACCCAAGCAGGCAACACCTCCACGACCCACTGACGCATCGCAGAACAAGTCCAGCAACATCCTCATTGAGAACATCTTCTGCAACTGGTCGGGCGGTTGCGCTATTGGTTCCCTGGGTGCCGATACTGGTACGTAACAGATAGCATCCTCAATTCCTTGCCGGAGGCTGTAGCTGACCTCTTCTGTGCTCAGCCATCTCGGACATCCACTACCGCAATGTCTACACCTCAAACTCGAACCAGATGATGATGATCAAGAACAATGGCGGCAACGGTGGCTTCCAAAACGCCAAGTTCGAGAACTTCATCGGCCACGGCAACGCCTACTCCCTAAAGATTGACGCCGCCTGGGCCGGTCAAAGCAAGGTCTCCGGCAACGGTGTCGAATACAGGAACCTGACCTTCTCTAATTGGAAGGGTACTGCCGCCAACGGTGCCTCCCGCGGCCCGGTGGTTGTCCTCTGTGCTGCCGCCGCTCCTTGCGAGAACATCGACGTCTCGGGCATCAACATATGGACCGAGGCTGGGTCTTCCATTATTGACAAGTGCAGCAACGCTTTTGGTAAGGGTCACTGCCTCCGCAACGGCTCCGGCACCTACACCAGCGCGGCCACCACCAAGACCGTCGCTGGCTACTCGGCCCCCACGATGCCCGGTCAGGTCACCGCTGGCCTGGGTATCACTAAGCCCATCGACATTCCCCCACTTCCCACGACCTTCTACCCTGGTGTTAAACCTATCAGCGCTTTGGCTGGCTCGGCTTAATATACCGACAGTAGTAGCCTTGGGGAATTACCATGCAGCTCAGCAGAATAAGTCGATTCAGTTTTAGTGTACATACTTTGTTGGAAAAACCAACCTGCATAAATCGCTCGATAACACTCACTTCGCTTTCTACTAAAATCCGATTGCTATATCTATTTTCCTGATCTCTCAATTGGGATGCTTGATACTCAGCCCAGGGAGGAGTAATGGATCATGACGCGGTGATCTGAGACTTGATCCAGTCCTCATCTAGGCCGCCCATAGTTACTGAAGTGATGCTCTTCACCCCAATGAAGCCCTTTAGCTTCTCTCTCAACAGGTAAGTGGGAGTACAGCTCCAGGCGTGACAGAAGCTGTTGTTCCTCACATCGCCATAAGGGCTTGCGCGAGGATCGTCGGGATTGAAACACTCCCAAAAGGTATCGCCACCAGCTCGTACCATTCCTCCCCAGTAGCTCGTCATGATCTCGACGCACTTTTCGAAACACCCAACAGTTGCTAGAGCATCGCAAACGTGATGCCATAGGTAAGGCGTAAGGGGTTTAACGGCATCCGGGTGGGCGAGTGTGTTGAGCAGCGCTGTCTGTGCGACATCCTGTGGGAAAGCCTCGGCCAAAACAAGCCAAGATGCCGAGGCGAAACTGATCTGGGCCGTGGGTCCGGACACGAAAAATTTGTCTGGTGAGAGGAATACTTTTGCTCCTTCGGTCATCTGGCTTACAAGGTCTGCAAAAGGGACCTCCTTTACGAGCAGTTTGGCTAAAGCGTTAGCTGCTTTTAGACAGAAGAGAAGGACGCCATGGAGTCCTGCGCTGTGTTCCAAGCCAGGTTGCCAGTCAAGGAATTTCCATCCGTCTCCCTTGGTCTCATCAAAAGCATGTGTAGTGGTGTCTAAATGACTGATTGCCCGCTTGACACAGCCGAGTACTGTAGGCCAGAGATTATGACCCGCAGCTTTGTCTCCAGATGCCACCACATAGTCGTAGACTATAGCGGCGAAGAGTGCGTCGTAGTCCACGATATAGTCCGTTGACGGCGTTAGCTGGGGTTGCTCGAAGATGCAGGCCGGTACCGAGTTATCTTCGCGAACTACCGCGGCGAATTGGAAGATGCACCTCTTCACGAGGTTGAAGTCCCGGAAAGTACTGTAGTTTGCGAGAGCTTGAAGCCGAAGATCACCGCTCCAAAGTCGTCGGTCTCTTCGCGGGCCGTCTTCGAAAACCGTCTGCATGCAGTCTCTCAACGTCGAAATACTGACATGATCAATCTTCTGAAGTAAGGCATCGTGGAACTGCAAACTCTCCAGACAATGGTCTTGGCTGATGGCGCTGACACAGTCGCACTTCACGTCCGAGAAGGCGACTTTGTATTTAGGGGACGTATCAATGATTTCTACTCGTAGAAAGCGGAACGAGTAGCGGCGAGGTAAAGAGACGAGCTCAGGGCACATATCGATATTGATGATCTCGTCCGGCAGCCAGCTAGTACTGATCCATGTCTTGACGTTGTCCATGCCAAGCGTCACGTCTAGGGGAGACTCGCCGAACGTGAGGCGCAGTCGGCATGGGGCGTCCATATGTGAACCGTGAGATTCAAGCTTCATCGATACGTATCCCACCATGTGAATGCCGAAGTCGAGAATGAAGTCATCTCCTTTCCCCCAAGTCTTCGATGGTAGCTGGTCGATGGAGTACTTTGCAGGCACGGCCCGAACGCCAAAGTATTGGTTTTCGTCTGCGTCGAAATCGATGATTCGTTGAGGCGTGCGCACCCATCGGCGCAGCTTTGGGCACAGATCATTGGCAATTTTTTCAAAGTCACGATTCCATCGTGTTGGGAGAACGCTCTCGACCATGTCCTTGGGTGCGTCCGCCATGATGTGTTTGGATTGGAAATGAGTACTGGTTAATGTGACGAGGGTCCGTCTTGGCTGGAAGTCTGAGCGTGAAGGTTGTTTGCAGATGCTGGCATCAACACGGGTTCTGGCTCAGGTCGTTAAAATGCTTTTGAAAACGTTACGATCTTAAACAGCAGCAGTAACCGCTTCGGTGTGACAATCACCTGAGAAGGGCAATCCAAAGCACCCCACACTAGAATGAGGGGAGGGGAACATGACAGGCGCTTCTAATTGCTCAATCGGGAGCATACGACCCATGGCGATGTCGGCGTGGGGACGAATCCGGAGTGACATTTGCGGGGAAGTGCCGAGGAGTAGCCTGTGGAACTGGCAAACCCAACATGCCTTGAATCCGAGTCGACTTGCGTCTGGAACTTCAGCCACAACGGCAGCTGAGGAGACAATACGAGGTTCAACAACGGTAGAACCACGGGTGAATTGCGGATGACCCAAGCAACGAGCGTGTGCCAATCCAGGTCTGTCGAAGCCTTCGACTCCTTGGCATGGCCGTGAGGCCGAGGCGATGCCTTGAATGCGTTCAACTTGCATACAATCCGGATATGAACCGCGAACCGGTGATTAGGACCGTTTCCATGTCTTTTAATAGCCTTTAAACTCTAAGACTGAAGATTTATCGGACACTCTCCAGGACTCGATTATGCCCCCCCCCTGAGAGAAGGTATCTTGGGATTATGATCACGTTCGTCCTTCGTTAGGAGAGATCCAAGGAAACGACAACAGAACCTTGGCGCGCTCCAACAAACCCCGCATCGTTCATCTGCATTCCCCATATCTGAGCTGGGATGTAGCTACAACTAGTCATTGTGACCCATGAGCCTTTGGGTAGAAGTACCAAAATGACGGGACATGGACGCATCTAGATCAGGCTAGACTTGCGCTGGCATCTGTGCCGCATCCACGTTCATCTCAAAATTCAGGTTGACCGTTACTCTTTTGGTTAGCAGCTATTCAGAGACCACCAACCACAATCGTTTGGCTATTCTTCGGAATACAGATTGAGTCAGTTAGCCTTGTACCACAGCACACCATCAGCTTTTCTTGCTGAGCATCTGCCGGCGACAAGACCGAATCGTCAATGAAACGCAACCCGATCATGCGAAAACCAGTTGACTAGGATACTCACCAACCCCTCCCCGCAAATGTCAACCACATGGTTGAGTGAGGAGACGGGTCAAGAGATCACGCTTGTCCTTACCCCCGACGAGGAATGCCTGGATACAGAAAGTGGCTTGCGCTATTGACTATTGTCGGTTGATCATTGCGACGATGTTGATCCGAAGAAGTGCCTACGACTACCTCCATTCGAATGAGGGTTAAGATGCCCCCGACAATAAGAATTGGGGACGTTCCGGCCTTGTTGCGTTTTGCCCCAGTTTCCCAGACACGGTCTCTTTAGCTTCCCCAGATCACCGGTGCTTCAGTCCCCGGATTTTCCTAACCTTAATTATCTTGACTACAGCTCTTCTGTCTTTTGATACGCATTGCTCAAACTTAGGTCTGGCCACAGACTTTAACACAGCTATGGGTCAGCATAACCTCGAAGCACATCAGGCATCGGTTGTCGACAAGGACGACATCGCCGCTGCCAAAGGCGAACACTTCGAGGAGGTCGTTCACGCAGCGACTGCAGAGGACCACGAGGAAACTGTCTTGCAGGCTATCAAAAACCAGCCATGGGCATTCGGGTGGTGTGTCTACGCTATCTACGTCCTCATACTCACAAGTTTCGACAACCAGGCGGGGGCACTGTCATTGGCATTCCCCAGTTCCGCAAGGACTTTGGATCAGAGTTTGATGGCAACTATGTTCTACCTGCGAAGTGGCAGTCGGCTTACAGCGGGGCTCCTGTGGCATCGTGAGTGTTCTGTTTGCAACGCCCCGAAATGGCACTGTAACTAATCATCTTCTCCTTTCCAGTGCCGTCGTTGGTTCCATCGGTGCTGGTTACGTAGCCGACCGCATCGGCCGCAAGTGGACATACTTCATCAGCTACATCTTTATCCTTGTCGGAATCACCCTCGAAACGATCAGTACGACCAACGAGATTTTCTTCGCCGGGAAGTTCATTGCGGGATTCCCCATTGGCGCTTTCATCACGGTCAGCATGACATATATCGGCGAGATCGCGCCCCTGGCGCTTCGTGGTATCTTGACCGCTGCCGCCGCCATCGCCTTTACCATCGGCCCGTTTATTGTCTCATTAGTTGTCAATGAAACAGGAACTAGAAATGACCGCTGGGCTTACCGCACTATATTCGTATCGCAGTACGGCGTTAGCGGCTTGGGTGCTATCATGCTTTTCTGGATGCCCGAGTCGCCGTGGTGGTTGGTCAACAAGGGTAACATGAAAAAGGCCGCCAAATCTCTCAGCCGTCTCGGATACGACGCTGTTCAGGTCGAGAAACGACTTTCTATTATTGCTCTAACTCTTGCCGAGGTACGTAAGGAGACTGAGGGTGCCAGCTTCGCCGAGTGCTTTCGCAAGTCCAACCTTCGCCGTACCATCATCTCCGTTGCTCCCTTGAGCATCCAGGCCTTATGCGGCGTCTTTTTCGTCGCTTCATACTCGACATACTACCAGCAGCTTGCTGGCTACACCACCAAAGAGAGTTTCACGCTTGCAATTGTGCAGCAGGTCCTCTCCATGCTTGGGAATATCACTTCCTGGTTCCTGATTGACAGAGTCGGCCGCCGAGGCCTTACCTTATGGGGAATGTGCACGTTGACCATTCTACTAATGATCACTGGCGGCCTTGCTGTCACGGCCACTCCTGGTGCCGTTAAGGGCACTGTTGCTCTGCTCTTGGTGTACTGCTACATCTACAACGTCACAATCGGCGCCACAGCATACTCCCTGTTGACAGAAGTGGCAACTTCGCGTCTCCGCGCAAAGACTGCGGCGATGGCTTTGGCTCTCCAGAACAGCCTTTTCGTAAGTCACGTTGTGTGTGAATTCTACATTGCAATTGAAATATCTGCTGATATCACAACGATCTGTCCAGACTATGTGGGCTTTCGTCATCCCGTTTCTTTTCAACCCTGATCAGGCAAACCTTGGAGCCAAGGTAGCGTTCATCTTCGGTGGTTTATCTGTGCTGTCTACGGTTTATCTCTGGTTTTACCAGCCCGAAGTTGCTGGTAGATCATACGAGGAACTCGATGAGATGTTCATCAAGCAGGTCCCGGCGCGGAAGTTCAAAGGCTATACTACAGAAGTACAGGAGAAGAGCCAAGCGTCGGCCAAGTACAACACCCAACATTCTCTCTGATGATAATCATTGGTCCTAAACCCTCTAGGATAGACAGCAGGTCTTGAAGTAAAGTTGTGGCAGTTCGTGGTTAGGGTAGGGTCGTACAAATGCAAGATGATCAGTTATCTAATACAACTTGTGCCAGAAAAGGAAATGTTCAGGGACAGACTTGATGAACAAGAGCTATGTTTTAGAGCGATGCGGACTGTTTCTGGCCAAGAAAGATGCCAAAGAGAGAAGGTTAAGCTGCTGTTAATATGCATGAATCGACATATCTATAAGAAGACCGGCACCATGTGCTAAAAAGTCTTTTACTCATTCAACAATTTTCACATACACATTACGGTATTGAATCACTCTTGATAAATATGGAAGCTAGTAAATTGAATGGAAGTGCAGTTCTTCGCTTTGCCTAGAGAAGCCCAAAGCCCTACAATCAAGATGTTTTTGGGGTGCTTCGATCACTGCTTCCAACCATGAAATAAAACCAGTATAAGGGCTTACTGTTATGGTGTCGATATCTACTGAAAATCAAGATGTCGCTAGAACTTGTTCTCGCAAGGAGGCTCTCGGCCCTGTCGCCCCTATGGGAAATTTGGGAGGCCCATCTCACCAGGATGCATGAAACGCGATGTTACTTTCTGCAGAAATGCAATTTCGTTGATGAATACAAGTGGCTTCCAGTATCAGTGGATAGAAAGTTATAATTCCGTGTCTTTCGTACTTTATGAGCAGTACTCGTTGTCTTGTGCTCACTACATCCTTACATTCGATTAGAATTCTATAGTTGATGAGTATCCTGCGTATCACAGACTTGAGTAACAGCCATTCTTTTATCGCTCAGTATGTGTATGATTGTAAGCCTCAGCTTGCTCAGGCAAATAGTTAATGTGTTGGTGCCCGCTACTGACTTTGCTTTCCAGGCAGTGATGATGGGCGCTATTCTCTTATTGATTACGCCTGGCATTGAAAAAAACTGCATCCATGAAGGCATTTTCAGGTATCAACAAGTCTTTCATATCTACAATTTTAGCTGTACTTTATCAATGAGTAATGTTACAAGAAGTAAACAAACGATCCCAAATTACGGGATATTGTTGAGAACTCTGGATATGAGATTCAAGACGTTGCATGATTATCTAATTTCACCGACGACTGTTTGGTAGACAAAGAGTACTGCTAGCTGTATGTGATAAGGAGATAACGTGATAATGCTAATGACATGCTGTTACCATAATCAAGTTGGGGCGACTTCTGGTCGGCTTGTTGCCACCATGTCTGTTTGTATGAAAGGGGGAGCAGCTCACAGCAAGAGTATTGTTTGCAGCCACAACGGTGATACGCAGTCGACTGTGCCGAAGACTTTAGAGATTGAACCAAATTGAACGTAAAACTCGCAAGAATGGCCAAGCATCTAGTCAATATGCGCCTGCGAGGGCAGGTGTATTAGATCAGATGCCTAAGAGCGGAGTCGCGAAGTCGACCTATAAACGTCGTTCTCACACGGTGATCCGCGGCGATGGATCTGGGGGCGGAGACATCCACACTTGGTAGCGCCCTCTGGATCCGCGGCGAACCGGTGATACAGAATACCAATGCTTATCGTTCTGTCTTTACGGCAAGGTGGTTGATACCAACTATAGCCTGCTCGTATTTTCCTCCAGGGAAAAAAAACCCTAGTCTCCAGAATTGGGTTGTCGATAAGGATAACTACAATCCCCTGATCGAGTTTCACAAACCTATGTTGCGCGCACACGAGCTAGGTGCTGATAACTGGGCGTCGGAGGACAGCGAAGGAGCGTCAAGAGTACCAAGAGCAGTCTCAGTTTCGTACGGACGCCGTCGGAGCTCACCTTGAGCTTATCAACAAGAATCCTTCACGTGTCTGCGGTGATGCTGCAAATTCTGTGCTGGAGTTCTGCCAACCGTTCAACAGGCTCAATGGGTGCAGCGGAGCCGACCGAAGCTGAAAACCCAAAAGTCATGGCACTTTTGTCGTTGGTCAATTCCGACTTCAAGGCGCACGCGGTCATTGACTGGATTGGGCGCAAAGATACGACGGGTGCTTCCCGCATCCTGACAGGCTGAGGGACCCTGCTCGGCTTCCCCAGGGTGGCGTGGGGCACATCCTGCGGTCCTGCATGCTGTGCCCTACCTAGGACATGGCTAGAAAATTGTCACCCATGTGTGTGTTCATGTGTGTGTCGCAAATGCTCGTGCTTCGGGAACTCTGGAGCTCGGCTTGTCAATACGCCCTTGTGATACTTCACAATTTGCTACTAGCCACCCCCAGATTCTGCGTCTCGGCCCTATTCAGTGTTTAGATGATATGCCACAATGGGAAATGTCGATAGTACGAAGGGAGACATGATGGAGAATATGTCCATACTTGTCTGGGAATTGATGGTGATGACACCTGTCTCGCCCGAGCGTCCCTTTCACTGGGGTAGCTCGTTAATCACTGTTTAATGACAGGGCCAAGTCCCTCGAGTGTTCATCTAGTCTCATGTCTCATTACTGCGCGTAATGCGTGTTGTGGCTCCCTTGGTTCCGAGGCACAGATCTGGTCGCGCCGTCGGAACGGCGGGGGGGGGGGGGGGGGGGGCGCGACAAAAGCACTGATTCTCTTATCGCTAATCTTACTACCCTCCATCACCAATACCTTGAGCAGGAAAAACGAAAAAAAAAAAGTCCAAAATCCAAAAACAACACAAAAGCCTATCTCGATACTTTGGGCAAACCAAGCGATACTGTGCGTCAGCCAGGCTTTAGGATTGCAGCAAATGTTATGACATGAACCGTGCCTGACCGGACGGGCATACGCAGGTGACAGCTGGCGTACGGTAACAGCAGCAGATAGACGCGACATGGTGGAGGGTCTTAGGTAGTGCTGTCTCCCGCCCCTTGCCGCTCCTCCTAATACCCTTTTCGACCCGTGGCGTTGGTGGCGCCGTGGCGGCTGATGCAGCTATCTCCAACCAGTCTCGATCCTCCGCATGTTTGGTGTCTCTGGCAGGTTGAGGGTCACTTCGGGCGTTTCCTAGGGCCTTGGTGTCTCGGCCCCTTGGTCATACAGACTTGCGCAGTAAAGCGGAAGGATCTGCCACACCGGTGCATCGTACAGGACCGAAGCCCGGTCTTGAGCCTATCAGGGGACGTCTCTCATTCATCTTTGCTTGAAGACATAGACGTTGTCTCCGGACCAGCTCTTGTTCAATGTAATTGGTGCTTGATCGCGATTTTCAGCAAAAAAGACGCGGATGGGTCTTCAACACAGATCAGTTCAAGGGCCATGATTCGTGTGCAATCGATTGGCGGCATCCCGTTCTGAACACTGAGTCCAGGCCTATCCGTCGACTCGATTTTTGTCGGGCCACCAATGACAGCTGTCCCATGAAGCCGGCAAGCATTCACACCCTCACTCTACTAACCCTGCACTTTTGCTAGACCGGCTCTCCCACGTCCAGTCTCGTCTCTCCAATCTTAGCCGACTCCACTGTAAGTATCCATCGTTCCATCAACCTTCCAGAAGTGGAAGCGCGCCGTTAGCTTTGCCACTCACATCAAGAGCTAATGATCTTGGTCCGAGTCTGCGCAAGAGTCTGTGCTGTTGGTCGCGTTGGCAATCCTTGTCGTACCACTGCCAGAGTCCAAAAGAAAGGAAGAAGGGGGGAAAAGGTCCACTCCTTATCGCAGTACACCGAGCAACAATCGAAGGCATCCCAGGACTAAACTTTTTGTTTAACCCTGTCCGGTACTTCAACTCCGTTGAACGTTGGTGGGCATCCAACACGCAACCGTAACCTCACTATACTTTCCAGTCCGCTTGCCTTTCGAAATTGAAGTATGCATGCTGGCCCAAGTAGCCAGCGAGAGCCAGTCTCACGCAAAGGGTGCTGTGACTTGGTAGGCAAACACGCGTCTGTCACCAAAGAATGACCAACCGATAAGAGAGGAAGGGGCCGAATGGCTTGCCGCTTGGTTCCGAGAGATATCGTCCTCTCCAGTTTCTTTCTTGCCCCAGGCCAGGCTCATCTGTCCCCGATCTTCACTCTGTCCCTCCCACACTCCCTTGTCCTGCTAACCCTAGCCATTCTGTATCTCTTTGGTGCAACCGTTTTTTCTGTCAAACCCACGCCCCGTGGACCCTGTCTCCCATCCCAACCCGCATCCCTTGTTGGCTGCACACCGTTCATAATCTGGGTCAATCCACCGAAATGGACACCGAACCGCATGAGGGTTTCCTCCACACCAAAATGGCGGCGAACTCCATTCCCTCCACCCCCCCGGCTGGGTGCTGATAAGCTCGACGAGTAGGCTTCGGCTTACAGTCCAGAGACTTGCCTAGCCTGGCCTCGGCACTACTTTCGGTTTTCTTGATCGTCGCACTGGGTTGTTTAAAAAGGGCATCCCTCGGACGCGTAAAACATAAGGGTCTCGTCTCGTGGTTCTCGTCTGTGTCGTGCAGCTCCCTCTCCTCGAGTTCCTCGCCGCCAACCCTCCCTCCACAACCCCAGGGCACTTTCAGCTGTGTGGCCCACGGTTCCGTTGGTCATCCCTTGAAGAATTCCTTTCTTCCAGTTTTTCTCTGCTCCGCCAGTGCGCTCGAAATTTCGTCAGCCATGGCTTCTCAGGTCACCGAGGTCAACCAGACCAACACCGCCGGCAGCACGCCACCCCGCCGCAACTCGGACCCGGCGCTGGAGATCAACAACCAACACCACCACCAACATCTGCACCACAGTGCCCGCGTTGATGCCAAGGGTCACGACGACAACGTGACCTACGCGCGGACTGGTGACTCGACTGTCCCTCACCAGAGTCATCTCCATCAACACGCCGACGCTCCCCATGACATTGAGAAGGGCGACAAGCTTAGCGGTCCTCCCGACTACGATGGCGAGAAGACTGGCGTTGTGTCTTCCAATGAGGCTGAAGAGAAGAAACCCTCCAAGCTGAAGACGCTCTACCGCCGTCACAAGTGGGTTGTACACGCATTCTTCTTTTGCTTGTTCACCGGCTGGTGGATCGCTTCGCTCGTGCTGCACCGCAACGACAAGAACTGGGTCGTTCCGTTCCTCGTCTGGCTCGGCATCTGTCTTCGCCTCCTCTTCTTTTACGTCCCGAGCTCCTACGTCTCCCGGCCGATCAAGTTTGTGTGGCAACACAGCGCTGTATACATCTATAACTTCATCCCCGCCAAGTTCCGTACCATTGCCGGTGCTGCCTTGGCGCTCGCCGTCATGATCGTTGGTTCTTTTGTCTCAGAGGAGTCAGCCGACAACACCCGCGAGAACCGTGCTGTTTCCATCTTCGGTCTTCTCGTCATTCTGTTTGTCTTCTGGGCGACATCCAGAGATCGCAAGCGTGTCAACTGGCGTCCCGTTATTGGCGGCATGCTGTCGCAATACATCATTGCACTCTTCGTCCTCCGTACTGGTGTCGGTTATGACATCTTCAAGTTCATCGCAGATCGCGCTGGTGACTTGCTCGGCTTCGCCAACCAGGGAACCGCTTTCCTGACAGCTGAGAGCGTCATTGACCTTCACTGGTTCATCTCCGGCGTCATCCCCCCCATCATCTTTTTCGTAGCCATTGTCCAGGTCTTGTACTTTATTGGCTTCCTCCAGTGGTTCATTGGAAAGTTCGCGACCTTTGTTTTCTGGGCGCTTGAGGTGTCTGGTGCCGAGGCTGTCGTAGCCGCTGCCACTCCTTTCATCGGACAGGGCGAGTCTGCCATGCTGGTTCGTCCTTTTGTTGCTCACATGACCAAAGCCGAGATTCACCAGATTATGACTTGCGGTTTCGCAACCATTTCCGGATCTGTTCTCGTCTCGTATATCAGCCTGGGTCTCAATGCTCAGGCCATGGTATCGTCTTGCGTCATGTCCATCCCTGCTTCCATCGCCATCTCCAAGCTTCGCTACCCTGAGAGGGAAGAGACGTTGACCGCCGGAAAGGTCGTCATCCCTGATGACGACGAGCACGAGGCTAAGAACGCCATCCACGCCTTCGCCAACGGTGCGTGGCTGGGTATTAAGATCGCCGGTACCATTATCGCGTCGATTCTTTGCATCCTGGCCTTTATCGGTCTCGTTGATGGTCTTCTGACTTGGTGGGGAGGCTACCTCAACATCAACGACCCTGACCTGACCCTCAACCTCATTGTTGGTTACCTCTTCTACCCGGTCGCCTTCCTTCTGGGTGTCCCCCGTAACGGAGACTTGCTCAAGGTCGCTCGTCTGATCGCCCTGAAGGTCATCGCTGTAAGTGCAATAACTCACTCGCTCTGCACGTTATTGTGTTTTTCCACGTCAGATACTTACTACTACATCGTCAGAATGAGTACGTTGCTTTCTCTGCGATGAAGGAACCCGAGTACCTCGATCTCTCACCCCGTTCTCAGCTTATCGCTACATATGCCCTCTGCGGATTCGGCAACATCGGCTCTCTGGGTATCCAGATTGGTATCCTGGGTCAGCTGGCCCCCAGCCGTGGTGGTGATGTCAGCTCGTTGGCTATTTCCGCTCTGATTTCTGGTGTCATGTCCACCTTGACCTCAGCCGCCGTTGCTGGTCTTGTCGTCACTCATCAGACGACTAATCTGGCCATTGCAGCTTGATCAAGGAGACGTATAATGAAATCGAAATGGGCGTTCTATAGACGAAACGTCGACAAAATGATGCGAGATGAGAAGACGCTGTACGATGTTGATAAAGCGCATACCGGTCGCTTTGAAGAGAAAATATGCGCCGATAGTAGTAGTAAATAATAATACCCTTTGTCAGCAAGCGAGCTGACCAATTCAACTGGGACTGCCAATTCCACTAACAAATGGAACGTGACTGGCGGGGGTTTCTGGGTTTTATACTAAGGTGAATACAACCAAGACGTAATCGTGGTATTTCTTGCGCGATCCTCTTCTTATTAATGCGATCTTCTCTTGAAATGGGGTTTGCTGGTTTTGGCCCCCTCCCCCCGGTCCAAATCCGACTTGTTGGCCCGCGAGTTGCGCCGAGAGGCCCCGGCCGCCTAAAGAAGGGCGCGACTGGCCATTGGCATTGGAGCTAAGCACGGGAAAATTTGACAAGCGAGAGAGCAAAAGGCTCAAAGTCCGCCGGTCTCCTGCGGGAGTCGGCGCCGGCCGTAACCGCACGTGCAGTTTTCGACAACTGGATCTCGCAAACCTTGATCAATGCGATTTTTGATGCGTAATACAAACAGATAATGGAGTCAAAATCAACGTTTTTAATGGGACCTCAGAGACCCCCCCCCCCCCCCCCCCATTGATCTTTGGAGCCTCTAAACAGCTATAGGCCTGGGTTTCGTGGTCCTCTCAAGTGGGTTGTTGAACCAAGCGAGGTTGGAACGGTGCTGGTCCTCTCGACATATGTCTGGCGTCTGTCAATATCTACCTTTATGTTCATTACTCACGATTTAAGATGGTCTTTCCCGATGCCTGCATGCATCTCTACAGCTGTGGTCTGATCCTGGACAGCTTTTTATGTCCAATTATCATCATGAGATTGATCCAGCACGCCACGACTGCCATGACAAAGCATGGCTTTCATGCCTGGTTGTTCCCAGCGCGTATACTTTTGTAATGACAGAAAGCGCATCAGAGACCTCGGGTTGTCTGCATTTCTATCTCTGTTTACCAGGGCTTGGCTGGACCGAAGAGGCTGCCCGCCCTTGACGAGACAGGGGACAAGTTGTATGGAGTATGTATCGGCGCGCGACTTTGTCACAGGCATGTTGCCCATGCTATTGGTATGGGTACTACGCGCCCTGCATCCTTAGCAATCGGCACTACTGGTATTGCCTTTACGATGTTGGAACAATGCTCACTCGAAATTGCCATAAACTTGAGCTATGAAACAGTCAGCCACCGCAAAAGGCTCTTACGTGAGTTGTGCTGGTCAAACTCTTGCATCATCGAACACCCGGAGGCGAGTTAAGATATCAAGAGAGGAATATATTTATGAACCCACGCGAGATTGCTACAGTTATGTACGGGAGAAATTGAGACATTCTTGGGCAAAACTCTACGGACAAGAATGTAGCCTCGAAAGAATGGAGGTTGGGCCACAAGGTATCTTCTAGGAAGAATACCTGCCTTGGGCCCCGTGTATCGAGCATTGTCAATGGAGTGGCAGCACTACGATTTATACTGCAAGGCACTGAGAGTACCATTCATTGATCTTGACGCACTTGAAGCCAGAGATGCAAGTAGTGGGGCCGGCGTAGCCACCGCCACCGCACTGAGCCCATGCTCCGACGGCCGTACTGGAGCCGGTTGCCTTGTTCGGGGCGGTAGCGGCGGCGGCGGCGGTGGTGGTAGTGGTGGTAGCGGCGGTGGAGGTAACAGCATTGACGATGGGATTGGCAGAAACGGAGGTGGCCGGCGAACTGGAACCGGAACTGGAGCTGCCAGATTGCCAGCCACGGTTGCGGGAGAGCTCGTACCACCAATTGCGAAGCATCCAACCGTCGAAATCGGTGATTTGGGCAGCAGAGCCAGCCAGCATGATGAAGCTGGAGACTCCAGTGGGCGTCCAGTCTGAATGAACGTTAGCGTTGAACCTTGCAAGTATTTTGAGTTTTATCTGGCTTTGAAACCACGGAGAATGAACAAGGCTATCTTGACATACCGTAAACTGTGAGAGAACTTATGTTAGTTGAATGATAGGAATTATATCTTCTATTGAGGTAGACTTACAATCGTCAAGGCCGTAGGTGTGTCCGATCTCATGTTGGAGGATATGGATGTTGGCAGAATCCAGAGCACCCATGAAGTACTCACGGCCGATACGCTGACCCCAGTCACCCCCAGCACCACCGTTCAAGCCGTCCGTAAGCCAAAGAGACTGGTCGTAGTGGCGATCGGCACCACCGGCGCACTTGCTGTAGTCACCGTTCTGATTGAAGAAACGGCCGCAAGACTCGGCGCATTGGGGAGCACCCTCGCCGTCTTTGTCGGTGTAGACGTCAATGCCCGAAGTCGAACCTTGGAGAAGACTCTTATCGCGGACGGCCCAGCCGACGACATTGACTTCGATGTTGCTGTACGGGAAGTTGTCATAGCCGTAGAGCCACTTGTACCAGCCCTGGTGAGCCGAGTTCAGAGCCTTGGCAACCTGGGTGCGCTGAGCCTCTGTGACCGAGGCTCCAGACTCCCAGCGAACGCAGACATTAATTGTGCCCTTGGTAGCAACAACCTGGTCCCAGCCAAAGTTCTTGAAGCCGAAAAGGCTGTTGGTATAGGTGCTCTTGCAGTGTTCCCAAACCTCCTCCAGAGGCGTGACAAGAGGAGAAGGAGGGCTCCAGCCGCTTTGCCTCTTGACCGGACGATTTCGGGACATATCCTCAAATACTCTAGCCTCGACGGGAGCGAGGGCCTGCCACACAGATCCGTCGAGGTCGGAAAAAGTCGAAATGTTCATGGCTTGAGAGGAAGCAACCACAGCCATAGCGGTGGCGGAGGTAGTAGCGAAGCGCATGGTGAAACGAAAGGGAAAACGAATAAGAATACAGCGAATTTACAGAAGTGAAGTAATAGCTAAAGAACTCGAAACGACCGACAAGATGATGAAGTTAGCACAGAACCCTGAGAATGCGAAAAAAGAATGCCCTAGATGGGCGCAGCCTGGCAAGGAATATATACACAAAAACATCACTAACCGCTTGTCGTCTCCATAGACCCGGTATTGTGAACAATCCACTATTCTCTTCGGGCGTGTCACGCTAGCCTAGGGATATGCCGTATATACGGACTGGGCGAAGAATTCTACGATACGAGACTCCTCTTTCACCTTTTTCTCAAGCGCCAGAACCCCATTTAGGGGGGTTTTTATGTTCGTCGGCGAAAGTGATTGGCGGGAGAACAAGACTGCGGAGATTAATGGGACGATTGGCGATGAAGAATTACAATTAAGGGCTGCTGTAAGGGTGGCGTTGGCCATCCGAATTGAGGGACCAATCCTGCCGCGTGGAGAGGGGCAGAATGGGAGTCCTTCCTTTCTTGAACAGTTGAGCCGGATGTAAACAGCGCCAAGGCATGATGCTCAATTATCTTGCGACAAGCAAGTTCTTAAACCATGGAAAATCTGGGGTCGAGTGTATACGTATGTGATCTCTATGAGGAACAACCGGTTGTCGACCCAACCATCTGCCCTCTCCATTGCCATGATTCAAGTGGAAAACACGGTTCATTCAAGGCCACTCGTGCGGTATTGGCCACCCAATGTTGAAGTCATCCGAACTTATCGAGACCCAATCTTTTGAGAACTCGAGGGAGAAAGAAGGTTATGTGACTTCGGGTCGATCACCCGACTAACGGAGAATGCAGCTGCCTTGGATGGAAAGAGGAAAGGTTGCCGAAAAGACAAGCAAGGAAGACGTTCTAGACACGCGAAAGCGAGCAATGGTGAAACAATTTCTTTCAATTGCGGGACTGGCGTCCAGAAACCCGGTCGTTCCCTTGTCTGTTTGCACGCGCTTTAGTGAGGTTACATAATACGGGCAAGCAGTGCAAGGAACGTCATCTTGGGTGCTTGACGTCCGATGCGGACGTAACATGGAGTTAGGGAAAGTCCATATTATTGAAGCTGACATGGTCATCTTAGTCTTGGTATCGAGTAAAACTCTTGACCGCTTTCTCTCCTTGAGAGGCTCAAATTCTGTGATGTGCATGTCTGGCAGCGACCACCAGGCGGGGTCCAATGCAATCAACTAATAAGTACGGTCAAAAAGTAACTACAGACGTATTCGCCTAGCTAAGTGTTAAGTGAATCATGCCGTATCTAGTATTTTATAGCGGAATAGGACCTAGTTATGCTCGGACTAAAGCATCTTATGCACAGGCATACCGCAGCTCTTGCAATGATCGTGTGCACTCTTCTGGAACGTCCAGATTCCGTGAAAAGCGTGCAGTACTGCAGATTTCCATCATAAACCACCGGCATTGCCACGTTATTTCAGATCAAATGCAACCACATAAAACTAGCCCGAAAAGGTCCATTACCGCTGTCAGGGGGGTTGTAGTTACCATGGTAATATGTTGACATCGGTCGTGGACAACATCCGCAGGTAAAAATCTGACGTCATGTGTAAGTGTTCACATCATGTCAATATTTTGGTATCCATGTGAGAATTTTGACATCGTAACAGAGGACCACTAGGGAGTGCTTCAGGGGCTTTAGGTGGTATGCTCAGGGGATAGGGTTCTGCTAGCGCTCTTCCTAGCACTCACTTTTTTTTTAATAGGCGGGTGCTTAGAGGAGCGCTGGACTACCTTCACCACATCGCCCCAGGCGATTTATTGAATGGCTAAGTCTACAACACTAACACCACCACCACCACCGCTATCATAAATCAATCACCACATCACAGCCATTCAACCTCCCAGTCCACCCATACCAATGTGTGATTGTCAAAAGGCACCTTACAGAGCTTGTCTGGAAGCAATACTCCGATGCCGATGATAGTTGACATGCCGTTGGTTGCCGATGCGCATTGTAGCCTCAGCTTTGACGGCATAGTGCTCTTGCCTTCCCTGACAAAGGTAGACTTGGAGCCTCTAGAAATCCGATGGCGATTACTTTAGATTCAACTTTTGCTTAGAACACACGAAATTAAGCATAACGACCCAGCCTAGATTTCTCAAGAGGACGTGATTGCACTTGCGGACAGACCCTAGTCGGACTTTTGGAATGACACTCCACTTCCTACTCCACTTTCCAGGCCCGGCTGAAGTGGCATTCGTCTCCCTTACTATGTGGTGGGTACATTTAATATTCCCCAGGTGACTCCGTGGGTTCATCGATAACCTGATCTCTGGAAGAAGCTTAAATGGCCGTATGGTAGAAACGCGGCCTTGCCGCGTGCATCTGACCCTTTTTCATTTCACAGCCTTTAATCTTCCGTACATCATTGAACATGCTGCAGGTGGATGGTGGCGCTGGCTTGGCAAAGCGGTCCGTGGAATATTGGCTTGAGAGGCTAGAACAGGAATTGTTCGCCGAGCTACATATTATGCGCTGTCGATGTGGCCTGTTGTTTACGCCGAACTCGACGTCACGTTCCTTGTATTACTACGTAGTCTAACCCGCTAACGATACTGAAAAGAGTTTTAAAAATTTCTTTGAGATCTTGGGTGGGCAGAGACCAACTGTCAAGGTCTGAGTATTAGCTGCCCGAACTGTCAATACAAAATCAGAGTCTAGTTAGCAAGCTCACTCTATCACACTGACTTCAGGTGTCCCGTGCGATTTGTAACCGAACTAACCTCGCAACGCTTCGCTGCCTCACTGGCACCGTGGGCTTCGCCGTGGATAGTGATCATGGCAAAGTTACGAACGAGAGAGTCACTCCGCAAAGGATAGTTTATAAGCTTTGTGACACTTCAAGTTGTAGTGAGCTTCAAGGTTTCATGACTCTAGACGCCCTGGGACTCAATGCGGTATGGTTGCAATCAGGCGAGCTTTTTAGTAATACTCAGCGCTAATTAAGGTATCACGTAGAGCTCTCGGTCTTGACAAGTCTCATTTCTTCTACCAAAAGACCAAAGCGCAACTGAGAGAACATTGCCCCTAAATCTAGTTTGTTAACATCGCAGCTCCTATAGACTGGGCGTTCTGTGCACCATCACTGGCTTGTACTACCTAATCATGGAAATGTGACATCCTATGTAAAACAGTGTTACACCTAATGCCTCGTGGCGATCTTTGCTTGTATATCATGCTGATCAAGCGACAGCCGTTTGCCGGCCAGTGCTTACCAATCTGCTTCTCTTGCTCATAGATGTATGGAATAGTCTAAACCTAGGAGCCTCTGGTTCTTTTGAGGATGTCTACAGAATAACCCTCCGGCATTCGACACCGAGGTACAGTTAGCGACACAATACCGGTATGGTAAGTGGGGGATCCCCGCACTGTAAGTGTCATCCCAAACTACCGGTAGGAGAGATGATCGACGTGGACTTTGTAAGAAAAATGCTCGAGCCTTCTGCCCCTTTCCCTTATGGCTTTGTTTGATTGATACATTGACTCTGGGTTGAAAAAAGTCTGGCAATACCGGCACAAAAGACGAAACAAGCTCATACTGGGTAGATGTAACATCAAGTTTACCCAAATCGCAGCGCACGAAAGCCTGAAGCTATAGACTTCTCTTTCCAGACCCGGTAATTATGAGACAAGTATGCCCTCTTGAGAAATTTGCGAAGGTCTCGCATGATCATTTCTCAGTGTCTCTGGTGCACGGCATTGGCTTGTGGTTTCGTCTGTTTCTGTCGCTCTGCGCGTCAGGTTTTCTCCCGTGCGTCATCTCATGTCATGCTGTCTGATTTTTGCAGGGAAGTCCCACAGTACAGCCTGGCACGTCGATCTTGTAGTCCAATCATGTCGTTAGGCCGGCCTTTCTTACCAGGCGTGCCTGAACCCACAAGGTCAAACCTCAAACATGTCCGTCTGAACTCGGATTGACCGAGGACCCGAGAACTCTGTTGATCATCGCCTACCTCACAGCAGTCTGAGCTTCCCGGATACCGGACGGCGAGTACAAAAAGAGACAGAGAGGTCGCGGACTTGGTATGCAGTGAGTTCTAAATCATCCAAAGTCTTTCATTTTATCATTGAGTTGAACTCAAATTTCTCCCAAGTTCTGTGAACTTTCTTTCTTTCTGGCCTAATTAGTTTCAATCCAACTCATCATCCCATTCTTTCAAATCTCCGAAAACCTTACTTCAATTCCGTTCATTCCAACAAGATGCAAACCAAAATTGTTCTTTTGGCCTTCCTTGGTGCCATGAGTGCCTCGGCTGCTACCATCAAACGACAGAACACTGGCGCCGATTTTGGCACATGCACTCCAACCATGGACTTCCAACTTGGTCGTCCCGGGCGCAAGGCTACTGAGGGCACGTTTCTGCCCACCGATCCCACTGTCGCCAAGGGCCAGCAAGATGCTCTAAACCCAAACATCATTACCAACCGGATTTGCGACCAGCTCACAAACGTCTGCGGGGCCAATCAAGCCGCAAAGGACCAATGTACGCAAGCCAAAGCAAAGGTCGCTGCGGCGGGCACCAAGGATGCTTCAACGGCGACCCTATTCAACAGCGCTTTGGGCTTCTAATTAACGACGCCGACTTTTCCATCCGATTGCTCCAATACTCAAAGGCACTGGCTGGATATCTATGAAGAACATATCTTGCAAGCCGCATTTGAGTCGAAAGAGGGCTGTCGTAGTTGTGACAGCCGGTGACTGCACTTAAGCTCATCTACAGTCTGTATATTCTCAAGAGTGTACAGAAGTTGGGTGATTTTAGCGAGTAGGATGTGGTCGAAGTTCAACGAGAGATCGATGGACACAACATGACTGTGTAAGCAAACGTGACCGCCGAATCAATATAATCTTTCTCACGTAACGGCAATACAATCTAAGAATGATCGTTGGATCTGGCAGCGTGACTCTATCCTGTAACAGCAGTTGTGCGGTGATGTCAAAGACGGACTGTTTCAAAGGTTCCGACTAAAGTCACTCGCTTTCCATTCCAAGCTTTGTGCTCAGTGCCATTGTCCGAGCCGAATCATTCTATGGCTTTGTGCTGGCCGTTTTGGATAAAGAGAGTGAAGCATTGGAAGCGAGAAGCTAGAACCCTCAAGGTTAATATCACTGGCTCTCAAAATAAAATAAAAGATCCAAAGCGGATTTTAGGAGGTTAGACTCGTGCTGCGTTGGTTTTTCTTATGGTTAACTTGTGCCGCTAAGCGATTCGTAAGGTTTACGGCCGTGTACAATGTATCTGCCGAAATCAGTCCACTGTGAATCTACGGGACACCTCAGGTGCAGAGCGAAACTTACATGGGCCAGTATGCATGCACAGTGGGGTCTCTCATGACCTTCCTCGCCTTACTGACCAAGACAATGACCTCTTCATAGGTCCAGCCTAGCGCTCTCGTAAGAGGCGCAAGTGTAGCTGGTTCCAGAGCCTGGTCCATGTTCTCCAAACTCCACATTCCTATCTCCTTGTAGTGTGCGTCTCGAGGCCAACGGTTCGTCGGCCATTTGTAAATTGTCTCGACGACATCCTCGAATCCAGCGGCCTCCATGAGCTGTTTCCATTGCTGAGCAGCACTGACAGGACGGCCAAACTTCTCCATGCCTTCCATAACGAGAAGAACCCATTTCCAGAGGTCTGAATCCACAGTCAAGGTACCGTCGTCACAACCAAGGGGAAGTGCCATGTCCTGTGCCTCAAAGTAGCCGCCTGGTTCCAACGAGCTATTTGTATGGTGAGTTCTCGACCAAGCCAAGTACGCTCACTTCTTACTCACTCGAAAGCCTTTTGCACAATGCTCATGTTGTCAGCAAAGCTGCCCGTCATCATGCGGCAGAAAATGAAGTCGAAGGGCTTTGACCATGTCCAATCCTTTTCAAGGTCATCAAGCTTGCCAGACTGGTGTTAGTTTCCAGACGCACCGAGGGCCCAAGTTGAGACAAGATTCACCTCGAAAGAGCAGTTTGGAGGGACACTAGACCAGGTTAGTAGTGGAAGTGACAAGAATGATTTTCAGGACGAGATAACGGGAGCAGCTCACAGGTCAGGCTGCACGGGACTGAGATCAACACCTATGACCTAGCTACAGGTCAGTCGAAAGCGTTACAGCTGGACATGAATTTCCAGATACCTCTGCTCCAGGGTGAGCATCCGCTAATGTTTTCATAACTGGTTAGATCTGTGTTGTGGCTTGACATGATCTCAGCAGTGAGATTTGGCTTACCGTATTCTACAGACCAAATCCCCGTGCCAGTCCCGAGATCCAACACTCGTCTCGCACCCATGTTCTTGGGACAGAGGCAATGATTTCCTCCCAGTGTCAGTGTCATGACATAGTGCTGTAGATCTGGTGTAGCCGCGGTCAGAAAAAGGCGACAGTATGTGGCCATGAAAAATGCCCACCTAATCTATCGACTTCGGTCTTGAGAATGGATGTGTCAACAACTTCGCAATAAAATGTACAGGGTTGCATGCAAATGTCACTGTACCTCATCGTTTGGGAGGAAATATTCTACCAAGGCAGTCAGCTCGGCAATGTAAACCTTTGCAATGATGAAAAACCTACTCCCTGCACTCATAGCATGATATGTGCGTCCGTTCTCATGTTGATACTGCCGAATGCTTGATCGCAAGGACGTAAGAGAGTCCCGAAAAGGCTGAAGGGCAATTGGTCAGCCCTATTGAAATAAAGCTGCCCTGGTGGAGAGATCAAATCCCACGAACAAACATAATTTCTCAGGAGCAAAGAAGCTAAGGGAGTGGAAACTTGACTAAACGAATCATATTCCATCATCCTTGGAATGTTCGAACTTTGGGGACTTTGCATGAGGGACTTAATGTTTGGGTGGTAGAATAATGTCAGTTGAAACTTACGAAATCCAGTGCGGAATCAACATCGGAAATGTCGGCTGAGTCAACTTCCTAATCGCCGTTGGGTGAGTATCGGTGTAGGTTAGGGCACGCACACACACGCGTACAGTCAAGTACGAAATGAGTACGAACAGCTGGAAAGGCGAACTTACGATCTGCGAGCCGAGCTCCCGTTCGGATCCAAGCGCATGCGAAGGTTCCGGTGGCGGTGACACGGCATCTACCGCTGGAGTCGACACTGGCGTTGACTCGGACGGACCGGAGCATTGGGCGGATGCTGGAGAATGCGGCGGAGAACCCACCATGCTGGGCCGTTCGGCGATGTCGCGCAATCGTTGGCCAGTACAGATTTGCCGATAAGCACGGCAAGCTACGCAGGGAACACTGGACCAGCGGACATCTACAGTGAACGATAGTCAATAAGAGGCAGGAGAAGAAAATGGGCGGGCAGAGGTCAAGACTGTGCAAAAAGCAGAGTCAAGCAGAGGAGGGCTACGCCCAACGGAATGAACAATGTTGTATGTCTTATTGCAGAGTATATGGGCCTCAGGCAACAGAACCAGTGTCTGGGTCTTTGTGATACATCAGACCTGGAGCGTTGGGTGTCTGGGTGTCTTCGCCGGTTCAAGGTACGTGCGGCAAAAAGAGCGAACACGCTACTGCGCGGTGTGGCATGATGTGGCCAAAGGGATGACGGCGATGACAGATAAGACCATGCACGAAGCTCAGGAAAGGCACCCGGGTCGTTGATAACATTCCGTGCCTAAACAGCTCGGTTATTAGCTGCATTGAGGCATCAGGGAAACGTGAAGAATCGAGAAAGCTGACCAGACGATTAATTAAGGAGAAAACAGGCGAGACCACACTCACTGGCCTCTGACGTCCACGAAACTGAGGGAAACAACAAACATATGAATCGGACAGCACCGAAACAGCTGGATGCAGCGGCGATCCCGTTGGGCTGACCACTACTACCATGAACCATTCAATTTGCGGTGTTCGTACGTACATAAGTCGACATTTATGAATACGGACGTAGGTATTCAAGTACCCACAGGTGATGAAGCCACGGCGCAGGCCTCTCCCCGGTGTTGTTCGTATATGAACAAGTCATTGCATAAAATCCACTGTTTGCTCGGCCGCACCCGTCTTGAGCCTTCAATGGGCCCCTTCGCCGAGCGTGCCACTGACACTAGCTAGGGATTTAAAGGTAGCGTCGAGACTGGGGAACCGGAGTGAGACACCTGCCAAGACCCCGCTATTTCTCGGTGAGAACATGAAGGTGGGAACGAGACGAGCCTTTGGGAAAAAGATGAAAAAAGAAAAGGCATTCAATTGAAAAAGGGAAAAAGGAAAAGGAAGGGCGCCGCTTGGCAGGATTTGGGCCCGGCCAGCTCTAGCAAGCTTGGATGTCGAACGGGTGATTGGCGAATTGGCAAGCCCGGGATACAAATCCTACGATGTTCATGGCTTTGTCACTGGCTCATTTTTATGGCCACATCCATCAACCATCCCTATTACGGGTAGCTCACACTGTTAAGGCGTTTTTGCCGAGGTGATAGCGAGCTATGGTACTTTATCCTTGGTCTTGTCCGGCTGTTGTGGCCGTTGGGTTGCATTCCCAGGGCCAAGGAGACAGGTTAGTAATAGGAAAGTTCATAGACGTGAGATAGAATACAAGGCGTGAAGTCAAAGACTTCGTCTGGAAACATATATGCAAAGGCAAAGTGCCAAAAATGGCTGTTTGTATAGGGAATTGCACGCGTACCTGATTTATGGGTTACGAAATGCCTGTCGCACAGGCCCGGGTCCATCCTGCAAAGATCAATTGCCCAGTCTTCACTCCTCGCCTCAATGTAAGTAGTACCCTTTGCAATCAAGTCTTTGTTAGTTGATTCGATAACAGAGTGCCATCCCTGCCTGACATGCATTTAGCGAGTACTAAAGCTGCGATGTGATCGCGGGCCACACCAGCTTCTTTGGGAAAAGTAATCGTTCATAGTTCAACTACCCATGCCGGTCGTCCGTGTGGGGGAATCGACTTAACCTATAGCAGTTCCTCTACTTTTCCGTATTTACTGTCACTGCCCGCTTTCCCGTTTCTTCTTTCAACCTAAGTTGCAATTGCCATTTTACGACGCATCCCCCCTTGTGACGACGTAAAGCCTGCGTCTTCAGGGTTGCTATTTCTTCTTTCTGGCCGCGTAAGCTGCAGACTGCATGGCCGAGTCTCGACATCAAGGTACCAGAATATCCGAATTTTCCATACTTAGAATCTCGTACAGGATCTGCGTCATTCGACATTGGAGAGCCAAATCTGAAACTTGCGACATCTCAACGGCAGCGGAGTGAAGGCAAAATTGTATCCACGAACGTAGGCACAATCTACGGCATTGGAATCCTGTCGTCAGCGGTTAGCAACTAGTCGCCAGTCACCTTCCGTCCACACACGTGCCCAGCACCTGGGTCTCATCACAGATCCGCCATCTCACTACCCTCGCTGTTTCTTCCCACCCCGGTCTCCTTCGCTCGGCAATTCATTCCATCGAGCCTGCTACCCGAGAACCTGGATTATTGCCGTCTCCAACAGCTGGTCTTTACCATGTTGTGCTCACCAACAGCAGCTGTCTTCACTTGCACCCTACTTTTGACCGCGTATCTGATCGTATGCCGACTCCGTGATTATGCACGCCTGAGACATGTCCCTGGTCCCTTTTGTGCCGCCTGGACCGATTTCTGGTTAATACGACATCAACTGAGCGGCAGGCTCAATTTCACGCTGCAAGACATCAACAAAGAACATGGTGTGTGTCCCGAGTTTGTCCTTAATTAGATTGTATCTGCACCTACTTCATTTCTCTAATTTCCTTATCCCACTCCAATACCCTTAAATCATCTCAGTTCTCACTTGCTTGCGTCAAAGTTTGCCTGCAGACTCTGCAACTAACGAAGATCCTTATTGCTAGGTTCCGTTGTTCGGATCGCTCCTAATTGGGTAGTCTGTGGCGACGGTGCTGAGCTGCGCCGCATGTGGGCAGTTCGCTCACCGTGGAAGCGGGGACATTGGTATCGAGGCCTACGAATAGACCCCTACCGAGACAGCATTATCTCGACCATAGACGACAAGACCCATGAGGCGCTCCGATCTAAGCTGTCGGTTGGATACTCGGGAAAGGATGTCGACGGCGTACACGAGCTCATCGATGAGCAGGTTGCTGGACTCGTCAGCTTGCTAGAAACCAGGTACCTTTCGACCGACACCACCTTCAAGACGGTTGACTTGGCCCGAAAAGTCCAATTCTTCACTCTCGATGTAATTTCCGCCTTGGCATTCGGCGCAAAGTTTGGCTACTTGGACGCCGACGATGACACACTCCGGTACATCGAGACGACAGAGAAGACCATTCCCGTCATATTAATGACGGCGCTGATGCCCTCGCTTCTTGCAATAATCCAGTCACCGAGGCTCAAATGGCTCATGCCAGATACCAAAAACATGATTGGTATCGGAAATGTCATGAAGATGGCTCATAACACTGTGCAGAAACGCTACGGCGACAAGCCCGTCATCAAGCGTGATATGCTAGGCTCGTTTATTGCCCATGGCTTGTCAAAGGAAGACGCCGAGGGCGAGACTCTGGTTCAAATCATCGCAGGATCTGACACTTCTGCAACGGCAATCCGCTCTACGATGCTGTTCTTGATCACCAATCCACATGTCTATGCTCGTTTGCAGGCTGAAATTGACGCAGGCATCCAGGAAGGTTGGATATCGTCACCAATTACTGACGAAGAGGCAAGAAAGTTCGATTACCTTCAAGCCGTTATCAAAGAGGGTCTGCGACTATGGCCACCTGCGACAGGTTTGCTGCCAAAGGTTTCGGAACAAGACGAGGTCGTTTGTGGAATACATATTCCTGCGGGTACCAATGTCGCATGGGCGCCTTGGTCTGTTATGAGGAGCAAGGAGGTCTTTGGCGAGGATGCCAATTTATTCCGTCCGGAACGTTGGCTCGGGATTTCTGCAGAGAAATACAGGGCAATGGACCAACAAGTCATGATGGACTTTGCTTCTGGCAGCCGGTGGGAGTGCTTAGGAAAGAACATTGCTACAATTGAACTGAACAAGGTCTATGTCGAGGTAAGTGTTGCCCATGGCGGCCATGCAACTCCTCGCTGAGGAACACACCTAATTTCGGTCAATTCAGCTGTTGAGACGATTCGATTTTACTTTATTAGACCCTACGAACCCATGGAAGTCTTTCAACGCCGCTTTCTTCATACAAAGCGACTTCCATGTCAAAGTAAAGCGACGCCCCTCCAAAGCTTGAACTTGGCTGGAAAGATATAGTATTGGATGGTTAAGTATCTTGGGTATTCCTCGGTTCAGGGCATTCATCTCTTAGCGGAGAACGCACTATCTTAAGTTTGTCAGACAATCAGAACACAGCTTCGACAATGCCTTTAACTCGTCCGTATTATATACTCTCTGGGCTTTAGTTTGGTTCACAGGAGAAACCCGATACATGCGTTAGTGCCCTTGGAAAAGTAATTGTTTGATTGGAAATGCAAAAAGGACCAGCAAACTATGATCGTTGCTACAAAGCAGGTCAGTGTATGCTTATGTTCAAGTCCGCAATCGATTATTAAGGTCGACCTTATACATACTTTGATAGTTTTCTGTAGAGGGTGAACTGTACTAGACCACTTATGGGGGCTAGAAAACAACTGAGACTAGATTGAGGTCGACTTTCAGACAAGTTGAATAAACATCGAAGTCTAGATTCGAGCTCAGATCCAAGAGACGACCTCCCATCCCTGTTATGTGCCTCAAAGGCCGCACTCACCAATTTCTAGCTCACTCTCTAGAGCGCGTACTATCTATTGGATTCTGCTAATTTGTACCCACCCATGCAGACCATGCTTTCCTAGCCAGGATATGGTCCAGAACCTGGAAGAATGAACTCTATACCTTTTTCTTAAATGACCTAAGACGCGCCAGAATGTCGAGCCAGCAGACCATTTCACACAAAGACACCGCCCATGAAATACTTGACTTAGCTGCCAATGAAGTCGTATTCAAAGATAACGCCATACTAAGGCAGCCATAGATAACGAAACAGTAGCATGTCCGTTGCAATCCATTTAATCTCAACTCTTGATCAGCAACGTCAAAGGCATTCACTGAGATGCTTGGGCAAGACCGCACGTAGACAGTTCGCCGAAGAACCCATGTCACAAGGCACTGGACCAACAGATGAGATTCTAAGATAGACGTCAAAGTGACCCAAAAACGACTGCGACGACAAATAGAGCCAGTCACCAGACTGTTGCAGGCAATTAAAATGCCCGGTAGCTCGTCACATTTCAGCAAAGGTACGGGTTTGTTCCTGGCGTTGACAATGGAAGAGTCTAAGAGATAGCAATGTTGTGAAAACATAGTAGTTCAATTGATTTCTATCACAGCAGGAACGTTGTAAGACTCAATCGCCTTTAATTTCATTCCATACTTTGGTCTGACTTATCGTCGGGCGTCTCTGTCGATGATCCGAATGGCTTGCAAACACTCTTCGTCTCGGAACCGAGGGGCCACTACTTGAATAGCGCATGGTACTCCGTCACTCACCTCGGGGTCATCTTGGGACTGTCAGTTCGACTTTTGAGACAGGAAAGTAAAGACATATAGCTGGTCACTCACAATCGGCATCAAATGGCGTAGTTGCCTTCTGGTACTGAGGATCTTTAGCCATTGAAGCGATACCATACGGTATAACCCCTGCGGGGTACTACGTGCAGTTAGCGAGTGAATCACAACGAAACATAAGGTAGTCTTACATCTAGTACGTTCCACATCAAGGTGTAGACAGGTACGCCGTAGGTATCGTGGGGTACAGCGGTGCTGATAGCTCCAGGGCCAACGACAACATCGAGATCATGTTCTCGCCAAATCTTTCGCCAGCTATTGGCGTAGCTAGCACGAAGGCCGAGGAACTCACCCAACTGATGTGCTTTGTCCAGTTCTGGTGAGACCGGGGGCTTTGATGGCTTTGAATCCGTGAATGGATTCGTGTTTCTCTTGACGGAAGTTACGAGTGGTTCGCCAATCTCGTTTTCCAGGGCATCCAGACCTGATGAGTTCATGCTAAAAAAGAGAAAACCCAGCTTGCTCCCCAGACCGGCATCACGGGAAGGGTCCGATGGCAGGCGGAAAACATCGTGCCCCGCAGCCACAAGCGCTAAGACTGCTTCGCCGAGGGCACGGCGAACGGGAGGTTGTAATGGGTATTCGGGATCTTCTGGAAGGACGCCGATGGTAAGAGCCTTGTCATCGTCCAGAGTTCTCCACGGCGTGCCCACTGCGGATGCGTCGTACTCCCAAGGGCGTTGTGCGAGAGCCGTCTCCATAAGCAAGCTGAGGTCATCGACTGAGTTTGCCATGGGCCCGGCGACAGGCGTCACTCCAGGGAGATGGAGCTTAGGGAATGGATAAAACGACTGGCCGCCAAAAGGCGTCCGGTCGGCGGTAGGCTTGAAACCGTAGATTCCGCAACAGAGAGACGGGATTCGGATCGAGCCTGCAATATCAGTACCAATGCCCAACACCGAACCTCGAAATGCGACCAGTGCTCCCTCGCCCCCTGTTGAGCCCCCGGCCGTCAAGGAAGTCTTGTGCGGGTTGAGGGTTCTCCCGAAAATGTTGTTCTCTGAGTCAGCCGTCTAACAGAAGGTAGTCCGAATGCCTTTGCTACCATGGCCAGTTTTAAGAGCAGTATTTACGTACCATCATTGTCTGAGGGATATTGGTCTTGCAAAAGAAGACTGCCCCCGCATCAAGCAAGAGATTCACCATGGCCGAGTTGGCTATAGGCGGCGGTCGTTTGAGGAATTCTACATAATCGACTGTGGCGTAATGACCTTTGACTATGAAAGAGTCCTATGTTGTGTCAGCTAGTTGAAAAAACTCTTGTGACAACCCTTGAGAGACTCTTACCTTGAGACTAATAGGTAGACCATGCAGTGGTCCAATCGGCTTGCCGGTAGCTTTTAGATGTTGGTCAAGTTGCCGAGCCCGCGTTATGACTTCATCGAAGAAGATCTCCGTCAAACAAGAGGTCTACGGAGTGGGTTAGGTACCGCTGCAAGTATGTCCAAAGGTGCTTCTTACAAGTTGCTGTGCGACGGCAGCACGCTTGCAAAACGCCACAGTCACCTCCTCAGATGAGAGCTCTTGGTTTTGGATTTTATGAAGTAGTTCCCTTGCACCGTAGTTCTCCGTGATATCAAGCTCCCTTCCTGTTAACAAACCAGATTTTCTCGCTGCTTCTAGAGCAATAAGTCGCCCTTCATTAATTGTTCCGGCGCCATTTAAGTCACGAAGCTTGGAATGTGAAATAACCCAATCTTGCGGAATAGCTTTTTGCTGCTTGATTCGATGACTAGAGGCAAGAACTTGCCATTCCATAGCAGCAGGTATCACAAAAAGTATGATCAGTGGGTTGTAGAAGTGTACAGCAAAATAGGAAAGTGATGCTCGACTGATGTTTCTCTCGAGAAAAAGCAGCTGTCTATGATTTGGGCTGGGATAAAGGTTCTCTATATTTCTCCGGTGGCGGTGGAGGGATAAAAAAAGGCTGTGCCGAACCGCGTAGCTTCGTGACACCTATTGCTTGGAATACCCCAAGGGTCGGAATCCACGACAATGGAGCATTCCGAGCAGCAAAGTGGTAGTGGGGCGGGTGTCCTATTTGGGAAGGATAAGCCGCCAGCTGTTTGGAAGTTAAAACACAGTATCGGTGGGAAGAGGTGCTACAGAGTGAGCGGTTCATGTCTGCATCTTTGTAACAGCCGGTCAGGATTAAGAACCCTCAGCAGATACAGTCGGGAGATTTGGAGTATTTCTCTGCGTTACCTCTGACAATATGATGGTGTTCACTCCCCATGACCCGCACATCACAAACAAGTATTTAAGCATCGGTATTGAACTTTCAGCATCGGTCACACGAAGTGACACAAAGTGGCCCTGCATCATACCATGCCAGTTTTGGAACTCTTCGCTGTCAACACTTCCCTCATAATGATACCTTCATTGACCCACGGTAAATAAGACTCATCGGGCAGGCTGATCCACGATTTACGCCTCAAAATGCCGCAAACGCTGTCCAGCAGCGACGCAGCCCATGTTCCATCCCCCGGGAGCGCGTTCTCCCCGAGTGCTGTCGACGTGCCCCCCATGCGCATGCCGCACCTCGAATTAATCTATCGGATAGTCTGCGATATGGACCACAGCGTTTGCGAGACTAAACGCAAGATACACACTCCAAACCCATGATGTTGTCTTTATTCTGGTCAGCGCAAAAGCCGTTTACAAACCCGGCCCAGGCCAAAGTGGAGTGCCAAGTCAAACGGTGTCTCAGGACGAGGTAGAGTACTTTACAAATATCCAGTTCGAAGCTCCTGGTGGGAGTCCTTATGGTTGGATGAACGCCGTTGTGGCGATAGGGGTTATGACTAGGTTCGAGGGGAAGCCTGTGATTGATTGTTACCGGGTTACCAACTTTCCCGGCAAAGCTGCAGAGAGACTCTAAGAGAGCAAACCATTGGTGATGAGGAAGCAGCATGGTTGTATGAGCTCCAGTCACTACATGAGAGAAGAGTCTTGTTAGCCTATCAAATTGCAAAGGGATTCCTTTTGTGTCTGGCTTTTGTATTGTGGAATACGAAGTCCATGGATAATACGGATGAAACCTGGAACAAGCTGCTTGCGATACTTCAAGTGACATGCAAGACGGTGCAATGACCCGCTTCCAAAAAAGATCTTTCAGTTATGGACTTGCCCTCCTTAAGAAGATTTGAGGGTTATGCATGGTGAAAATAGCGCAAACCTTCACACTAGATTTCCATGCGCTTCTCCACAAGTCGCGCATTCACTCGCGATACGTGTTCATCCTCACGCTCGGCTCGACGTCTGATTGTATGTAGTCCATTTCGGTACCGGTTCCCTCCACACTTTTGACTTGGGACCTATTCTTATCGTTATCTGGTAGAGTATAATTGATCGTTGTGCGCTCACCGACGGTGATTGGGACATGTTTGGTCTCTTCGTAGAGAAAGAAAAAGGCAAATAAGAGAGTCGTCAAAGCTATTGAAAGAGAGTAGTACTGCTACGTTGCCGGTTGCAGCCTGGTAGACATCTACGATTCACTCCTATGCCGAACTGATTGTCACAGCCGCCATCACCGGACTGGCAGGCGCAATCAACGAAACCGCTGTGCAGATAGATGACTGTAGGTACACCGCTTCTTTGCTCCCGATCCGACTTTTCAAGCCTCGCTAACTTGACTCCTTCTCCAAAGATCACCGATTTGATTTCTTTCATCAGCGAAGGTTTTCCAATGGTCTTTACTTCACTGGCATCATGGCAGGCAGTTTCCGCACTCCCTTGGCCGCAGGCTCACAAGCCGTTACCCAGGGATGGCGGTGGTCATGGAAACAATATACGTAAGGCGTCGTCCATATTTGATAGTGAAGGGGATAAAGAATATACATCCGGTTGCAAGACCCATTGATTAGGCCGACTGCGCGTTGCTTAGTTGACTGATGGTAACGTTGAGATCGACAGTAATTTGCTGCCAAAAGACCGTTGGATGGAAAGGCTAATGTGTTAAAAAGCCGTCAGTGTGACTGCAACATCGTCAGAGGGAGATAAATGTATATTTCGTGAAAGCGGCAAGGGTCAGGGCCATAGCTAGACTTTAGTTGAGAAACTTCCCCCATGTACACCAGTTCCATGATATCGAAATGCCAGTTGGTCAAAGCCCGTGCCCCTCACGGGAGTTATTGTGATGGGGCTGGCTGAAGAACTAAATGATCGTTCGGGTCAGAAGATGGAGTGGGTAGAGAACGAAAATAAACGATTATGAGGCCTCTTAACCTGAGTTTGGACTTGCTAATTGAATTCGCGACCTAGACTCAGATGTTTGATAGTCTTACAGTTTAGCAAGTGGACAGTCCCTGGTGGCAGGGACATATTAAGGCTGGGTGCTGTCATTGGAATGGCCATTGCGGCTCTGTCTTAGAATTATGACCGTGTGGTGAAAATGTCGCAGTATTGACAATTCCGGATATTGTCTTTTGACTCTAAGTTCCTGCCTAGTAAGATGGTCAAGATCAGAAATATCAGCTATTATGATCGTAGGGTCAAGTCAGTCCCTTGGTTACCTGTTCAACGGAAAGTGCGACTGTGTCTCCATATATGTCGTCCACGTAAAAACAACTACCGGCCGGCCCCATTCTCAAAGATTCTTGGTTTTTACATGCGTACTGATGAACGAAGTACCTGAGCGTCCCTTTTGGACATGTTGAGTGACCTCTTCTTGGGAGCCCTGGTTATCTGTGATCTTAGATTACGCTGTGCTATATAGGAAGTCACCATGCCACTACAGTAAATCAAAAGAGACTGGGGAGTAGACTGCGAATCGTGGCAGAAACTGCACACTGCGGCCACTGACGTCCTGTCAAGCATACATGAATCGAATCCTGTCAATGCACAGTCAAAAGCTATCCCCTGTTGGGCTGTCGTATGTTCAGTTCTGAACAGCTTTCGCAGGGATATGCGGGAAACTCTATTCCTCTTAGCGTCGATGCCCCGCATTTGGTCAACCTGCAACGCCTGCTTGGACCCCCATAGTGAGGACCCGAGCTACGCCCCAAGCGGCATATATATGCGACTGTGGTTTGTTCTGCCTCTGGGAGGCGCTGGATTTCGCAATCCCCACTCCAAAGCGTATCCCACCGGCAGTATCGGACTTGTCCTGCGATCGGTTGCAGATTACTCTCCACAGAACCAGTTAAACCCTCCAAGGTCGAATTCGTCGACGCGCATTATCCAGTTGAGCCGCCAATCATGGGCCGTTCCAGGGGCGGATGCTCTAACTGCAAACGACGGAAGCGTAAATGTGACGAGACGCGTCCAGATTGCCGTGCATGCCAGAGCCGAGGCATTCAGTGCGAAGGCTACAACACTACACTCAAATGGACCAACGGAATAGCCTCGAGAGGTCGCTTTGCTGGGTCAGCTATCCCTGGCCTTGCTCCCTGCAGCTCAGGTTCAAAGCCGATTACGAACTCAACCTATTTACCAACCATCAATGATCCACAGCCCCGTGTTGGCTCGTCGCTTACATCTTCCGATGCCGAAGATATCGTACAGCCCGGCCTAGCTCTACACTCAGACACCCCAAGGAAGAACGCTCGCAACGACTCCTTGACACCCTCACCCGCTGGCAGCATCAGTGAACAGGAACGGCACCTATTCCAAAGGTGTAAGTTTCACTCGGTTATACCATCGCAGGTTCAGGTTCTCTGGTGGCTTGGACCCAAGCATCATTGACGTTTCTATCAATACAGTTATCGTTACATCGCTAATCTATGTTAAAGTCATCCACGCAGGAATGCATCGACTTTACGCCACAGAAAGCCATAGTTGGCCTCAAGCCCATTTTGTGGCAATGGCAGAGAAGAGCCAAGCCTTCTTTATTGTCTGCGGAGCCATTCAAGCATATCTCGAGGACGGCTTCTCAGTATCGTCGATGGAGCATGTTGACCATGCCCTTCAGACGTTTCGCTCAGAACTAGACACCCGACACGACTCTTTCGATGCATCCACCGTGTCAGCTGGCTTGCTTCTATGCACCCTATGTGTAAGTATTAACCAAGTGCTTCTGTTGCCGTTAAAAGCACCGCCCAACCTATTTTTATCAAATTTGCAGTTGATATTCGCATCTCAATCCTATAGTCCACATACTGACGGTATCATCCCAGTTGTTCCAAGCTCGGCCATGGACAATGTATCTCCAGCTGATGGCTGAACTCTACCATCTGGAGTCGAGCATAAGCCGTCTTTTACCTGCAGCTGATCATGACTTTACGATTCGTCACTCCCTTGAAGTTTTATCTATAATGGACATAGGAGCAATGGTGATTGGACGAATCAACCCGAGCATGGGCGTCTGGCAGAACCTCCGCAAGGTACAAGACAGCTGGGAAGGAGGCAGGATCGGCGGTGTCGAGGTTGTCTCGGGGATCCCAAGGACTCTCCTCGACATTCTCGCCGACATAGGGAACGACGACATTCAAGACGTTGAGGCTCGTTTATGGGCCTGGCCTGGAGAAATCGGGCTGCATGCTCAATGCATTCTCTGGGATTGTTGGAGGTACACAGCAGTTTTGGACGTGAGAAGAATCGAACGAAAGAGAAGAAAGACGACGTCAGCCGTTGATGAATGCCAACATGAGTCTGAAACAGAAAAGACAGCATCCTTTCCCTCGAGAGAAGTGGTCATGTGCCGCTTAGCGGCATCGGTCTATGCTTTATATCGAGCAGTCGAAATGCCTGCAAACCAACACCTTCTGGTTCACAACGGTCTCGTGTACCCATTGGTAATAGGCAGCTTGGAAGTCCCCCTCTTAGCTGCACATACAGATTGGAAGCGTGTTTTTGATGACGTGCGGGCATTGTTTCTTAAGAAGGACTCTTTCCGCCTCATCAAGTTGATCAACGAGGTTCTCAATGAGGCATGGAAGGAAGGGACAGACACTTTTGATATTGAAGGAGCGGCTCGAACGCGCGGTGTTGAAATTGCAGTTTTTTGAAGCTTCTAGCGGTGACACAAGGAAACGGATGGACATGGCAGAGGTACGGCTCAAATTGGTGACGATTGGTACTTATCGGCGGGCCAAAACTCATTGTAGTCTACCCAACGCACAAGGTCTTCATTTACAGCATGTTGCTCGTATATTTGCCTCATTAGCGCATACCATGATCAATTGTTGGATGTGCTGTGATTTTAAGTTACGGTTCGATGGTACGTCGAGTGCTGGGTTGCCAATGAAGAAGTCAACCGGCGTTATGAGCAACTAGTCCGACTCGACAGGCCTGAGGCGAGCTAGCTTCAAAAATTAGTTAAGTGGAAGTGAACAACGCGGCAAAGTTACATCACGGGACAGTCCTTGACACGGGGGTAGTAAGTGGGACCAAGAACACTCCAGATGACAATGTCATTCTGCATTACATCGTCACAACACGCCACGGGGTCAGATATGCCTTCTTCATCGATAATGATTTGAAGCATAGATCTGCTACCGCCATAAAGCTCATCATCTTTGTACTTAGTCACACAGAGGTGGCGCTGTACTAAGAGTGCTCTTTTTCCTTGTCTGCTATGCGGGTTCGTCAACAAGTGCTGGGTTGGAGGAGAGACGATTGTGTAACCAACAGGTTTACCACTCACTGAATTCCGCTTGTTGAGATTTTGTACATTGAACAAACGGGCTTTCTGGGGTGCAGCGTTCAGCCCTGTGGAAGTTGTGATGGGGGTTCCTTGGACCTGATATGTGTTTCCATATGGGTTGGTTCTTTATTCAAGCTGGAGCGGCTGGGAATCTTATTTAGCAAGCGTATCTTCGTGGTTGCCCATCGCAGGATATTTCTTACAAAAAATATCTGTTAGTGATTTTGAGCAAGCACACCGGGAGAGACTATATTTTCCCATGGCGCGGTTTTACCATTGTCGATGTTCACGGCCGAGAGAATACTGGTAGCACGAATCTCCACCGTAATGCCACCGGACTGCTCCAATATGTACTTTTACGGACTGTTAGCTGTTATCCGTCTCCAAGTAGTTGCGTAAGGTTGGGTTGCCCTCACATTGATAACATATCCATAATTTGCCACTGTCAGCAAGAACTGAATTACCAACTCGCGGCGTCGCGTAATGACTACTTGGTTCATTTTCCAATTTGTAGGCTTCCAACCAATGCATTGTCTTGCTCATGCAGACAGATGACATTGCGTGAAATGTTTCCGGATCCGTCAGGGCGGTTCAGGACACCATCGAAAGACTGCGTTTGTCCCTACTTTTGTTGCCGAAAAGATGGAGGAGCATATCAAGACGTTGATTGACGAGCTTGAAGGAGACGAAGACGTCATGGCCATGTTTCTCATTCCCCGGGGCACCCGGGATCAGATCATCAAGAAGCTGAAGCGCTGGCTCCGACCCCTTGGAGATAACTATACCCCCAAAAAGCTTCGACCAGCTGTGATAGACAATTTCTTGCGGTCAGAGCAGCATGGGCAAAGCCTCTTTGGAGAGGCTAGATGGCCCGAAGTTAATGACAGCACCAAAGAATTCCGTGAACTCGGTGTTCTGTTCGCAGAAGATGTTTTCATTGACCGACGAGAGCCAGCACTTCGGCCCTTGCTTGATGCTTTTCGATCCGACGCAGAAGGATCTAAGCAGGCTCTGGAAGAGTACATCGACGCGAACTGGAGGACGAATCCTACGATACTAGATATGGATTACGAGTCACGCCGTTACGAGGGGCTCGAGCCTGGTGCTACCATCGCGAAACTCGCACAATCGATTGTTTTGGATCCCGCACAACTCATGCGAAGTCTTTACAATCCTGCAAAGGGCCAGGAAACGGACGGACAAGTCTTGAAAACCCTGAGTAGCTTGTTCGAGATTATGTCCACTGCTACCATGACACTCATAAAGCGTGTGGAGATTGAGGCAATTGCTGGCGAAATGGCTGATATACTGGAGCGAATTCGGTACGACAAACTGACACATCGCTCTCAAAAGCCCCTCAAGGTCGGAGCCATCGATGCAACTCAGTTCCCGCGACACTATGACAGAATTCACATGAGCAATGTTCCGTAAGTCTACTATAGGGTCGCACCACTAATATCTGAGCTACTAAGTTTCTGACGTGAAATAGGGATTACGTCGGCGGGCCTTTGACTGCCCTACTGTATGGGGGTCCTCTTCTCCGTGAGGATAGACTGTCGAATCTGAGATTTAATAACCTGCTCAACCCACCAATGTTCGAAAGCCACGACCAATTCCTGACAGAGTATATGCTCATGTACGATTCCAAGCAAGTGGCTGATCACTTCGGGCTGGTGAGGGAGAAAGGATCAGTTAACGTTGTTCCCAATCCTACTGCGGAGATGCTTAGCAATCCATTCCTAACCGAAAATTACTTTGTCTGGGCTCGTTCAGGGATCAAGAGGACGCCGCGGTCCCGTCTCATGACACGACCAAGTCTGGAAAGATGGCTGCATGCGCACTTGCTCAAGATCTGCCTCCCGTTTTGTCGCCCTCTCTGGAGTGATAGACCGGTTCATGCCCCGTTGAATCTGACTGCGGTTTTCAGAATCATAGGTCACATGTATGAAGTTGGATATCCGGCGCACTGGCTTGCGGGTATTCTGGCCAGTATTTGCGAAGCCAACATCACCACCACTGCACGTTCTCCTCGAAAGTTGGTACTTCATCCACACGATCTGAAGGAGTCATACCCACAACGAAAAATCAGTTTGAGCCCATGGAGAGCCGAGTTCACTACGTTGCTCAGTATCTGGCGCCGCCTTTTGCCCTTCGGCGTCATCACGCCTCCACGTACTTTGGTCAGTCTGGCCGACGTTCTGGAGTGCAGCATTACTTTTCCTAAGTTCTATGAGAAGCATATCAGAGTTCCTCATTTCAACCTCGTCTTTATCAACATGACTATGGTTGGCCCAAGCGAGCCAAACCTCCCCGGGCTCCTTAAAGATGACGAAGGGGGAGATGGATCAGATTATGCCAGTCGCTTACGAGATAATGGTCTGCACCTGATCACTGCCTTCAAGTATGTGACAGATACGAGAACCGCTACGTTTTGGTTGCGTAAGGATGTCATCGAGGAAATGATACACGAAGATTCATGGGACGTATGCATCTGTCGTACGGATTCCTGGGATATTCTTTCTGCTGCTAGAACCCCAGTATCGCGTTCCCTTCGACCGTTGGAGACTTGGGTAATTCAATAGTGCTCGACTTTAGATCGAGGCTGTATCCATCTTCTCACATAACAATTATGAGAAACGTCCCCTGCATCAAACTGTCGGCAACGCATGATGTGTTATTAGCACAAAAATCGGAGGATGCAGTGAAGTGAGTTCGCCTTTTGGAGTTTGAAAGGGTCTCTTGGTCTACGTATCAATATCCCCTACGCAAAATTCCCGTACCAGGAATGTACGAATTCGTCAGCAGACCCAGCACATGTCTGATATCCCAGCCTTCCTGATATAATTACTGGAAATGTCTTTCCGTAAGAGTGACAGTACGACTCTCCAAAGGATGACACGGATGGCGGGGTAATGAGAAATGTGGACCTAGGTCGGGTCATTGTCGACAGTACCCTCTTGCCCATGCCTCTGACTTTTGCCTGCTAGGCTTCTCGACGGTTTTCAAGGGAGACCCAGGCAGCTATCTGCATGTGATGAGATCCGCAAGATTGAAACATTTTGGTGGGCATACGCAGACCGAATGGAAAAGTAGCTTGTTGCCGATCTCTGTGGTATAGCTCACAATACTTGCCGGCTCAACGCAGGACATCCGTAAGAACAGCCAGCCGCGATACGAGTCATTGAATGATTGCGACAAACGAGGTTGCAAAGGACTGGTTCGGCAGGAGCATCCCACAAATCAGCAATCCTCTACAGTCGGGCAAACACTAGAAGAAGAGTCCGGGCAGCTAGGTGGGCTAAACATAGCCCTTTAGAAGAACTAGTATCAATCAATAGAAATCAACGTAGATCAACGGGGGCAACATTGTATTGGAGCGATGAATTTCCGGGGTGATCGGGTCCCCGAAGGCAGATTGGAATGTGGGGTTGTGCCTTGTTACGGTTAATTGGTCCTGGCAATTAGCGCTCGTATTAATATCGGGGTTACATAATGTGCGTCATGCGCTTGGAGTTCATGTCCATTGCCCCAGAAAACAAAACGCATGCGACCTTGAATACGAGACTCAGCACTAAGAAGGTTGGAGAATAACAATGCTTTAGCGGCTATTAATCCTTTCCTTCGACCTCGTTTGACCAATAGGCCCTTGGATGGCTGGTGTTCACGGGGTAATAAATACTCTAACCCAAGGGTAACAGCGTGCAACCTGCTGCGCAGAGTGTATTTGTATAACAAAAGCAACTACGTAACCAAGCGGTTGAAAGTGTGTCCTAAAGTTCAAATGAACGCGTCGTTACTCGCATTCTAGTTCTGTGTCATATTGTAGCGCTCATATCAGCTTACATATGGTAATTGTGGGACATCGGAACGAAGGGAGCAATGAGCGGTGACCATGCGACTTTTCGCGAACGATCGGCAACGTGAACGGGAATACGAGGGCAACGTCACTTTCTAAATCATACGATGACCAATGGACCTGCCGACAGCAAAATGTTCCAAGTGCCTATGGTATAGCTTCAGCGTCAGGAGATCCTTGGCTCTAGGGTGGTACTTAAGTCGTCGAATTCCCTTCCTGTTTTCGTTCGAGATGCATATATATTGTACCTCACATACCATAAACAACTCCGACACAATCTCATCAACATCCTTTCGAAATTATTCGTAATCTCTACTGTCTAAATTTTTCAAAAATGCAGATCACCAATATCCTTTTCTCTGCCCTGGCTGCTGCGGCCGCCGTCTCCGGCTCACCTGTTGCTAAGCGAGAAGTCAAGTCTATGATGGCTGCTGGCGTCGTCGAATGGACAATTGAAAGCTTCGTCCGTACCTGCAACGCGGAGAACACCTCTTGCGACTACAGCTTCACTATCGACACCCATATCACTGCTCCGACCGCTTGCAAGTTCACCACCACCGGTTCCCCTGCTAGCCGAGCTGCCTCCAACGCCAAGTGTGGAGCCTACACTGTCACCTCCGGCTGGAGCGGCCAATTTGGCGAGGATGCTGGCTTCACTACTTTCTCAGTAACCGACCAGAAACTGATTGTCTGGCCCGCATACACAGACAAGCAGCTGGTCAACGGCCAGGTTGTCAGCCCCGACCAGGCCTATGCTCCTCAGAACCTGCCTTAGATGTGGAGATGACGTGTCACCTACAGAGGATGATTCATAACGATACATGAAGCACAATAGTAATATGCTGTTATGTCAGGAAGGAGAATCTAAATCCATTATTAATACAACTGGACTTTGTTAATACATTGAATCACATTTAGATTCTGGTGATTTGACAGTGATATAGGGTACAGTGTATACGCTTGTGCTTCGCTAAAGTACCTCTTTCCATTCCCCGAAACCACGGTCTATCATATTGATGTCTTCTTAGTTGCTAGTACAGATTTACAAAGAGCAAACCTGTAAGTTGAACTGAGAGGAATGAAACTAGACTAATGAAACTAGACTGATTCGCACGTTCTACATCAACACTTTGGTTCCAACCGGTTACAGAGTTCCCCGCCCAGATATTTACCATGCCATGAGAAGAAAGGGATGGTGTTAACAGTAATATAACCATTGTAAACATTTTCACATGGCATGAGCGTAAGCTTGGTCTGTATTCAAGGGTTGGTACCAAATATGGAGTTAGCTCCATCCAGAGTGTAATCTCATGATCGGGATGCTACGCGTCATGCTACGATCGACCGATTAGCCCTTTGTATCAGTGGTTAAGTTGCTTCGTGCGTCCTCCAATTATCCTGTATTTTTATTGCCATCCATTCAGGTTCATGATGAGCAGACTCGACGAACTCATCAACAGTTTCTGCTTCTACACTGGCTGGTGATTTTCTCCTATAGTCGAAAGAGACGGCTAGGCCAACCGGAATTTCGATTCGAGTGGTATTTCGAGCCCCGACAGCGATTAGGGTTCCCGTCACAAAAAGGACCACAAATGGATTGATATTGAGAAAGCCTCTGGAAGTTTCAGTCATTCGATAGTTTGTAAGGAGGCTAACTCGATCGTAGTTGCAAGTTGCAAACCGTTTCAGGCGCAAATAGGTGCCTATGTATGCGCGATGACGCGATGATACCTTGTGGAATCTGGCCTTCTGTCGTTATCTACAATCGTTATTTTGCAAATTAGACCATAAGAAGCAGACCCATAGTAGCAAATAGAACCTAGGGCAATGCAGCCCTTCCGGGACATAACGTGGTCCCAAATATCTATTGTCATTGTCATGGTCAAACCCCATCAGATGCCCTTAGGTGGGAACTTCAGTTGCGGTGACCTCAGTGGGTTAATCTGTTTGTTGCTTTCGCGGTCGTCTTTAGTGCACCCAAAAAGTATACTTCTTACAAAGTTGAAAACGTATGTTGTTACAGTGGTGCGCTATACTGCTATATGAAATCGAATTTTCTGGTCTTCCTTGGTGGACCTTGACTACTGCTCCCAAACATACGCGTTGCAGCCAAATGTGTCACTTCATGATCTGTCTCCCAAGCCTCAGCCTGCCCCGTTCTTGATATCTTCCTTTGAAAACTCATTCCTACTCATGAGCACGCATGTAGATGACCGACCGCTTCTTAGTATACGATAACCCACCATCCACGGGGGGCGCTCAAATGCGCAGACCATTGACCTCTCAATAAAGACCAACAAGAATGTCACCGCGAACACGCGCAGTCAAGTGGACTTCAGCTTCAAGATCCAATTTGATGCCTACCATCAGAGCCGCGCTCGTCAGCTTGCCATTCTCATCGACAGGACCCTTGAGAAGGTTGCCTAATACTGTACGTCAATAAACTGTTAAATCAATCAGTTGGAGGAAAATGAATTTACCAATCGGACCGTTTGCATTGCCGGAAAGGTTTGGCATGGGTACGGGAAGTCCTGGAGCAGTCACATTTCCCTTCATTCCAGTGTTGGCTGGTGGGTACGAATTAGGATAAGCCGGTGCGCGAGACTGCTGCTCCTCGCTGGTTGCTTTGGAACTACAAGATCGTGCTTGTTAGTTTCGCAATTGAGTGAATCCAAAATTCGGGAATCATACGGGGAAGACATTGTAGTTAAATATTTAACGACTTGGTCTTGTAAGGAATGCTGCAGTTCCTCGGGAGAACTGGTTTCGTCGACGGTTTCGGAATTCAGAAGTCCTCGTTCCTCCAGAAACTGTTCCGAGAGTGACTTGAGAGATGAAGTCGGGCTTTCAGCTCGAGGTTTTTGAAGCGCTGGAGCAGTTTTGTCTTCGCCAATCGATGACAGTGAAATTCGTTTCGAGTTCCGGCGTTGATGACCTGGGGTTTCTGGTTGTTGTTGCTGGGGGAGCGATTGTGTACGAGAACGATTGGCGGGCGGGAAGTCGTCTGTTGCGACTCGGATAGGGATTTTGAATGAAAGTGATCTTCTGAGGGCTCCTGATGCAGCAGAGGTGTTGTCAATCGGTAAGGAATTGGCAGGGGGATCTGAAGGGCTTGATGCAACAGAGACACGCTTTGACGGGAAACTAGAAGATCGAGGAACGTGACTTGGTCGCTTGGGTATTGGTGGTAGCTGCTGCTTAGACTCGGCCTTTGGCGTTATTGTGGCGATAGGGGAACCTGGTCCCACTGATGCGTTTGATTTATCTGTGAATGAGCTTCCGGCTGGTTTTGACTGAGATGAGGCCTGGTTTGCCATCTTGGAGGGGGAGCATGATGAGCTTTAAACTTGATTCTTACGCGGCCGACAGAACCCTGTATAGTTATTTGATGCTATCACCTCCTCCGTCTATGCAGTCTGCTGCAAGAGTTGCAGCTCTTCTTGGGCGCGAACAGACATCGTCTGATGTTGAAACTAGTCGCTCGGATTGTATTTCTCATCGTGTTTTATCAGTCGTGGCTAGAACGTGCCGGTCAGCGAAATTCGCTTATGCAGAACAGTGCGCGTGCTGCCAGAACATCTGAAAAGTGGCTGGCATGGTACGATTCGGGTGAGTCGATAGCACGTTTGTGGGTTCCATTGGCGCTCTTGTACGTCTCAGAGTGTTCTCAGAGGAGCATCTGCAAGGGTCCTGTATCCACAAGAACCATGTCAGGACCCTTGTGCCGGGGAGTTTCAACGACATCGGATCAGGGACTACATGCAACCACAACGTGGGAATCGTATCTGACATTTCTGATGGGGCCATCCAATACCGCCTTCTGTCAGAGGCCTGTCGGCAAGGTCCACAATCATCAGTCGATGATTCCCATTCCTTTTTCGACGTCTTCTCTGATCTTCCGAGGTTTCGAAGTCTGAAACAATTCAAGCAAAGAAACCGCCCTGGGACCGTAATGGCACTCTTCTTAGTCCATGGCTACTACAGTAATTCTGACGATTCTTTCGGGTTTAAAACTGACACTGCTTAGTTACAACTCACTCTATGGGGTAAGAAGAGACAAGCAGCTGGATTTCGGCTGTCACCCTAAGAGCATTGCCTCTTCTACTCCCTGGTCGCACTGTCCGAACATTACTCCAAATATACATCCACTCCTTACTCGTCATACATCCTGATCGTATCATCTCCCTCCGTCGCTCTCACGCCGAACTGAAAAATGGTCCTTTCTCTCCTTATAAGTTTCGGCACTGCCGTTGGGGCTTCCGAAGGCATTAAAGCTTCCATGGCAAAGTCCCGTCGAGAGGAGCACCGGGGCCGAAAGAACAACCTTGTTGTTCACTGTCTCAAATCATCTCAATTCAGCCCATTCCTCGAAGGTCGTCAAATAGTGCTATCTGGCGACAGAGTAAGTTGTGCTCCACTATTAATACTCTGTACGTGACCGATAGCTTCTGACAACAACAATGTTGCAGTTATTCGTTGACACTGGCACGGTCCATGATGTCCCCTTTGGCCACCCGTTTGAAGGGTACTACCTTCCTTATCCCGACTCCCGGGTCTCAGGTTTGGTAAGCACGATCACTCATGAAGCACCAATAATGAACTGGATTTTCGTAGACCCAGTTACCTACCAGCTTCGCTTCGGTAATCGGGCCGTGGCAGATGGAAATCTAACGGGACCATGGGAATGCACTCGTCAAGACCGCCGCCTTACCTTGTGTGGATGGGAAGGTTTCTGCGTAGTTCTTGAAGATAGCGGTGTTTGGGGCTTGTATTTCGACTGTGATGGGGATGGTTTACATAGAATGTTCGGTCGTGCTGGACTTGTAGTGATTGAGGTTGAGCTGTTGCGACGAGAGATGAGAACTAGAAAACCCGACTTTGTGCTCACCGAAACAGATCCACAAGGGAAGGAGAAGTCAGAGCAGGAGGAAGGAGCTAAGATAAAAGCTGCCCGAAGTCACGAGGAGGAAAAAGTGGAAAACGAAACAAAGGAGAACGATGCCTATAGATGACCCTTAGCCTCGCGGTAATAGAGGTGTAACAGTGGAGAATGAAGCTGTTTACTGTGCCGTTAGGCACACAACGACTACATCTTGACCTTGCGCGCAGCTGCCATAGAGAACCGGGCTGCTTATGTTAACAGGTCCCTAAGCGCCAATCCATGTTGAAGGACTAAAAAACAATTCAGTCCCGTTATGCCAAAGTCTTTGCTGGGGCCCTCAAAAATAGTGCCTCATTCTCCTTGAACAGGCTTCTAGTCAATGGCTTTACTCTGACGTGAATGCCCAGAGCCTCTGCCCGCATTGGACGTATAAAATCTTATCGATATGTTTGGTATCCATCTCAGCGCTTCATTACCGAACAAATCTATGTCGGCCTTCCAACTAAATCAACCATCATGTTGCATTATATAATGAGCATTCAAGTCCGACTGTACTCTCAAGTGCATTCAAAAGGAACAAAGTAGTGCCTAATCAGGGTCCAATAAATTTTGCAACGTTGATAGCTTCTGTCTCCGATATTGTGATGAAAAAAGTGGAACTACAATTGCCAGAGAGCAATTGCGCTTTACGTCTCGTGACAGATGTTCATGACCCTGACAATATATCAGAGGGCAAGCGTGTAAGGGTCTCACTTGCGAGGATAGCCTAGAAGCGAGTACTGTCGAAGTAGCCCTGATGATGGGGAAGAGCAGTACAAACAATGTAAGGGAGCGGGGAAAGGGGGGAAGGAAACGGAGCACCTTTCAGCTTCATAACAACAATAGACCTATACAACCGTTCGTCGCTGGTTCAATTATACTCTGTACATTTGATCCTTGACAACTACACTGCTCCCCTTCTGCATATATAAAGGCATTCAATCGAATCATGTCGGCCAATTATGCAGTGGCAGTTCGATCCATCCAAGGCATTAAAGAATGTGGTCCAGGAAGCATGATGAACTCCCAGCCTCTTCATGCTCAGTCTGCACCGAAAGCTACCGTAATCATTTTTCTCCAAGCTTGATACAGTCCCGGGCGCGTGGCTTGCGGCTGTCCAGCTCGGTCTTTCAAATCTAGCTCCCGGAACGCAGCTCTAGCGTTATGTTACCAATAGATTCTTATGTGGTCCACGTTCGCTAGTCGCTTGGATTCGCGAATCAATGTTGGAGTAACTGGAGACTGGTTTTGCTTGCTATCTGCAGTTGCTTGATTTGTATCGCCTAGGAACACCCTAATGCATAGTCCTTTTACAATACACCATCTTGGCCATCAATCAAATGGAAGGGTTTGGGACTCGTCAAGCTACTTCTACTTGACCGGGAGCTGGGTTTGGTCTCGCAGATGATGCAACAGCTTAGCCCCGACTACCTCCTGATTGTCTCGCTATCGGATTCTGAGGGACGCATGCTGCGAGCTATGGTTTGTAGCGGACGTATGCTCTCCTGTCAAGGCAAATATACTGGTATCCCCTACCGTAGCCTTGTGGTAAGGCTTTGATCATATAGTCAGATAGAGAAAAAATGCTCGGCTTCAGCAGTGCGAAGCAGTAGAGATCGAGCCGAAGTTGTCAGAATTTGGCATGCAAAGATGTGCTCCACCTTCCGCCGGCTGACAACCCAGATCCAAGCCGAGCCGGCCCGACATAGAGGGGGAGGTTTTCAACCAATACCTTGTGTGTTTGTTCTATCAGACCTTCGCTTCCATGAAACAACATGCGTCTGCAGTTAACGCACTGTTTGAAGCTAGCTTGATGTGCTCAAACACTATGCAAGATTTCACCTTCATGGCCTCACGCTATTGCTGTTGCTGCTCCCATTGTTATCGTCATCCTCGGTGGGCAGGCTCTCCTTCTTAGCGTCAGTCTCCCACTTCTTAGCAAAAGCGTAGACTATGCCGGACACAAAACCCAGGGCAATCGCAGAGACGCTACCGATGGTGACAGGGGCGGAGAAAAAGATGAGGCCGCTGATGGCGATAGGCAGCTTGTTGAGAGCCCCGACCATGGAGTATGTGGTGGATGAAGTAACACGGATGCACCAGGCGGAGCAGTAGGAGATGAAGATGGTGGCGAGGCCGGAGTAGACAATACCCACGCAAATACGGTCGCGCTGTTCCTCTGGGAAGTTTTTGACGAGGTTGTTGTAACCCCAATCTTCGGTAAGGAGGGAGGCGACGATAAGGATAGGGATGGTGAGTAGATTATTATAGTACATGGCTAAAGGGTCAGCGTATTGTCATAGCAACGGGATGTCTTCAGAGCAAACAATGCAAAGGGGGAAGGCACGTACTGTCCCAATCCTTAAAATCCATCTTCTTGATGACCTTGCGGAGGCTAAGGGTGTAGGTGGCGGTGCAGACAACATTTAGGGCCATCCACATGTAGCCAGTATTGAGAATCGCGATCGCGTCCTTGGAATCGTCGTCCATGTTGCCGGCCAAGGCGTTCCGGATATCAGCCCAGGCAGCGACGACGGAACTTAAAACCATCAGAGAGAAGGCCACCGTGGCCATGCGGGTGACCTCGCCGCCCCATAGGAAAACCTCACCGTAGGCAATGGCGATGATAGTCAGGTTCTTGAAGATGGTGTAGACGGGGACCGAAAGGTACTGCAGGGCCTTTGTGCTCGTGTAGATCATACCGACAAGAAGGAACGAGATGGGGAACCCTATCAGGGTTAGCAAGCCGGATTGAGAGCGTCATTTGCTGCAGATGCGAGGGAATTGCGGATGTACACTTCTTGGACTTGTCGAGGGTGACCGGGGTCAGAGACTTGATCATGCCGGCCTGCTTGCACATGGTGATGACGGCGATGCAAATGATGGCCTAGAGTTATTAGTGTTTCATGAACCGTCTTCAAGGATTAGAGTTTGACAAAACACACCTGGGCGGCCAGATAGAAGAAGGTCAGGTTCCATGAGGCTCCCGATACGACGTACTTGTTGACGACAGTCATGGAGATGGATGCCATGCAGTAGGCCAGGACCGAGACAGGCGCATTGTTGTTAATGTCGGCGATAGACAGCGGCTGCAACAAGGAGCTTCGTTGAGGGCTGGCGCGGGCACGGCCAACAAGAGAGTCGCCCTCCTCCTCGCCATCGAAGGAGTTTCCACGTAGTGGGATGCCCTGCTCAGTGTCCTCTATGGTCCGTTGAGCCATATTGATGATTTGGTGGTGGCGTTCGAGGGCAAAACAAGTGGTGTTGTCAAGAGCCGTGGTGATCACGCTGGCTTTTGGGAGGTGCGGGTAGGCTCACGAAGTTGGCAGTCCACCGCAATGTAAGCTTGTACATACACCACTGCTGTGGGCCTTTAGGTAAAAAGGGGCCGCCCTGGAGGTCCCAAATTAATTACTGACTTGTCCCGCAAAACAGTATCCAGCAAATCCACTTCAACAAGCGCTAGCCAGATTTGACAAACCAACAGGTCTTGATCCAGATTCTGATGCCATGACTTTTTCGCACACACTAATCGTTAGTTCCAACGGGAATCAATGCAACTTCGGGCCAGCAAAGTTACCACCGTTGCACTATTGCCGAATTGGGATTAGACTGGGGTCGGACTTCGTATCTGGTTGTTTGCTGGATTCGGGAGAGATTTTGAGAGCTGTGTCGCGGTTACGTGATAAAGTCAAAGATGGGGGGAATGAATAGGTAGGATGTCGCTAGTTGCATATTGTACCCATTATTCCGTGTCCAAACCAACTAAATCTGCTGCTTACGATAGCTCTGTCTTCAGAAGCCTCCGGCTAGCCCGTTCGTGAAGATGCTGGCCAGATCATCTGCACCTCAAGCTCTTTTGACACACTCAGCTTAATGTCTCCCCGGCCCCGGTAGCTTTCATTGCTGCTACTGCTGTCAGTACTACAGCAGCCAGTTGTTTGTTGCTAAACCTCGCCGAAATTGCTATCACAGCACCAACATAGAGTTGAATTTGTTGATTGATCAATGAATTGCTTTGGCTGGCCAAATCCGTCGCATCCATGGAAACGACTACAGGCTGCCAAGCTGCTGGTGCATGCGACCTCCACTTTGATAAGATTAGCCCAGCACATTGGGTATAGCGTGACGGAGAAGAACCCTTATCCGTTAATTTTTATGCACACAGATAACTGTTAGCAAACAACCTGAACAGGTTCTCACGTCCTTGGGTCCTTTGACAGTTTTGGTGATGGCATCCGTTACTCGTCTCTCTAAATTCAGCATTTGGGGCCTCATGCGTGTCTTTGTCTTTCACGCCGCGTTTGTCTTCCGGATAGCGCCCTACAATGCAACCCCCCACGCAATTGGGTTTGCGGGGAGAGGGATTGACAGAATCTTAATAAGTGGATCAATGTCACATTATGGCTCTTTCTCAGGGACCTGTCTTTCGACTGAGTGCTCAGGGTGTGATCGGTAATGGTACAGTGTAGATCCTTGCACTTGGTTATTTGTTGCTGTCTGCCTTTCTCAGTGTTGTAATACAACCGAAGTTTCAGCGAATGTCGGATAACAACTCCAGCATCATTACCAGTCCTATCGGGACCCGATAACGAGACCGGGCTTCTGACATGGGAAATATCCTTCGTGAAGAACTAATCCCTTTTTGGAAGGTCGTATAGTGATCACAAATGACATACTTGGCATACCCATGATAACTCGAATTTCTATGGAGTCAGATTATATCCAAGATGTACGTGCACAGCCAAATTCAGACTAGTGCTAAGTGATCAGAGTTTTCCAATTCGTGTGGCTAATGTCATCCGAGATCCGAGCCTACTGAGGCCCAATTAGTGTTGCTGATCACACTCTCTTCGAGCCATCAATGATTCAAGCTTCTGGGACAAGATGTATAAGGCAACCAACCGTTTTTCAACTCAAGTTCTTCAAGTTCTCCATTGATATTGACATATGAAACAAGCTCTCCATTGCTTTTAGATCTATACAATAGACACCACCGGTTCAAAACTATTCATGCCGTCGTCTGGCGCTGCTTCCGCCGCGGCTACTGCTACTTGTGGTGGTTGTAATCAGTAACAGTGATCTCTGTCGAAGTTGCGGTGATACCACGATGACGATGTAATTTCAATCCAACAACCGCCAAGCGGTCATGCGGATTGACGGGTATCTTCTGGGGCGGATCTTCCCCTCCTCGCCCGAGCCCGTCTCCTGTTCTCGAGCTCCACTTCTTGATGCGCCCCTTCTGGGACTTTTCCTCCTTTATTACTTTCTGTGTCAGTGGTTTTTCAATCTATTTTCTGATAGAGCCTTCTCTCCATCATATGAGTCGGGATCTTGACAGTTAGATACCGGCCATCATGGTCGCCATCGCCACCCCTCGGCGGCAGCTGACGCTCCTCTGGCTCTTCGGCCTCCTCACCCTCAGCCTGCTCTTCTTCCTTTTCTTTTTCTACCACGATACCTCCCCGTCCGTCGCTCGTAATTGGAAAGCCCCCTTCGTCACCGACTCGGGCTTGACCACATTTGAAAATAATGGCACTAAGGGGAATGCCCGCGTCGCCATCATCGAGACCGTCGGTACCCATGATGAGGTCACGTCCGCCCTCGTCACCGCCTTTGGTGGCCTACCCAACGTCGACCTGACCCTCATGCTCCGTCAACAGCGTTATAACATGCAGGACATCATGAACTCTTTCAAGCTGGCCTCGGCCAGTTCCAAGCTCATCTCCCACGACGACCTCGCCTCCATGGTCGCCGGCGACACTCCCCCCCATGTCCTCGTCTCTACCACCTGCGAGCTCGACCTTGAGAACAAGCCTACGGAGTTCCGTGATCTGCTCACTAAGGGCGAAACCTACCTCTTCTGCCTGATGCACCACGCCGACCGTTGGGGAGATGGCCAGCACGTTGATATTATCCGCGAGTACATCGAGAAGGGCATGGCCGACTTCATCGGTCTCAGCCAGCATACCGTCGACTTTCTCCACCGTGACACCGCCGAAAAGTGGGATCGCGAGCTCAACTATACCGCCCACGTGTTGCCCCCCGTTTTCTCCGTCAAACTGCCCGATACAGACCCGGAGGGTCTGTCGCTTGCTATGCAGGGCGACTACTCGTCGGGCCGCCGCAACTACCAGCATACGTTTGAGCAGCTCGGCCACGTCATAGGTGAGCTGCGCGCCAAGGCTGGCGCCGACGAGGAGAAGAACAAGAAGGTCACTCTGCACGTTATCGGCCACGGCGAGATCCCCAGCGTGCCTGATGACCTTAAGAGCAACGTCGTCTTTGATCAGGACCTCTCCTACCCTGACTTCTACCGTACCCTGTCCGGCGCCTTCACCATAATCCCCGCATTTGCTGACGAAGGGTACCTTGACCGCAAGGCCTCGTCTACGGTGCCCGCGGCATTGATTGCCGGTGCGCCCATCGTCGCTAGCGAGCAGCTCCTCGCGGCGTACACTTATCTGCCGCGTGAAGCCGTGTGGCTGTCGGAGCCTGGCGAGGATGAGATGGACACGATTAAGCGCTTTGTTGGCGACATGGCTGGATACCAGGAGCGGATGGGCAGAGTCAAGGAGACGCGGGAGAGGCTGATACAAGACAACATCAAGAATGTCGGAGAGTGGATAAAAGAGGCCTTGGCCAAGGTAGAGGCCGTTAAGAAAGACCGGGGGGTACAAAGAAGGAACGCTAGAGGGAACAGCATGCTTGGGTATTTGAGGTTTATGCTATCAATGAACTGTATATTGATGATATAGGTTTACACATAATATCATCTTCATGTTTACATCTACAGCCTCGGATTCCTCCATGCACCGCAAGCATGAACCTTTTGTCCTTGTGTCAGATGTGGGCAGGATCGAAATTGATTCAGGGGTTTTGTCCGATGAGTCGGCTCAATAGCTGCCGGCCAAATCCTTCGTGTGACCTGATCCGACAAGACAAGCGCCAAGTGCCTAGCAATTGCCGAGAAGGCAATGTTGTCTAAACAAGACCTGGTATCTTTTGTCTCGCCATATTGAAGCCAATCAGGAAGGCATCATGGCGAAGGTTCCTTATCTCTTCCAGATCTGACCATTGCGCATTACATAACAACCACACACCTTGATGAGCCAGAATACCGACGTTGCGACATCAGGCAGGCCACAGACAGCTCAGCAGCGAATCGAAAGGCTCACTCTTACGCTCTTACATGCACAAACACCATGCTGATGCGGCTTCTCCTCTCATCTCTCCTCGCCTCGTCCCTCGGTGTGCTGGCGCAGGCGGAGCGAAGACTGCCGCCTGACCTCCAGGTTGACCTCTATTCCAATGCAATGAGACGCACGCGCCGACGCAGTGGTTTTCTATCGTTCTGGGCCTCTTGGGCGCTGGTCTTAGGTCTGGCGCTTGACACGTACTATCATATGTTCTAGGCTCAGTCGGTTACAAGAGTATCTGCGTGCCATAAGCGTCCACGCTGAAGCGCCACAGTGCAAAATGTTGGTAGGAGTAAATTATACTTTTCATCAAATAGAAACATGAAAGGCCGGCATCTTTAGGTACTCACGTTTGAACGCATTTGAAAGGCCCTTCACCTACTTCAATTCTAGCACACCGGCGCCATAAGGCGTGGAACTATATTAACGAGGTAAAGCATACGCAGGACGGTTTTAATTATAGCGTGTGTAAAGCATATGGAGTAGACAAGTCAAAAGAAATCAGAAACGATGTTGTGCTTTACACCAAATGAAAGTGTTGGTCTCACAGGCGGAAATACTCGTACGAGTGGGTAGCAACGATCACGTCGAAGATGGTGATATTGCTGGTTGTTGTTATTGAGAAGTGAAAGGTGAAGCTGAAGGTGGCCGTCAAGAGGATATTGATGGGTGGGCAATCAGATCCTCAATATCTGATTGGCCGACGAAGGAGGTCACCTGACCTCTCCCATCCTTCAGCCACTTGAGGTTGGGGATATTCCAACAGAAAGCTTTCTGAAATCAGGGAAGTCGTAAAAGAAAGAAGGAGGTAATAAGAAGCAAGGAAGAAGAGATAGAGGGGTGGCCGTCTGATGTCGAGAAGAGAGGGGGCAAGTAAGCGAGATCGGTAATATCATGTAAACGAACAAGAAAACAGCCAGCGCTAAACGACTGGACGTCTGGTCTATCTAGACGGCAGATGAGTTAGTTAGCTGGGTATCCTGCTCATCTAGACAAAACACCCTTACTAGCTTATTGATAAAGAGAGTGGATGAGGTCCCGAGTTTTACAGTAGGTATGGGCGCATATGCTGTTAGCGGCTAACGATGAAGATTCTTAAGTATTCGGATGCTAGTGGTGCTCGTAGTTGTGAGCAATGCAGGCTTCGCAACTTAAGCCCTCAAAAACTTAGACATATCCAGAGGGTGCAAATCTTTCATCTACTTAAGAAACGCTTTGGTTATAGACCAGCAAGACAATTAGATATGTGTGTTATGCCTGTCGCGCTGATTGGTCTCACCAAATTCGGAACACAAGAGCATTTTCATTACACTCGCGCTTCAGCATGAAACTAGACAGATATCAATATCAACGAGATATAATTCTGTATGTTTGTGTGTCTTCTAAAGCGACCACTGGGGACTATATTTCGTGAAAATGTAACTCACTGTTGGATACTTTATGGATATGAAACCTAGGTGTTCGTCATATAGAATCTTTGTTGCTGATGTATTAGAGAAATGTTTTCCGATTCTTGACAAGAACATCAGAATGAGCTTTTCCAAGTTGGTGTGCGCCGACTGAAGTGATGCAATACTATCAACTATCTCCCACGTCCGGCTTTTTTCTTGCTAATGCCCTTTCGAAACAACATATGCTGAGCCTAAACGCAACCAAAAATGCTTTCAATCGCGTTCACGTCGTCTCCACGAGCGAGACAGAGGGAAAGAAGAATCCTGGCTTTTTGCGGATTCAGATCGTTGCCCGCAATGATGCCAATCTCTTTGTGGTGCTGGCTGTTTACAACCTTCCCTGCGCCAAGTCGTGAGGACTGGACCACCACGACGCCCTCGGAAATCGCCTCTTGGAATGCACGAATTTCCTGTACGGTTCCCAATCCGGGCCCAAAACCTGCAGAGATAAGCCCCTTTGCCCCGGCTGCGACAAAAGCTTTGACTGCGATTCCATCGGCGTCGACGTAGCTGTACACAATGTCAACGCGAGGGAGACCACTGACCAACAGCTTTGAAGAGAATTGTCCGCTAGACGGACTTGTCTGCCTCGACATCATGTTGACCGCGTCGCCATCGACGTAACCAATGGGGCCTAGCCAAGGTGATCTAAAGGTACCAAGCCGAAGGGTGTGAGTTTTCGTGACGGAGCGAGGGGAATGGATTTCGTCGTTGGCTACGACTATAACCCTTGCCGGTTCGTTTGGAGTGACTGGATGAGCGGCCACACGGAAAGCGGCAGTCAAATTGGCCGTTGCATCTGAAGAAATGCCGGTCAACGGGCGTACAGACCCGGTGATGATGACAGGTATCTTCAGATTCAGGACTAGGGACAAAACCCACGCAGTCTCCTCCAGACTTGCTGTTCCGTGCCCAATGACGATACCACGAAGCTCGGCATCTTCCGCCAAAGTGCAACAGGTTTCAGCAAGTTCATGCCAGTGGTTGGGGCTCATGTCAGTGCTATCGATGGGCCCAATGTTGATGACCTCCACGTCGGCAAGGGCACGAACGCCAGTTTTGTCAATGACGTGTTGAGCACCATGACGCTTACGGCGGTCTCCATCTGCGTTGTAGTCAAGGAGGTCGTACTCATCGTTGCCTTCCGACGCAATGGTGCCTCCAGTTCCAATGAAAGCAATCTTTCCTAATGGCTTTCGAGGCCCTTGGGTCATGATTAGTTGATCAAAGGCCGCCACGTGACTCTGAGTTTGTTAATGCTGGTCGAAACACAGTACAGTTTGGAAAACAAAGCATAGTAGGCATCGAAATCAAGGGTGGGATCCATTCATTTTAAACTGCTCCGTACCTCAGTTGCTATTGAAGTGAATGCCTTGAGCACTTGACCAGGCTGAACCCATTTACTCCTAGCGCACTGACCAAAAGCAGGGAAGTGTTATTCACATGGACTATTAGGTCTTAAAATGAGCAAAGCTTTGAGATTGCTCCTGCCAAAACAGTCGTCGCGAACAAACAATTGCAAGTTTGGACATAGCCGATTTTGTCACCGATGCCTGTTACGCCTGGACCCATACGCTCGTTGGACGAACTGGCAGCAGGGGCATTGAAACAACATGACAATCTGGCATCTGTACGAGTGAGTGAGGTGAACCAAGGGTCCAATTCAACACCTAGTGACTAGCACCGGGGAATAATTGTCGCGGAGTGGAGAAAGATTTTCATTCGGTTTGATACCATTGTGCTGTGCAACAGTTTGGGCCAAGTTGCTGTCAAAGCAAGCATTATATTGGACATGCCTACGGTTTCCATCTTCTAATATTGCAAACCTAAGGTATATTCGTTTGATGACAGTTTGGCAGATGGCCAAAGCTTTACCAACATCGAGACAAGCTGGTCGTTATTACCATGAGTACTCCGACAATGTGGAGTCAAACCTGTCATTGAAGCCGCAAACAACCTCGAATCACACCTGGAATGTGCAGCCAAAAGGTGAGAGAAGCACATCATAAATTCGTAGGTACCTGGGCTCTTCCAAGCATAGGTAGCTTGAAGCTTCCCTCACATGGATGGCACCAGTGCAAGTTCTTCACCAGCCGTACGACCTTGCCAACTTTCCGGACGCCCTAAACAGGGCTGAAATACGCCCAATGACCGCCTCGGTAACATGGTTTGACAACAGTTCTGCTGGGACAAACAACCAAGCCCTCACGCAACACGCACGTCACTCCTCCTTCTCATCCTCATTGTCGTACCGACCCAAGCGACCGAGTGGGCTGACCATAAAAACATCTTCCCACCTTCCGCTGGCAGCCTTGCCATCCCAATCACCACCGCTATAAAGAGGAAGGCGAAGTTTTCCCGTGCAGTGCTCGTCAATGAAACGGCAGACCTTTTGCATGTCGCCGACGGTGAAGTCGTCCATGAACCACAGCATCGTCCGGGGACATCTGCAGGACTTATGCGCTGTGGTGCTGTGGCGCCCGAGGTTGCCACAGAGGCTGCTCGTGTGCTTTTTCGTCTGGATTGAGACTGTGTCTGAGCAGGCGAGGAGACACCATTCGCAACGGCTTCCACGGGAAGCTTCGGTTGCTCTTTGGTAGGAAGGGAGGGTTTCGGCGTTGTCTGGGGTTGGATCGAGGCGTCGGGAGGGGCTTGCGATTGCCTCCGCTTCAAAGAAGACATTTTAGGAGCGGGTGACTTGGTTGCAGGTGTCAAGTCATACCTGGAGGCTGTAAAATCGGTTAGTGAGTGGGTCGCAAGGATCATCCGTGTGAAAACCTACACCGCCGGCGTTTTTCGCTGACAGGTTCGGGCTGCTCAGCCAGACTCTCCCTCTTGCGCTTCACTGCTTGCTTGGTAGGCGCGGGAGTCCCGACGGTGGCCTTGACAGCTTCTTTCTCGAGTCCCGCGTCTTCGTGGTTTCCTGCTCGGGCCATTGGACCCAAGAGAGCCGCCTTCGCACTCTTGTCGTCCACGTATCCGCAGTAGTCGGTCATGACACCAGGTGCGTCGATGCGCATCTTAATGGCCGGCTCCCAGGACACATCCTCTCCCTCATTCGAGTATCCTAGCCACTGGACAAGCACCTGCCATTGTCCGCGGACGCGACGGTGTCGCAGAAACCGGAAGGGATGATACAACTCTCCGATACCGAGAACGTCTTGTCTAGTTCTACCCTCGAAGCTTGCCCAGTAATCGTAGAGAAGAGTCGGTCGGTGTTCCTGGACATCCCATTCGGAGACATCATCGCGTGCGCCTTTGACGAGGACGGTGAAGGTCACGAGTGCAGTAGCGGGATCGAGTGAATGTGTGACAACCTTTTTGATGGCGTCGTAGGGAAAGTCTGCTCAGGTGGTGGACGTTAACATCAATTGGTGCATCAATTTGGGCATCATGCCGTGTAAGAAGCACTGCATTACAGCGCAACGTGAATGTTGCGAAAAGAGACCATACCTTGCTCAGCAAGCTTGGATGAAGGTCTGCCTCTAGGCATGGCGGCGGCGACAGGATAAAGATATATAGAGGCGGTCGAACGGGTATTTTTTTGCGGAGGGGATGCCGTAAAGAACTTGTCTCTGAAAGATGTCGCGTGTGAGACGCGTTCGCGTTGGTGGCTCCTAGTCCAGCAGCCCAGCTCTTTTTTTTTTTTTTTTTTGGTCCTCTCGTTTCTCTTTTGGTCTCCATTTTTCTTCCGCTTCCTTCCTTCGGTCGGAGGGCCGGCGCCGATGTGGATATCTCTCTTTTCTGTCCCATTGGGCACTAACGGGGGCTTCTCCGGCGGCCCCCTAGTCCAGTGGCTCGCGTTGGGGTCAGCCGGGTAATCGATCTGGATCCTTGCATATGAAAAACGACTCCGCATACAAAACGGTATCGTTTAGTCGATTTTTTGGGTTGGTCAACATAAGAACGTCAGAAACACAAGGTAGATTTAAACTGTGACCGGTCAAACACCACTCCCTGCTCACAACATACCATTCGTAACAGCAGGCTGCTGATGGAGGCTCACTCCTGCGGTTTCGGAGGCGGCGCACACAGCACGCAACGATCATGCCCCAGTAGCACAAATGATGAACTATGTATGACCAACAGAGACTTGTGGACAAGGATCGGAGCTTGAACAACTGCCTAAATGGCGAAGGAAAGTTGTAACCACCACAAACATAGGCAGACGGAAAAACTGGAATGACTTATTGCTCTTCCTTGATCACCATAGCCAAACGTGCCCAGCCTTCTGGTTTAATGAGGCCTGAACGGCTTGGTCGCCATGAAGGTACGGCGCCATTGGTCACCAGGTTGCTTTTGTCCCAGACTGGATTACTTTCGTGACTGTCGACCTCTTGAAGTCGCCGCATCACCTTTTGACCACGTCGCCGGACCACGAACGCGCTTTTCGCCTGGATCAGTTGAAAGCCTCGTCGTTTGATTCAAACCATTGCAACCCGTGTTGAAGTTGATGTCGTGTGCGCTGTCGTGTTGCGCTATTGCTCAGCCGTGCCGACAGATATGCCACCCTACAAACCATCTCCTCGATGCGTTGACCTTCTACTATCTCTCTGGTCTCTATTGCCTCTATATTGTCCGTGATCTAACCTAAGTCCCAGTGAATCGTCTCTCATGCCTCATGCCCAGTGCTATGCCTTCTGCCCTATATCTATGTCTTGTACCCATTCAACACCGTATTATGCCCAGCGGATCTGAAGAAGCTTATATCCACTCTCGTCACCACGTCCAACCCCGGTGCGCTTTTGCAACTCTTCGAATTCCATGATTGTTAATCTCTTCCCATCTTCCCGCCTGGGACCGTCAATCGCCGTGAACGCAGCCTCCACGCTGTCGCTGACGCCGTTGAAGCGACCATTTCGTCGCACAGTGACGAGGAGCCAAAATACGCCGTTGTGTGCCAACAAGCGCGTCGCGCAGTCGCGCAACCAAATCGCATGCTCGGGGGCGTAAATGACGTCGGTCGCGATGACAATGTCGGCCGGAACATCCAAGGGCGCCTCCAGCACCGGCGAAGACCAGTCGAGAACTTTCGTCTGGATGCGGTTCGTCTCGGGCACTGGGAAATTGAGCGAGACGTTGGACCGCAAGTTCTCGAGCACCGCCGGGTGGTAGTCGGTGGCGACGATGGTCGGACTCGCGGCGCCCAGATGCGGCAACATGTTTCCCAGCATCAGGCTGACAAGTCCTGTACCTGCACCCAGTTCGACAATGTGTGGCGAGGGGCCGAGTGCAGGCTGCGACAGCCCGAAGCGAGCGGGTGAAGCGCACATGATTTCCGAGAGGAGGATTGATGCGCCCCAGCTTTGGAGACCGACGTCGTCCGGGTCGGCCGAGTTTGTGCCGGCGAGCCTATCGTTGAGTCGCACTGCAACCGGAACGCTGGTTTGCGGCGTGTCAGCATCTGGGAGCATGAGCTCAAAGGCGAATTCGCGAGCGTAATCCTGGTTCTTTTCGTCTTGGTCGTTATCATCCCCGGGCGCCGCAAAAAAAGACTCAAGCACGCATGACGCCTGGTCAAGCGCGTGCTGGCATGCCTCGTGGGACTCGAAGCAGGAGAGGGTTTCGGCCCGGGCGATGAAGCCGGTCAGCCAGCGCTCGGTGAAGCTGCGCTCGAAAGCATCGACTTTGAGGGCGGCGATGTGATGGTCGAGGCCATCAACCTCCTCGTGGTCGTCGTCGGTTTCCGACACATAACCGGAGTCGGCGAGGGCCGTGCCTTGATGAGCGAGTTTCTGGGTCTCGGGGGCGAGCTGGAAGGCGACCGAGACGGGCAACGAGCAGTAGATTGTCGACAGACTCTGCAGGGCGGACGTAATGTCGGCTTCGGAGAGCTGGTCCAGGGTCCGCAAGGGCGGGAGGCTGCTCGATGGCGGCAGCGGGTGCGCTGCCGGTCTCATTTGGCCGGTCTCGTCTCGACTCCTCTTGGCCGACGCGGCGAGCGTTGTGCCCCGGCGAAACGGCGGCGTGCGGGTATGGGATGAGCGTGGGAGGTGGGGGTGTGAGGTGTGAAATAACGAGTGGAAAGGAGGGAGACGGAGTGAGAACGAGAGAGAATTAGTCGAGAAATTATGAGCTTAAACGCAGCGACTACGGGGGCAAAGAGCACCTAGACCATCGCGTAAATGTCTCGTGGACTGGGTGGGCGCGACCACAAAGATAAGGTGTCCCTTCATCTATGGGTGTGCGTGCGTGTGCCACAGGCGGGATCCACTTTCCTAAATGAGGGTATCGTGAAAATTTTTGGTAGCCCTATCCTTGGTCCAGCCGGTCGGTCCTTGGGGCGACGGGCCCGGGTCTGTCCGCTGGGTTTCGTGCTTCCGGAAATGCGCCGAGCTGCTTCGAGTCGCCTTTCTCCAGATCCACATAAGCTGATGCACCTCATCTCGATTTACCCCGGAATCCACTAAAGGGTCATACCGGTATCCGCATCGCCGGGAAGAAAGTTGCGTCGGTAAAGACCTGCCGCATCTTGTAGAGCAAGTCGATATGGGGGGCGTCATGACTCTGCTCTGGACAGCGCGCACGGCAACTCAACCAAAGCCCAAAACGTCTTCACCGCCGCTGGCGCCTTAATCGATGACTCAGACAGTGTACTACAGTCCCCCGACCGCCCGGCCGTGTCACCCTTTCGTGATTCACTCACTGTACATCCAAAAAGGGAGCACGTGCTGTTGACAACTGTCAGATTGGCTGACCACCGAGGTATTAGAGTGCCGCCCCAAGTTGAAACAAACCCAGGAACGCAAGACGGCGTGGCCTGGGCTAGACCTGTCACTTAACAAACAACAAAGAGGCCCTCCAATCTCGGTGCCGTATATGCCGAGTCGTTGGTGGGCTCTAGCACGCGATGCCATTGGTCGCAAAATTACTCACCCTTCAACACTCAGTACCGTTCTTGCCACCGCGGCCCCCAATCGCAATCAGTTCATCCAAGCTAAGAGTCCCCCATATTAATCTCGGCTCCCTCAGTAGATCCAGTGAAGCAAACTCGCCAACGAGGCGCAAAGGTCGAGCCAATACGCATATTTAGCTAGAGTCGTGTCTTGCATGTGGTCCGGGGATGGAGGACTTGTTCCTCGTTCTCGGCCGGATCCAAGTTGTCTGTCATTTGCCACAAGGTTGTGTATCACCACTGCACGAGTTTATTTCCACGTGTTCCCCATTGCCATCCATATTGGCCCACTCTGCACTACAGTGTTTGAGATGAAGCTTTTCCAGGAGAGTCTTGAAACTCGTAGTTCCCAGAGAAGTAAAGGTCAAACATCGAACAGAAGACATGCCATTCCTGCAATCGCTCAATGGTTAGTTGAGAAAAAGTCTGGAGCTGTGAGGCATTGGGTCAGGTACGCATCATTTAGCCCCTGTAAAATCATATTTGGAAGCAAATGCATCTAACGCTTTCCTAAAGATCGGTAGCTTCCAGCTGATAGATTGCCTTGTTCCCTTCGACGTAGACCATAAAAAAATCTTACATCAACGCATGTTTCGAAGAGCAGCCATATGAAAGGGTCGGCCCAGGTACTTACGGTCGAATCTCCGATGAATGGCTGAAGTAAAAGCTATGCGAGTGTTCGTGTTGTTCAAAAGAGTGTTACCGCAGTATGCCGCTAACAATATGGATGAGCGATAGCGTCTCGCATTTTCAAAAGCTAAGACTAGAAATTCTGAGAATGAAAGAGTAAGGAACATCTAAAATGTAAACTTGAAAACACAGCCTAGCGGTATGGGCGCGTATGCAGGCATATGAAATCATGAGTGACGTCTTTCATTGGGTATAAGACACACAACCATACGCAGTAACGTTCTGGAAGAATTCACCTAGCTATCGGAGAACAACACGACAACAGGAATGTACTAGAACCACAACAAACCGAACTCTCTAGAAGACATACAAATGTATTGGTTTTCGTCAAGAACTAATGCACATCCCGCAGATGGATATTTTTTGGTGGTAGGCAAAATTGCAAAGAGTCATGTCTCGCTCGAGGATGCACGAGGATATCTCCATGTGGCATCTTGTTGCTAGCACCCTTGTGGGCCTCTTGATCGTTCAAGTAACGACGGAGAAAGAAAGAGCTTACTTCTACTACATCCGAATCATCAACCACTAGTTGTTCCATTTCTATACAATGTTGTTGTGGAATAGATGACCTTGTTTAGCTCCAGAGAAAAGAGCAGCTATTTGTTCGTCTTACTCACCTGGGTGATCTCCAAGGGTTAAACCCATCTACTTGGACCAAACTTCATCACATGCTCCTGTTCTTTTGTTTTTTTGGATAGCCCCAGTTATGTGTTAGACATCGAAAGGTGTTGAGGAGTGCAATTTTTGATGGCGACACAAGTTTGTCGAGATTCATGGAGAACTTGGATGTCGTTAGTGTGATTCAGAAATGGGTGAGAAGACCAGAGATAGAGGTCATAATAGGAGCGAGTCAGCTCTCAGTTATTAAATGGGCTTAAATCAGCCTGATCGAGTCCTTAATGAGGGAGCTCTACTAACAGGCTTCCCCCTACAGATAGACTGTACCAAATGAGATTCACTAGCACCATGGGGAATGACCGTTCAGCGGAGCATCCAGCGCCAAGTTTCTTAGTGGTTGCCAATTCGGGGTAGTTATGGTGTGATATGGGTTTCACGGGGCTGCTGGAAGGGTTGATCTTGACGGTTGATGGAAATGCCCGCTGACATAGCAACTGCTGCTGTATATCAGTGGTGATACTGCAAGTAAACGTTGTGATCTTAGCCATAAGGCGACAAGATACTCTTGATAAGACGCATTTGCCAAGGTCGCCAAGCGCTGTCTAGAATGGAATAGGAAGGCGAAAATCTAAATTCAGGGAGGAGAATGCAACATTTCCCCTCAAATACTGAGGGGTCAAGACAACCAGGGCTATTGCATCTGATAAGATCAGTTTTCGTTTCTATGACGCAGTGCTATAGACAGCCAAAGACGATACTGATCACACTTGATGTTAATAAATACAACAGAATCACCGTCAACTCTGAAACGAATCCACTTCTAGACACCTCTATCGCTTCGTTAAGCTTTTTCGACCATGAGACTTTTTGCTCTTATCGCAGTAGTTGCCTCGCTGGTGGCCGCAAGTGCCCCTGTCTCTTAAGATGGTTATCAAGTTCTCCGAATCAAGACCGGTACAAAGATGGCTTCAATTCAGCAAAGATTGAGGTCAATCGAATTCGACGAATGGAACACAGTCGTGAACAAACACATTGATATCGCAATCCCCCCCGACCAGATTGTTTCATTCAAGCAACTCAACCTGGATTATCATGTCATGCACGAAAACCTAGGCAGCTCAATCTCCGCAGAATCTGCTGCGAACAAAGCGTGGAAGAGACAAGTCAACGACCTTTCCTGGTATGATAGCTATCACTCATATGACGATCACAAGGCATACTTTGAAGCTTTACATGGTGCTTTTTCCAACAACTCTGAGCTCGTATCTTCGGGGACCTCATACGAGGGGAGAGATATATTTGGCATTCACCTTTGGGGTGCTGACGGCCCCGGCAAACCAGCCGTGTTGTGGCATGGAACTGTTCATGCTAGGGAATGGATTGTTGCTCCTGTAGGTTACAAGAGAAGAGATATCGTTTTAGCCGTAGCTAATATATATGTGTAGGTCATTGAGTATCTTACCCTTCAGCTAATACAAGGCTATGGCGTCGACAATGCTGTAACCGGTTTTGTGGATAATTATGACTTTTGGGTCTTCCCATTCGTCAACCCTGATGGTGCGTGGATAAAGTTGAAGTTTCAAGAGGAGCCGACTAAAACATACATAGGATTTGTGTATACTCAAACCACTGAAAGATTATGGAGAAAAAATCGCCAACCACCTCCTCGGGCAACCAACTCAACTTGTTATGGAAGGGACATCAACCGAAATTGGCCGTACAAGTGGGACGCTAACCCACTTGGTGCGTCCACCAATCCTTGTTCGCAAACGTATAAAGGCGTTTCGCCAGCAGATACCCCGGAGATACAGGGACTTCACAAGCTGTTAGATCAGCTGCGAGATACCAGCGGCCTCAAGCTCTACATTGATTGGCACAGCTACAGCCAATACTTTCTCGCACCAGTTGGTTACAACTGCACTTACTATATAGACACTTTGGGCCAACACATTGCTTTAGCACAGTACGCTTCGGACGCAATTAGGGAAGTTGAGGGCGTTACATTCACGTATGGTCCAAGTTGCGCGACCTTGTATCCAACGACTGGCGGAAGCTTCGACTATGCCTACGCTATTGGCGAAGCAGATTGGTCCTATCTTATCGAGCTGCGAGACACTGGCGAGTATGGCTTCATTCTGCCACCACAACAGATCAGAGGTAGCGCGACGGAGCAATGGGAAGGCGTTAAAGTAATGCTTAGTCTTCTCGATGAAGTTTTCTTCGATGGAATAGGAGACGCAGCTATATAAAACATTAAAGTTAGCTACGGTTCCGGAGGCTTATTGCTCACGGAGACAAATGTGAACTTTTTGGACTTTTCAAATCCGACCTAATCTTCCTGCTCACAATTGATGCACTTTGAATAAACAAAATCAGAAAGCTAAACTTATAGAGCAATTTCATCTGCATTCCAATCAATAATGGTGTCAGAGGCTGGAGTCGTACAGAGTAATGAGGTCGGCGATGGGCACAGGTAGGGGTGGGTGTTGACTGTTATTCCAATCTGCCTTTTCCCCTAGGTCCGCCGCAGCTGCTCCTTATATGCCCCCCAGGTCCCCCCCCTTAACCAAGCCCAGTTCCCCTGGCTATAACACTAATTCAGCGGCGTTGTGCTATCGCCTTTCTCTAACGTTGGTCTCAGTGGCTAACCTTTGTTGTCGGAGTCTGTGTTGGCCGCGTAGCTAGAATCCCTTTATAATCCCTTGACTATGTGCCGGTGCGGCCCCCAGCTACCCCGCCGACGGCCCCACTAGTGCCGCGCCGGTGCCCCCCCACCCTCTGGGCGCCTGACAAATGGGCTCAGCAACACCTACTTGATGCGCGAAAATGGACAGAACGAAATATTCCAACATTAATGTAGTTCTCAATAACTCCTCTATACTCGTGATTACTTCTACACTCTGCATTATGCATATTCCAATCCTATAATAAATCTGAGCAAGGAAGCTAGGGATCGCCAAAGAGCACATCGCAAGGCTGAGCGCCGATAAAAGTAATATCCACTGTATCTAGTGCTATGAATATTTTGGACCTGTTGACGAAAATATAAATATTTTATCTAGAAAAAGGGCCTAGTAAGGTCTTATAGTATGTAATCGATTCACGTCTGGGGCAATAAGTAATTTTATTATCAATGTGAGAGATACTGAGGCTGTAGTTCACGAGCATATGGTTCTTGCATAGAATTTTCTTCCGGTCTTAGGTAATACTTTCAGGTAACACCTTCTGAGACACTAAATTATCGGATGTTTTCCTTCAGTTCTGCAAGGTCTATGTTCTCAATGAGCAACCGGAATCCGAATGTAAGGCCACCCGATCATTAACCTATGAATTATCTGTCTCAAAATTAACAGAGATCTTTAGGCGTTTCAAACTTCGAACTTACAGAGAGCTGGACCAGGCATCACATAGTTCGGATTGGATTCGTCGTTATAGATATTGAAATGCACACCAGGGTCAGTTGGCGAGTAAAGCTTCTGGCCCACCACACCAGGCGGAGAGGCGGTTCCAGACCCAGTGATCTGGATGCTGATGCATTGGGGGTAAAACTGGGCACCACCGACGTCGTATGCCGAGTGAAGGGCAAGTATCTCATGACGCAGTACGTAATTCCCAGGCTTGATAGACGATGGGATGCGGACAGTCCAATTGCCGTCGTTCGCGATCAGCTGGTCGGCGACCCAGAATCCAGGACTACCACCACCGGCGCCCAGCTGAATACGACCTTCCTCTGCGATCTTGACCCACTGGAGCTTGGTCTTGTCAACGTTGGTACAGACGCCGCCACAGTCGGCTAAATATGCGAAGATCGGACCATGGTGAGAGTCGGGCCACGTGGTCCAGTGCAGTGGGATGTCACTGCCTGCAGGAACGACAGCAGATATCTTTGCGTTTGTAGCGTTTATCTGGCATATGATGTCGGGATGTCCAACATTGTTGCCGTATACGGGTCCAGTATCTGTGTTCCAGCTTGGCCAGGAGATGGTCCCCTGGTCGGGAACCCAGGGGGCGGCAGTAGGGTTGAAACCGACATAAGACTTGCCGTTGATGATCAGTTGATCAATCAAGCCATGAGCTGAGACGGCAGTGGCACCGACAGTCAGGCCGAAAAGATGCTTGAATACCATACTTCTTAATGTTGACCGCAATAATATGTCAGCCAAAAATTGGGTAGGATAATGTTTGAGTTCTAACCGAGAAAGAGATGTATTTATACCCTCAATTCATATTGATCATGACCCAGTTGATCCGTTATAATAGAACCCAAGATAGCCGTGGTCGGAGGTAAGAGGTCCGATATGTCGCATCAGCGCAACATTGTCGGATAATTATACATGGACCTCGGTAGGCTGGTGCGACACTAGTTGTTGCTTGGCTGCGAAGGTCTAGCCTAATACGTCTCGGGGGTCAGTGTTACAATAAAGTGCGGCTAAACGGAATTGCTATGGGATTTCTGCCGTGTCACCACTAATAAGTTCTAATGGCGATGGCACCGTGCTCGGGCTTAGCAAAGGGGGTCATTTTTCCTACATAGCCCAGCATGTAACGTGGAACTGTTGAGGGTTTGAAATGTGAGGTTCGGATCTTTCAATACTGAAATATTGAAGCCAGCCGTCGGATCAAGAAATTGCAGGAATAAACTAAAGGTGGCAAGTTTGGAAATATCAAACAAGGGAAACCGCGAATTACAAGCCAGATAACACGCACTTAATTGCGGACTCCAATACAGAAGTATATCCTGCCATGTATGCGCTCCACACTGCACTCTCTCGGCATCTACTAAGGGTTCCGCTAAAAGATAGCGATAGTTTCATGCAAACTTCGTGAGCTAGCTTCCAAAACTCGTTACCACTCACGGTTTTAGCAAGTTCGATGCAGTCTGCGGTCCGATTGTCGTCTGCATTCAAAGTTGCTTCGCCGAACCATTTCAGCATTCAAGCCAAGGACACAACCGGATATTCTCCACCCGGCGCCTTACATTGGTTTAGACTGATAGGACAGCTCCACGGATTTGCCTTGGTAGATGTACATCAACCAGCAGACTTGAACTATGCTTGGCTTTGACATACTCGCTGTAACGAGCCGCTTGCAGGAACCGGTCGCTGGTGGCTTAACTAGCTTTAATTCAGTCGCAGTGGACGCTGGTATGCTCGTCTTCATGGATGTCACCAATGAACTTTGTCGCCGGTACCCCCGTAGTAGTAACGACGCCTTTGAACATTTGGATTATATTAATATCCATTGCTGAATAGTGCGTGAATCAGCTTGAGCGGTTCCTTCTGCCCAATGATCGCGTTCTTCGTTAATCCAGTAGTTGGCGCGGGTGCTAGCACTGAGGGAGCGTGTGCGACCTTCATCGATGTTGTCTTCAAACAGTTATGGCTCGATGGGCTCTGCAAAGTTGTTTATAAATTTCAGTACTCGGAGCTTCCCCGAGAGTCACACCTTATCACTTTCTTCAGAGATCCGAAATACATTGATAATTAATCAGGACGTCTATGGTCGAACGTTTGAATAGAGATAGAGTTCTAGCAACACTAGATACCCCTTTCGCTAAGTCTCATAGTGGATAGGAGACAATAAAGCAGATTTTCCTTAAGTCCTGAGAGAGAGCAGAGGGACCCTGTCTAACTCAATATACTTGGCAATCGGCTACAAGGCAGAAAAACAACAAGCCTGAAGGCCGACGATGTACCTAGACTGTTGCAAGTTGATTACACAATGGACATTCGGTATTTACGCATAAATAGATGCTTGAGATTTGATGCAATGCAAGAAGCACCGGATGAGGCTAGGCTACTACCTGGTTCAAATCCGAGGACATCTAGTACTCCTTGGGGCTGGCGATTCCCAGAGCACGGCGCCTGCTGGTGGCCTTGGGGTCAAAGAACGGCCTCTCTGCAAGACTGGAAACTCGGGTGCCGTGTCGCTTGCCCTTTCCTTCGTAATCCCATGCCGCGCTGTGCATGGTCACTCTGCTTTGGCGTCAGTTTACAACTCAACGCGCACGTTCTTCAATGCTACACTTACCGGTTGTCCCAAATGGCCGAAGTCCCCGGCGTCCACGTGAAGCGACACTGGATGTCGACGTTGCTTTCGTAAACACTGAACAGGTAGTTCAGGATAGCATCACTCTCGCCCTGGTCAACCCCGACAATGCGCAGCGTCATGGCGCGGTTAACGTACAGTGACTTCCAGCCTGTCACGGGGTGCACCTAATTGGCGAAGTCACTTGTGTCAGTAAAAGTCTGTTGCGCTGACATTGCTGGTGTCACTTCAGCCGGCCGAACTTACTCTGACCATGGGGCGTGTTCGCTCGACGAGCTTAGGTCCGCCTACGGGGTCTTCACGGTCAAGAAACTTGTATGCTGAGCGGTACACGCACTCGCGTCCGTCAATGATCTCGCGGAATGCGGGCGAGAGTTTGTCGTATGCTGCGTAGCCACTGGCCCAGGGCGTATCGCCTCCAACATCGGGAACAGCATCGTTGTGCAGGTGTCTGAGGACAGAGTTAATTGATCAACGCGCGTGAATGGAGACTTCAACTGGGCTTACGTGTAACCCGGCGGCTGGTGCTCGTAAGCCATGTCAGTGTGCCAGCGCTGGGTTCCAAACGGGTTCCGGAAGTAGTAGTCGAACATGGGCATAGTAGCAGTGAAAGCCGGCCTGAAAGTAAATTGAGAATCAGTGAATGCTGGCACCGTTTCGAGAATGAACTTGCGAACCAGACACCAGTCGTGCCGGGAAGGCCGGGGACGTATGCGTCTTGAAGGTTCGCCTCGACTTCTCCAAAGTAGGCACCCAGTTCCAGCTGCTTCTGCGGGCTCAGATCTTGGTCCCGGAAAAAGAAAACACCTCCCTCCGCAATCAAGAGGGCGAGTTCATCCTGTGGAAAGTTAGCTTTTATGCTTGAACTGTTGTGACAATGAGCAGTCGACGTACCCTCTGCTGGTCGGTAAGATCTTTCAACTGCAGGCCGGTGATTTCGGTGCCAATGTGGACGGTCACATCTTTCACCTTTGAACATGTTAGCGCCCTTGAAAAAATGGCAGATAGAATCCTTGTGATACTTACTTCTTTCGCCGCAGAGAAAAGGGCCTTCTTTTCCGGGTCGGCACGGGAAGCAGGGTCAATGTACTCACGATCCTCGCCACGGAGCTTGTAAACGTCCTGGAGGTAGAGAACCTTCTTGGGATGTTCAGGATAAGCTTGAGAAAGGTCAATGCCGGCCGCTTCAAGCCTTTGCCTGGAAAGCTCGGGCAATTCGGGGACGGCTGGTTTCTCAGGTACAATGGTAGCTGGAGACATGGTAATAGATGGGAGGAATATTGGACCAGGACCACGCAGTTCGTGCCAGTAGGTAGTAGGATACGGAACCTTTTATCACAGTACTTCAGTACCCGGTTCTGGCTCTGCAGAAGCTAGAAACTAGAGTATCATTGAGGATGGACCGAAGCTTATCTCTCTGCCGAAAACCCCACCAAAAGACCTGAAGGCCCCCCACCGGACCTCAGGCAACTGATTAGTTCTTTCAGAAACGTGGCTGCGGTAATCTGCTTTGATAGGCTCTGGTTTGGCGTGTTTTCAGCGTGTTTTACACTCGGGGGGTCAAGGTAATTACATCAACTTGAAATGCGCTGGCCAATTGTAGTTTACTTAGGAATGCTTAGACCAGGGCAGCCACAGCGTTTACACAAGACAAACGGGTGTACATACATAAAAGAGTCATTGAGCTAATAGTTTATATGTCGCGCCGTCAAGGCGAATACAAATAATCACTTGCTCGTTCTGATTTGACACTGCAAGTCGCGGAGGATCTTGAGGCAAAGGGATAATATTCAACCATGGCCACCATCAATACCTTAACAATCTTGCTGTCTCCATTTCCAAAAATGCAGCCATTGTGGCAGAATATCTGCGCGAAAACAACATCCCAACGCCTTCGCTTGCAGATGGTCAAGCTCTCGAAACCAATTCTTTCCCGCCAGAGATCCAGGACGCATGTCTTTCGCTGCAAGATGCCTCGCTGGAGCTTCATAAGCTAGTTCAAGGTCCTCGGGCCATTTTGATGAACTTCTCCAGTAACGCCAAGGCCGATGACGCCACCGTCTTCCAATTCGCGCTTCCGCAGAAGATCCCGCTGGACGACTCCAACGGCATCACGTATGCCGAACTTGCGCAGGAGACAGGTCTTGGACAATCCGCCCTGGAAACGATTCTGCGCGCTGCGATCTTGTATCGCGTCTTGCGCGAGCCGAGTCAAGGCCGCATCGCGCATTCGGCGGCGAGTCGTCTGTGGGCAATGGACCCGGTCCTAAACGACGTGCTGGATTTTAAGATCTTGGACAATGGTCTTCGCGTTGGCTTCATCGCGCAGGCCCTGGAGCGCCATCCTAAGGCTGACGAGCCAGCTGACTCGGCGGCAAGCGTCTTGCATGCTACGCTCGAGTGCAAGCAGCAAAGGTCGACGTGGTTTGAGATCCTGGAACGTGAGCCTGCTAGGTCAGGCCGCGCGCGAACTGCCATGAATATGATTGACAAGCGCGATGGCGTGTCATTGAGACACTTGGTGAATGGGTACAACTGGGCTTCGCTGCCCGAGGGCAGTCTGGTTGTTGATCTAGGCGGCGGTCACGGCAATGCTGTGGTGGCGATTGCGAGCAAGTTTCGGCATCTGAAATTCCTCGTGCAGGTAGGTGGCAGGCTGACAGCACATAGAAACTACAAGATGATGCTTCGATGGATAGCTAACATAATAACAGGACCTCCCACAGACAATTGGCACAGCGCCGAAAATCACTAATCTCCCAGTCGAGTTCCTCGCGCATTCCTTCCTCGATCTTCAGCCTACCAAAGGCGCGAAGGTGTATCTCTTCCGATGGGTCTTCCACAACTGGCCGGATAAGTACTGCATTTTAATCTTGCAGACGCTGATACCAGCGCTCGACAATGGTGCGCGGGTGTTAATGATGGATAGCGTGATGCCGCCAGTGGGAGGTGTGCCCCGGGCTCTGGAAAGAGAGAAGAGGTATATGGATCTCGTCATGCTCGCCAATTTTAATGCTAGGGATCGACCAGCTGAGGTTTACGAGAGTCTGTTTGCCAAGGCTGATGAGCGGTTCGAGTTTTTGGGTATCAAGAGCATAGAAGGCAGCGAGTTGTGCCTTATTGAAGCTTCATAGAGGGGTTGAGGGGAAGACGTATTAGCTATTCCAAGGTTCCGTGATGGTTCAGAACAAGTTTTGTTAATCAGATTTTTGAGAGACACATTGAATATGCTCTGAATAACATGTAGTTTAGTCATACTTCTATTCAAAACTAAGATTGAGCAAGTGTACGATTTAAGTACTGGGCGCTAATGCAGTACGCAAATAGACAACTTTTACAGGAATGAGACTAGGCAACTAACAAAAAGGTATCCTGTCTATCAAAAAGACAACTCCAAATCGTGGACAAAAGGGGCATTTTGTTGCCTCTTGTTAAAACAGTTTATTTGATCGAGCTTTTTGCATTATCAACAGATCTCTGGCATGTTATTGAACTGATTTCTTCATTCCCGCACCTACACAGGATAGCCGGCTGCGTGTGCACCGACATAAGATGCCACTACGATGATGCTCGACTTCGCAGTAGGTGAGCACGTGGTCATCGCAGTGGACATGGCTCCTTGAAAAGCTGTAGACTGGAGTTTAGCCCCAATTCCATATTTTGCCGCTAATAAGTAGAGGCTTATGCGCAAGTACGATGCATCCTTCTCTTTCTTTCATTGAGACATGGCCGCCATGGAATCGCCGCTCGTGCTCGAACGCACCCATGCTATCCTCATCACCCTCGCTATCGCAGTCGCTGCGTACCTCCTCGCTACTCCCAAGGCTCGTCCCTTGCCCGACATACCATGGGTCGGTAAATCGTCGAGACTGCCGGGCGCTGACACGTGGGCGACGCTGGCGAGCTTCGTCAACAGACGCAAGTGGTTCGCCGAAGGCTATGAAAAGGTCAGTCTGGCGGTGAAAAGTCAACGTGGGGCTCATTTCTGATCCTGAACAGTACTCACGGCACGGTAAAAGCTTCATCGTGCCCCACCCGCTAGGCGAGAAGCACATCACACTGCCGCCCGAGAAGCTGAGCTGGCTACTCGAGCAACCCGACCACGTGGTCAGCGCAGCCGACTTCCACTACGAGATCCTCGCCGGCCGCTATGCCTGGACCGACGGTAGCATAAACCAGATCCTGTTCCACGAGCATGTGATCCACAAGTACATCGTACGCAGGGATTCGAGACTCCTTGCCGGCATGTGGGACGAGATAGGCACGGCAGTCGACGAGCTGTGGGGGACTTCGCCGGGATGGCATGACATACGCGTACTGGACACCTCATCAGAGATGATACTGCGTGTTGTTAATCGCGCCCTGGTTGGCTTGCCGCTGTGCCGGAACCGCGACTATCTCTCCCATACCAACTCCTTCACCACCAACGTCCTGCTCTGCACTTTCGCCACCCAGCTCGTCCCCCGCTTTCTGCGCGACATTGTCGGTTATGCTGTTGGCGCCCCAAACCACTGGCACTACCGGCGCTGCGCACTCTGGACGCTCCCCGTGATCCGGGAGCGCCTGGGCATGTTTGCGCAAATCGATAACGGCTCCCTCACCGCCGATGGTCTCCCCGAGGACTACATCACCTGGCACATTGAGCTTGCTCGAGCCGAGGGCTGGACCCGCGAACTCGCCCCGGAGTTCATCGCGCGGAGCTTGATGGCACTCGAGTTCGCCGCAACCAAAACCCCCGCCGCGACACTAGCCCGTGTGCTTCTCGATGTGTGTGGTTCCGGGGGACAGAGCGGATACATTGACCGCCTACGAGATGAAGCCGAACAAGTTTTTACCACGCACAACCAGACCTGGTCCAAACAAACGCTGCGCCACATGGCGTTTACTGACTCGGCAATCCGGGAGAGCATGCGACTGACCTCTTTGCTCTTCGCACTGGGGCGCAAGGTGGTGCCAGCGGCTGGTGTGCCCGGGCCAGACAAGGCGTGGGTCGCGCCTCAGGGCTCCTATCTCACCATCAACGCCGCCGACCGCCATCTCGACCCCGCGCTGTATCCGGACCCAACGCGATATGATGCGTTTCGGTTCGCGCGTGTGCACGAGGGGCAGGAGACAACAGAGGATGGGCTGCAAGCTAGGAAGATGGGCATGACTAGCACAAGCAAGGACTTTCTAGCGTTTGGCCATGGGCGGCATGCCTGGTACGTCTCTCTCCATTATTCAGACCGTTGCCGGTGGAGCAGTTCGGTACTAATGGTGACCCACAGTCTCGGTCGCTTTCTTGTCGAGCAGATGCTCAAGATGCTGCTCGCCTACATGCTGATGCATTACGACATTGAGTACTTGCCTGCGCGGCCGCCGAATTTTGTGCTTGGCCCGATTAATGTGCCTCCCCCGAAGGCGACAATCAAGGTTTGTCGGAAGAAGACCGAGGTAGAGTGAGGGACGGGACCGAAGGTGAGTCGGAGGTGGACGAATACAGTACACCCTGCGTCATAGCCATGAATAGGGGTTTCTATGTGCTTAAATGGGTAAGTTGACGGCCTCTCATAGGATTGCGCATCCACGTGCATGCCCGATAGCTGCCATGAACCAAGGAACGATGAACATGTAATTTTTATTTTTATTTGTTGATTTAGCATGACCGAGAGTGTCCGGGTGGGAAAGTGTACTTGGTAGAGAGTATTTGATGTTCACCCGTATCCACATAGTGGACAAAAAAAGCCCGAGACAATTCGGTGCGGTGCCATCCATGGTAGAGGGATGTGTAATTAAGCTTTTTCCCAGCCGCTTACAGCGTACCTGTCAACTCTGCAATGTTACCGGTAAATCCTTCCATTTTAGCAACCTAGGGGTATCCCTGCAGGGTTGTCCTGTTCTTCCCCCACAAAAGCAAAACGTGCGCAAGCGGCTAGAGAGAAGGGGTCGTAGAACCCCTCTATTCTGCAAATTAATTGCCTGCTGCCCATCTCTATCTGATGTGCAAACACGTACATCTAGCGTACTCCATCGTCCATTTATTGCACCAATATCCCCCCCGTAAAATATGTACCCGAAGCCCTCGGGTACACCCGACACCAACAAGCCTCCGACAGACTCACCTCAAACCACTCTCTGCCCCACTCCGCCACTTTCCCAGACGCTATCCACAACCCGCGACAAGGGTACATCAGCCATCAGCTCATCGGCCGATAGCTGGACGCTCAAGGCGCGAAAGAGCCAGCTCTGTACCTCGATGACGGTGAGCGAGTCGGTACCCAGAGCGTGCAGCGCACGCGTCAGAACCACATCAGCGACCGGCATGTGCAAGGTGGTAGCGATGGCCGCGAGGAACGCCGTCGACATCCGGGCCTTTGAATCGGGATCGCAGCGGTCTAGACACGAGAGGGACGGAGCAGTGGGGGTGGGGTCTGCTGCTGCTGTCGAGGTCGGCTGTTTGGGGGCTGTGTCATTACTGAATGCAATGGCCGTGAATTTCGGGCCGTCGAGGAAGAATGGACGAGCGAGACCCGCGGCCGTGGCCGCCCCGGCGGTGGGGAGCCCTGTCATGGGTTGCGTGGTTGCGTGGGGGTTTGTTTGGCCATGGCGGCGTACAGGAGGGCGCACATCTCGTACTCGCGCAAGCCAAAGCCTTGTTCCCAGTCCTTCAGAGCGCCCACGGAGCCGTGCTTCGCGAGGTAACCGACATCGCGCATGATGCCGAGGCCGAGGGCTACTGCGTGGACGCCGCGATTTCGCAGGTCGTGTGCCAGCGGGTCCTGAAAGGCGCACGCGGCGACATAGTTGCCTTGCGTGCGATTGCCGAAGATGGCCGTGAAGGACGAGAGCATGATGAAGAAGGGCTGGTGGCGCGGTTCGATGGCGGCGACCGCGAGGTTGGCGCTGCCTTGGACCTTTGGCCAGAGCACTTCTTGCCATTGCTGGTGGGTCATTTTCTGGAACGATACGTCGCGCAAGACCATGGCGCATTGGATGATGCCCTTGATCGGAGGGTGCACCTGTCGGCATTGCTGGAGTGTGGCTCGAAGAGACCGCATGTCCGAGATGTCGCATTTGTATGCCGAGACGGAAACTTGCCGCTGGCGTAGTTCGGTCATAAGTGCCTCTGCGTCTTGGGATGCCGTGGAAGATCTCGACAAGAAACAAATATGTTGGGCGCCCAGGTCAACCAGGAATGTGGCGATGTTTCGACCCAACCCCCCGAGACCACCAGCTAGCACGTATGTTGCATCAGGCTGGAGTCCATAGTCAGGCTGCTGCGAAGCTGCTGTCCCGCCTATAGGTTGCTGTGGGGGTAAACGCCGCAGGATGTCGTCCAGAGGAGCATCCTCGTTCACGCGAGGCACCGACAGCCTGCCGTGTGATTCCCGAAACTCCATGTCTAGAGTGTTCGAGGCGGCAAGCTGTGCAACGATGTTCCCTAAGTCCGTAATGCGAGTCAAATATGGCGAGGAGACCTGTAGAGAGCGAAACTCAAGACCTGGGGTTTCGTTGCGAAGAGTCTGCGCTAAAGCTGGAACAATACTGCCCGCAGCCGTGTTCAGCGACAGCCATAGGATGGACTTCGAATCCGACACGATTCTCTGAAGAGCGCTGAAGTCTTCAGCAGAGGCGTTGTCGAAGACGGGAGCGTCAAGCTCGACCAACGAAATGCATTTCCGCCCATGCGTGGCATGGCCGACGGCGGGCTACCACGCGGCCAGTTTTACGTCGAAGCCCGATGATTGCAATCGCTGAGTAACCAACCCAGATAGCACTCGGAGAGTCTGAGTAGGTCTTTTGGGGAGAAAAAGAGTAACGTCTTTCGTCTCATCTTCCGATTCTGTTAAAAACTCAGGAGCGGGCTGCCAGTCCAAGGAAAAGCAAATGCGACGAGGCTGGCGGTCGGTCCTGGCCGTTACTTGGGTTCGTTCCGCCACTACTGATTCGATAGCATTGTAAGTATCCTCGTGGCGCCATGGATAAGGCGGTAGATCCACAATCAGCTTAGGCCGACAGCCAGTTTCGTTCAGTTTCGCAATGTTCACTGGCACACCGAGAGCATATAGCTGACCAGCAGCCGCATATGTGGTCGCGGTCGAGTCCTTGCCTCGACTGAGCACGGAGACATACTCCGATAGTCCCGATACGGAGCAGCTGGCAAAAATCCGCTTCAAAGGCGCCTGCATAGTTTGGTGCGGCCCAATCTCCACAAAAATCTTGTCGTCGTGCCTCCCGCTCTCAGTCAGAATTCCTGCTCTTCCTTGGGAAAGGACGTCAATAGGTTAGTGACTGCATCCGGAGAACTTGACCTGGGAGACGAGGTTCTTGATCCAGTACGTTGACCCGAGATCGGTTACGTGAATCTCCTCGCCCGTGACCGCAGAGAACATGGTACGTCCCTGGATACGTTCGCCCAGCACGACTTGCGATATGGCCTTCTGGTAGTTGGTAGCCATGGCTTCCATGTGGCTAGAGTGGTATGCGACGTCCACGCGAAGCCTCTGATTCAATATTCTACGGCTGTGGAGAAGCTCCTCGAGGCGGTCAAGGCTGGCAATGTCCCCGGCAAGGGTGATGTTGGTGGGCGAGTTGATGCACGCAATAACCACCCTGCTCGAGGCATGCTGGCTGGTGAAGGAGTTTGCTTCCGTCTCCGAGAAACTGACAGCCATCATAGATCCTTCTTGCTCCGACTCGAAAGCGCCGCATGAGTATGCAATCTTCCACGCATCATGTTGGGTCAGAGCGCCCAGGCAGTATGCGCCTGCAATCTCGCCGCTGGCACCGCGAGGAACACCAATGCTGGAGCTGCCGGCTCGATTACCTTCCCCTCGAGCGTCGCGCAGGCTGATTTGTACCGCACTCTCTTGCAGAGCAACGGCGTGGGACCAAACGAGATTTCATACGTGGAATGCCACGGCACCGGAACCCAAGGTTTTGTCAACTTGATCTGAACTAAGACAAACGCTAACTATCTACAGCCGGTGATGGGGCCGAAATGCGCGCGATTATCGAAACCTTCAGTCCAAGCCGACCAAGTGACTTCCCACTTCATGTCGGTGCCTTGAAAGCTGCCATAGGTCACGCTGAGGGAGCAGCAGGCGTATCTTCGCTGATCAAGGCCACACTAATGATGCAAAAACGAATCATACCTCCTCAGCCAGGCTGGCCGTTCAAGATAAACCATGAGTTCCCTGATCTGGACGCAGCCCATGTCAAAGTCGCTGACAGGACCGCTCCGCTGCATCCCTCGCGAGACGGCAATGGATTGGCAAAGATCATAGTCAACAGCTTCGACGCTACGGGCGGCAACGTGAGCATGTTGATTGAAGAAGCATGAGAAGTCTTTGACTGGGGGGATCACGACCAGCGTCTTCACCATGTCGTCGTATGCTCCGGCCGGACGCGCTCATCCCTCGAGGCAAATGAGGCGCGGCTGAAGGAGTGTTTGCTCTTGCACCCGAATACGGATCTGGCCAGCCTGGCATACACCACCACAGCGAGGAGAATGCACGAGATGCACCGATCCGCACATGTAGTGCAGTCCCTTCAAGAGCTGCTCAGCAAGCTTGGCACCGATCACAAAGCACCTTTGAAAGATGCTCGTTTGCTGTTTTCCTTCACTGGCCAAGGCTCCATTTACAGGGGAATGGGCGCAGAGCTGTACCACATGTTGCCCTTTCTCCGCTTCACGCTGGACTCGTTCCAGGATTTGTGCGATGCTCAAGGCCTCGACCGCTTCCTCGATTTGATTATCGGTGCGCAGGAAGTGGCTACCGCGACGGCGTGCCAGACGCAACTCTCGCTGGCCGCGCTGGAAGTCGCCATGGTTCATCTGCTCCGCTCGCTTAGGCTGCAACCGACTTTGGTCATGGGACAATCGCTAGGAGAATACGCTGCTCTTTATGCCGCGGGCGTACTCTCCGTCAGCGACATGCTCTATCTCGTACATACACGAGCCTCACTGATCCAGGCGCACTGCACGGCACACGCATACTCGATGCTGGCGGTGAGCATGTCTTATAACGATGCGGCAGACTTTCTACGCAAGTCCAACTGCCCGACGTGCCAGATCGCCTGCATCAACGCGCCAGCTATGACAGTCATCAGCGGCACCAACAACGAGCTCGCTGTTTTGCAGTCCACGGTGCAAATTCGCGACGTCCACGCGTCGCTGCTCAAGGTTCAGTACGGCTTCCACTCGAGTCAGCTCGAGCCTCTTCTTGAGCGCTTCGAGGAGGCGGCGCGTAAAGTGCACTTTAGCGCGCCTCGCGTGCCAGTAGCTTCGACGCTACTCGGTGAAGTTGTGCGCAACGACGGCGTTTTCAACGCCGCGTACCTCCGACGACAGATGCGCGAGCCGGTTGACTTTCTGGGTGCAGTGCGCGCTTGTGAGGCACAGAAATTGCTCCAGGCGAACTCACTAGCTCTTGAGCTTAGCCCCCATCCCATTTGCACAGCGCTTATGGCCAAGTCTTGCTCAAAGAAGGACTTGACTACCTTGAGTAGTCTCCAGCAGGGTCAGGACGGGTGGAAGAGTTTATCGAACTGCCTTGCCGCTCTCCATGTGGCGGGTCTTCCTGTCAATTGGCACCAGTTTCACCGCGACTCCGAGCCCTGCTTGCGGCTTCTGCATTTGCCTGCTTATGCGTTCGATCCCAAGACGTACTGGATGCCGTATAAGACTAGACGTGAGCCACAAGATCCCAGAGAGGCAAACGTAGCATGCAGCGATCGCTTCCGTACGCCTTCTTGCAACGCTTGGACAGCCTGAACTCAGATGATGAGAAAACGGACGCGATGTTCAGTTCGAGCACGACGCATCCCGAGCTGACGACTGCCATTCAAGGACATGTTGTGGGCGGCGAGGTGCTCTGCCCAGCAAGCGTGTTTATGGAAATGGCACACACGGCAGCCTCTTATCTTTTACATATCACAAATAGTGCTAGCGAGGGTTTTCATCTTGAGGTCGCCGATCTGCAGATGACGCACGCCCTTGTGGTCCGCACGAGAGATGAAGAGCACTTGATCCACGTAGAGTGTAGCATGGACAACTGAACGAAGACGGAAATCTCTGTGGCCTTCTCCTCCACAAACCCGACGGGTGCGGTGGCCAACCACGGCATGTGCAAGGTGCGCTTCAGCGCTGAATGTCCATCAAAGGTCCAGCAGTGGGGATTTATGGAGAATCTGATACGCCGACGCGTAGCTAGTCTGACTGGGACGTCCAAGAACGGCCCGACGCACCGTATCTCGCGCAAGCTGTTTTATAAGCTGTTCGAGGCCGAGATCGAGTACGCTGAGCCATACCAGTGCATCGAGGAAGCATATCTGCCGCCTGACTTTCAGGACGCCGTTGCTGCCTGCGTACTGGGCGACAGCGCGGGCAATCAAGGCCAATTCACGTGCAATCCCTTCACCATGGATGGCATCGTGCATCTATCCGGCTTCATTCTCAACGCTAACCCATCCAAGCGTAAGGACGTGATCCACATTTCCAACCGCATCGGCTCCTTTCAACTGTTGGCCCCCATTACCAAAGGCACGTCGTGTATGTGTTATGCCACGTTGCGCGAGCAGTCTGCCAAGGGCGTAACCGTGTGCGACGTATAGGTCTTTGACCAAGATGGGCTAATCGCCCTTTGCTCCGGCATCACGTTCCAGCGCATGACCAAGGACATCTTCTCACTGGTCATTGGGCACGCGGACGTCGGGCTTTCTGGCGGTGCGCCGGTACCAAAGGTCATTGAAGCGCCGCTCCCTAGTCGTGGGCGCAGGCTTCATGACTTTCCTGATCCGTCGCCGCAAAGCACGGTTACACGAACGACATTGCCCGAGGCAGATCACGCCGACACGTTGTTACGCATCGTCGCGACGCGGACGGGCGTTAGCTTGGACGAGCTGGAGCCCGCCACCTGTTTTACTGATGTCGGGGTGGATTCGCAGATGAGCATCGCCATCACGTCAGATCTGCAGAAACAGCCTGGTGTGCAGCTCCCGGCGGCTTTCTTCCTCATGTACACGACCGTGGCAGAGGCCAAGGAGCGGCTAGGAACTGCGGAACCTGCAAAGGTTATCACGCCGTCACCCAAAACAAGTGCTGAGTCGCTGGCTACGAAGCCTAGTTCGGTTTCCAAGGCAATCCGCTGCGAAGCATCGCCATCGACAGAACGACCGAGCAACATTCTGCTCCAAATAGTGGCCAGCGAACTCGGCATGGCTCCGGCTGACTTCGACGATGTGGGAGACTTCGAAGCAGCCGGCGTCGACTCTATGATGAGCATCAAAGTCATGTCGCAATACAAGCAAAGGACGGGTCAGGAGCTACCCGCCTCATTCTTCATGAACCACCCGACAGTAGCAGACGTCGAAGCTGAGTTGGATGGCGGCGTGCGCGGCGCCGATACTAATGACTCTTCCAGTTCCAGCAGCAGCCGCATCATTCTAACGCCCCCAGCGGAAATCACGTCCAACGCAGTCCTGATCCAAGGCAACCCAGACTCCACACAGCGACCCGTTTTCATGATTGCCGACGGCCACGGCTCGGCCGATGCCTTCGTGCACCTAGCGCCTCTCCAAAACAACCAATGCCTCTACGCGCTTGAATCGCCTTTCATCGATGACCCCAATGCCTTTGACATGCCAATCCCCGACCTCGCCAAAGTCTTCATCAAAACCATCCGTCGCCTGCAGCCGTGCGGCCCGTACTTGATCGGCGGGCGCTCCGCTGGGGCAGCATACGCCTACGAAGTCGCATACCAACTAGCCGTGCTCGAGCACGAAACACTTTCGGGCCTTCTGCTCATCGACATGCGGGTCCCGCGCGCCATCCCACAAGCTCACGCTATCAACATGGCATTCGTTACTCGCGCATGGCGCGTCATTGTTGAGCACACGAACGTCCTACTCGACCCGGGTGACCTTGCCCACGCTGCGGTCACCATTAAAGCTCTGCACTCATATACACCGCGTCCGTTCCCGGCGTCGGCGCGCCCTCTTCGCACTGCCATCGTCTGGGCCCGCTGGGATGTCAACGAGAATCCCGACCAGACCCTGCGCGACGCGGCTGTGCAGCGTCCGGCGGCCATGGGCCCGACACTCGGCGAGACGGCGGACCCGGCGTCTGTCAGTGTAGAAGATTTTGAGTCCGAGTTTAAATCCTGGTTTTGGGGTTATCGGACGTCATTTGGCCCGAATGGCTGGGACCGCTTGCTAGGTGGAGAGGTGCTGGTGCACACGGTAGATAGAGGTTCGTTTTTCTGACTCCCTTTTGCACCTGCGTGAATGAAGCGACTGAAATTTTCTCTGTAGACCACTTCTGTATGATGAAACCTCCATATGTGCGCTCGCTGAGCGCTGTTTTGGTCCGTGAGGTTGCTGAAATGGAGAGAATAAAGTAGATGGATTAATATAGTTGCTTTTCAGGGGGTTTTCTTTTTCTAGAGTTGACACGGTGGCAAAGAGCATAATCCATCCTTGCGTTAGTGCCAGTATTTCTTGTTTTGTGGTCAATGTCATTTGTATGCCTCACGTTCGAATGGCCACTTAGTGACGAAGTACGCCCATCATAAGTTTGAAACTCTGACCTATTTATCCCGGGAAACAAAGCTTAACTCGTCAAGTTACTCGGCTAACATATCCAAAGAGCTTGAGCCCAACAAACCCTCAGCAATCCAAGTATAGTATCCAATTTACCGCAACCGATGTAACTAGAATGATCTTTAGTAGTTTCCAAAAAAAAAAAGAGGCCTTCACGAAGAATTTTGGCAAGTTTGAAGCCATACCGTAAATTCTAGACCACTCAACTAAAGCCTTTTGACAATATCAAGGACACTGCCAGCATCTAGTGCTGCAAGGGTAGGAAATATTGATGAACCGTGAATACTGATACTTCTGATGAGGACTCTGGAGATTGTGGACTTTTTATCCGCTCTGGTTGAAGATATTGGAGAAAACCAGAAGATTCCAATTTCAATTTATGGGTTACTTGAGGTGATATTTCCCAGCCCGGGTTCAAAAAGTTGGCCGTACTATATTTCTTCTTCCTCTTGAGACGGGGGGTTGATCATCAACCACGTCATGACACCTAGTCCAACAGCAAAAGAAAGTCCAGCAGCAAGAACACCTCTGGCACTGGTAAATGAAGAATACCAGCTCTGAGATGAATCCGACTGCTCCAAAAGGGCCTCACAATCTTGGGCGATAGGATGCTGCTGCCCCTGCTCCTGGTTGAGACGCTGTTTCGGACTTGGCTGCGGTTCTGGCTCCGGGCCTGGAAAACATGCTCGGCTGGCAGCCATGCAAGCCCCGCGTTTGGCGCGATAGTCCTTGAAAGCTTCAATGAGTATGGGTCTTGAACAAGAACAGTCTTAGCTTTTTGGAAGAAGTGCCTTACCTCCAAGCATTCCATTATATCACCAACAACATGATGGGCCGTTTGTGGTGCAATCCCCTGGGAGATAAGGGAGCCAAATATGTGATTCGGGTGGAGCGAATGAAGGTCAGCGCCTTTCCACAACCAAACAAAGGTTTCGGGTCCATTCTTAAGCTCGACATTGCGGTTCTGAAGGTGCTCGAGAAGCCACTGCCGTACCCTACTAGAAGTGGCAAACTCGTTGGGGACATTTGTTTTGAGAATCTTAAGGTGGAGACTAGATTCGTTCGCCATACTTGTTGTTGTTACGGTGGTTTGATTCGTCTTGCCACATGCAGTACTCTACGTTGAAACGATGGTTACTGTGCACCTGCGATGTGTCTCTGTGGTTGTGTTGCAGGGTGATTGTTTCCTTTGGGCAGATATTGCCAGATGGCGATGTGCCCAAATGCTAGCTTCTAAAGTGGATATTTCAGATTGCTGACGGAATGCAATTTGGCCGAATGGGCGGGATGCCAGATGTATGCGGTGAATAGTTGTTATAATTGACACGTCAAAAGTGGAAGACACCTCACCGCCATGCTTGATTAGCCTCTCACAGCCATTTGCGCCGCGCTCAACTATCCACCCATCCACATTGAACCCTAAGAGAACCCCAGTTCCTTCGCATATGCATCACTACAGGCAGATGTGGCAACAGAACTAAGACAAAATTGTGCGTATTCGTCCATCACGAGGTGAAAGACAAATTCAGCTCATTTAGCGCGAACGATTCTCTTGAAAAATTGCTGCAATGACCATAATTCATAAAGCTCTTCAGCATTCAAATCAACAGGACCGACATATAAACCGACAGTTGCTTAATTGGGATCCAACTCGGTGATTACACTACAAGTCGGACAATGAAGTAGCTCTAAGATAAAAAGAAAATTTGAAAAAAGGGGTATTTCCCCAAACAACAAATAAAGCCTGGAGCATTTGTGTAAGGAGCTGAAGAGGACAATCGAGCAAGATTCCCTAAGATGTGAGACCTGCGGACTGTCAGGCTGATGTGATCCATTGACAAAAGCCTGGCGAGCTGAGGTGAGAGCAAATAATTAATTGCGGGCGAAGTTAAAGATGAGTGGGCTCATGCCGCACGCGAAGTCGTGCTCAGTGATGCCTCGATGCTTCTCAAAATCTGGTAACGCCATGAACGAGTGGTGGTCGATTCCTATTAAGGATCTGAGAAGCAGAGCCCCACTCACGTATGGAGGCGCTCGCAAATGAAACGTCATGTTGGTTTCTTACTCTCTTGCTTTCTCGTTTGTCTGTTGCAACTTCAGAAATAATAAAATCAGGACTTATACTATGCAATAAAACTACCTAAATCGAACCAACCAGCAAACGTTGATATTTTCTGATTTATGGGCTATGAGTAAACACTGAAATTTCCCTCTCCTAGTCCTAAAAAAGGAATGAATATTACTGTTTGTAAATAAGAAGAATCTTTCTCAAATCAGAGTGCTTTAATAAACTGAATAGCTTCACTTAATAACAGAAGATATCATTAGTTGGGCAACAGCTGCTGGAGACTTAATGTTCTTGCAAAAGCTACTGTTAAGACCATTCCCTTGATAAGACGGAATACCACGTTGCTAGAAAGCTACCATCGCTTGCTGTGACTAAAAGTCCCTTAGTGCTTAAGTCTACTGTAGCCCAAAATCTTAAGGCGTTAGCTCCGCTCTTGACAAGACCCAGAAACTGATGCTGCTCGTCGAGAACAGAGGCATCTCAGCCAAAGAGCCGACCACCCCTGTTGCCATTGATACCGTACCCTCTGTTTTGCTTCTTGGCACCCTGTTGTTCAAGCAATGCAATATTATATTTGCCGGTGTCTTGATGTACGTAACGACCGCCGAAATTTCCAATCACCCATGCCCTCTATATCCACGCATTCTTTTTGAACAAGCTCCTACCATCTGTAAGACGACTCCAACCCAAAAGCCACGGACAGGCTGTACTATGAGACTGCTTAGTGCAACTAGTTATATACATTGAGGCTACCCTGAGCCATAGCGAAGTGTTTCCTAAATTCGTATACAACGCAATGCCCCACGTGAGCAGACTAGTCGTTGACCAAGAAATGAATAAGTACAGAAGTAACGGCATGATGGCTGAGGCTTGCGGCCCGTGAGTCTTGAGTATTCTTGACAGAAACCTCATTACTACGCTCCTGCACCGTTGCATGAGTCTATTGCTAATGAAGAGACTTAGTACGTGTTGCCTGGTTGCGTGTGTACCCAGTCATTCTCAAACCTTTGCCAACCACCGTATTCGGGCTCACTCGCCATGAGAAGCTGGTGTACGACCATATCGTAGTATCCATCCTTCGGAGTCTTTCTGCCGCAAACATTGCCTCCCATCGCCACATTCAACAAGATCGTCATATCTCTTATAGGCCGAGTTCCAGGCGGAATATCCGCCTTCATCACTGGTCTTCCGTCAATATACCAGATCATCCTACCCTGGCCGGGTTGTCCACCTGGCTGCACCCATGCCAGGTCGTACCTCACAGGTCGATACTGCATATCAGATATCCTAGTCCCGAGAACACGATGTTTGTCTGCCTCATGATGCTGGCCCCAGTGAAGACACGAGTGATTCTCGCAGTCCCCGTTCCAGGTTTCAGCGATGTCGACTTCACCATCAGTCGGCCATGCAAACGGCTCCTGCGGAAGAAGCCAGAAAGCTGGCCAGATACCATCAGCACAGGGAGACAGAATCACGGCGGTCAAAACTCCCTGATCACGTGCCAGCGTCTGTTTGCTCACCAAACGGGCAGATGTATACTTCTGCTCGGGGTTAGGACAGCTATTGTTGGCAATGGCTCGAAGCACGAGCTTCCCATCCGGAGTGCTGTCCGAAAGCAATCAGCCAAAAGAACTCTGATTCTTGAAGACCTGAAAAACTCACTAGAAGACATTCTGCTGCTTGGCAGTATAATGCTGCAGCTCCTGGTTTCCCCAACCATCCGGCCCATTGCCAATCTTCCCGTCCCAGTCCTGAGTCACGGGCACATCAGGTCTGAACTGAGGTTGCCAGTAGATATGAGCAGGCTGTCCACCCATCAGTTGCTGCTGAGACGGTGGCGAAGCATATTGTTGATACTGCTGCTGGGAGGGCGGGGCTTGAGATTGTTGAGAGGTTTGAGACCCCGGCTCCGCAATCAGCTGCTCAACCTCATTCTTGAGACGTTTCAAGTGATCTTTCCAGCCCATGGTTTTGAGTCGAAAATCGCAACACAGATTGTTGAGATAATTGCGGAAAAAAGTTCTGGTGGTCACAGGAAAATCTCTGTGATCCTGCGTACATCAAGAGAGGGGCTGCTTAATTGATGAGACGATGCCGGCAACCGACTGGGTATGACGTCACCTGATCGGGTGGGTCGGTGGCTGAGCTGAGCTAAATCGCCAAGCGGAATGTTTGGTGTTTGAATTTCTTATCCACACCCAACAACACAACAAGACGTAGTCTGTATGTTAGTGTGCTGAAGTCTAGCTAGAAAAAGTATTCAAGTCTCTCTACAAGGCGATGAGACGGCTAGACACAACCACCTAACTTGTCTCGAGTCATATAATGCTGCGCCACATTCCGAATGTAAGGCTCCTTGACTGATGACATACCCCGCAAGGCGTTGAAGGTAGTGTTGCTAGAAGGCATTGTGTAATTGCCATCAACCATTTTTTATCTAACCTAAATGGGAATACGGTTTGTGGCAATTGTTTTCTTGAGGTTTTCACGGTTGCTATAAACGCCCAATGTAGTTGTCGTTGGCCATTTGCACTGCTCATATCCGCACGGTAACGAGGGCGCACGAGTAGCATTCCATCTAGGCGCAAGGATGGCTGCCTGCACCATGAAGTCGGCTTTCGCAGCGCCGTATAATTGCCCAAATCTATTTCACAGCGAGAGAGGATCATAAATCTGACTTGTTGAGATGCTTGATGTGACGCCTTCCACTTCGGTCGAAATGAACGGCATATGGAACAATGGTCCTGTGAAGGGATCAACAAGTAACGTGGCTAGAACCAGGAGCGAGGCACAGGAAGCCAGCAGTGTTATGCGATTCTGAGAAGGAGGTAGCCAAAAAGCCCCCCACTGGCCACGCGGGGCTTTTTCAAATAGCTAATCTTTTGTTTACCAACGCGGCTTTGTTAATTAAATCTAACGGGATATAGCCACAGATTGCACAGTTACGCCCCTTGAAGAACTCATACAGGGCTCAACAATTACAGATTAGCAGATGCAATATTATAGAAGTGCACCAATCGTTGCTGTAGGACATAGTAAGGCTCGAAAAGCTACTTCAAGATACGGATACTGCGTTTTGCTGACACCACCCACCCTGGTCAAGCAGCACGGCGATCCTACGCCAAATTGATTACCCATAAATCAAAATGTAAAATTTAAAGCTATGAATCAGTTAAACAAGGAGATCTTTGACTCGATGAGTCCTGCAGGTACACAATGCGAACATTACTGTACTAATCCCACCATTAACTGACCTATGTTTACGATGGTACCATTCTTAACAACGGTTCCTTGTAGAACCCGCAGGCTATTCTTAAGCTTTTTCATGTTTCTTTATGTTGGATTAGCTGGCATGATAAAGCCGCAAACAGTCATTAGATTGTTCTGATTAGATAGAAGTATCTTACGGTTTGACATTCAACAGTATTTCTCTATGCTGAGAGAGCGCTAATGCTAGGTGCTTGACACAGTAGTCGTGCGTACTGATGGTCTTTTCAATAGATCTGGGCTTCCAATTATTGAATAACTAAAAACAAGGCTGACACGCCAACCCATTTACTAAAATTGAACAAGTCTCAAGCATATCAGGCCTTTCTAGGAAAAGAAGCGGTCCAGAATGCCAATCAGAGTGGGACACAAAGACAACAGCGCAACTCCCTCGGAGTCACAGACGTTGAAGACTGGTACTTGGCAGAGCCTGATACCGTAAGCGGCGCCAGACCCCTAGCTGTGCTTCTACAGTTTCCGGCTAGTTCCAGCAGCGTGTATTGCCGGGCTCTTTGGTCGAACACGCCAGTGCATTCATTAGCGGCACCGCGTCTGTGACAAAGCCTCTATATTACCAAATTTACCTACCAGCGAGACTCGTTAACAAGGATTACCGATTCGTTACAGGAATCTCCGTAGCATCCTCTTTGGACCGGATGTTGCCGACCCTTCATTTCGGAGCTGACCATGACCAAATTTATGGCTCCAGCAGCTGTCTAACAGTCCGATGTACGCAGTGAAGACACTATTACCGCTGTTTTTCACGGCTAATATCGGCGCCTATGCCATTGAAATCTATCCGACGACAGTAAGCTGCTCTTCTAACGCAATGGCAAAGAAACCGCAATGGCGACGAAACCACAATACCGGTAATTGTGTAAGTTCTTAGGTCCATAAGGTTTGAGCTGCATAAAACGAGGCGGGACAGGCCTGGCTGTGAATGAGATATAGCTTGGGAAGGGGGTGATGGGGCGGGAGAAACAGTTCCTAACAACCCGAAGACGTTCTGAAAGATAGAACACATCGCAGCCAGCACAGAGATTTCATTATATGGTTCGCGCGGCGTAGGCGGAAGCAGGTTTTTGAGTTTTGCATGCTGACCCTCAGACATGGATTCATGTTGGACAGGCCGTACGGCAGAGCTCGGAGTGGGTGGGCACTGTGACTGGAATAAATTTTGAGCATCAGGCCTATTAGATGCGCTGTGAGGCATAAACGGAGAGACGTGGCGTAGTATAGTATTAGGGACGGTCAGGGCGAACATTCTACAAAGGGAGCTTCAATTTATTTTACAGGCCAAGAACTCATCGGAATCATCAAACGCTGTCTAAGTATATGCTAATGTCTATTGACAAGACAGGGCAGCAAGATATCACCAGTCTCATGCGACCATCTGACTTTGGTATACAAGGCGGAACACCCTGATTGCACCTAAATTGAATAAGAGCATTATCTGAAAAGTTTAACCGGGTAAGTTGTGAGAGCTTCGGGAAACCATCGGCCCGATTGGACGGCATATGCATAGCGCGCATATCCCTACAGCGACAGTCGCGAAAATTGCTAACGCTATGCATACCCCCCCACGTACTGATTAGTCATTCATAGTAGATAATGCCACAAGCGTGACGCAATGGGCTGAAGTGGGCCGCGGCTGAGAAATCAAATTGAAGCCTTGGTCTCCCTGGTCGTGACGCTGTGGTCACAATAATAAGTAGAGCGAAGCTCTGGAAACATATTCCGCTGGACGTCAGTTACTTTACCGATGGGGTACTCCGTTATTGGCCTTGCGCTTACGGCGCTGGCCATCTTCCTCGCCAAACGCAACCTTGCAGCTCAATCACGCAGGAGAGACAAGCGCCTCACACACACCAGTGAGCGCGTCCTCATTCTCGGAGCTTCCAGCGGCGTTGGTCGCGCTGTTGCCAAGCGGTATGCATCCCGTGGAGCGCGAGTTTGCGTCGTCGCACGACGAGCCGACGACATCGCCACTCTCTCTGAAGAGTGCGGGGAGAAGTGTATTTGGCACGCAGCTGATTTCAGCCATGTCGATGACCTGATCAGCCTAAGGGCCCGTCTCGAAGAGGAGTGGCAGGGCTTGGATACTCTACACATCTGCGCGGGTGTCTCTGCCCTACAGCCCATCATGGCTCTCACTGGGACCAACTCCTCCGAGGAGGATGCGGATGCAGCGGGGATTCAGAGGGCTGTCGATATTGCGGGACGTGCTGTGAAGGGTAACTTCAATGGACCACTCGCCTCAGCTATCACATTTGTCAGGATTGCTCCCGCTATACATCAGATACATTACTAATAGTGTTGTAGATTCCCATGCTGACGAGGACGTCCGAGTCACCATCAATTCTTCTCGTCTCTTCAGTTGCCGCGGTTATTCCGGCACCGACAAGGGCACTGTACGCAGCAACCAAAGCTTCATCCTTGTTGCTATTCCAGTCTTTGGCCATTGAACACCCTAAGATTGCTTTCGCCTTCATTCTCCCGGCGACTATCGAAGGGAACTTCCGAGCATCCGCGGTGGATTCTGGCACTGTCAGGGAAGATGACCCGAATAAGCACGGACTTAGGATCGACTATGTTGCAGAGAAATGTATTGATTCAGTTGATCGTGGTATTACTGGTAACGTCGTTCTGCCTAAATTTCCGTACGCTATTGCGCAGTATTTATATCTTCTCTGGCCTACTTTCATTGAGGCCCGGGCACGCAAGAAGTACAATTTCAAGGCATAGGGTGCCACCATACATTCGAGAAATCGATATCCTACCGGTCTATCTACTGAGACGGTGATGAGCTAGCGGTTTGGGCGTGCCGTAGAACATCTCCTATGTGTAGGAATACCACGGGATGTTATATCTGTTGTATGGTACCTGACTGCAGAATCATGGCTTTGGCTCAAGCCAGTGTCAACAGTAGGAAGTGAATTAGAAGAAGGGCATAGCATAATAGTATGATGAATGAAATGACTGCTATCATCATATGTTGTTTAAAGAATCAAGGAAAATGGAAAAAATAGCTATTTTGGTACAATTCCCCACGCCTGAAGCTGGCTTCTTAGAGAAGAGACCCGCGGCTGATGGTTGGGTTCCAGAAAATGACACGTCTGCAAATATGCCGAGATTGTTACATAGTGATAAGTCAACGCACCCACTTTTCGCCCACCCATCCTTTTCGCCCACCCTCACTACTGCGGCTTGCCAGATAACACAACTAGTTGAAGCATAACCTTTGAATGGACTGCACGCATAGCAAAGGAGGGATGTCAGATAAGAGTGACAAGTGGTTCTCCCCCCAGACTGCATCAGTGTATTGCTCTTTCAAATGACAGCGGAAGTAATGTAAGTTCTCATCCAGACAACGAGAAATAAATCGGTCTATCAGCGATAAACATGTAAATGCAGCGACAGTTATCCCTTCTTGTGAAAACAGGCCGGTCTATACTACTTTCATCTCAACAGCATTCTAGGCAGTTGAAATGATTGACAAGTCATCAAGTTCCAGAGCCGCCGTGGCTTGCATTAGCGGCTGCCCCTCCGATAAAGAAATTTCTCATCCACACATAGGTACTTAACCACACCAAGGGGCTGTTGGATTAGCGTTAAGGTGCAAGAGATCTCTGCACAACATGTAGAGAAAGCCACTAATAGCTCTATGTGGATCACCTGGCGATAAGATCACTCAAACAATTGGATTGGACTGGGGTCTGCTGCATTGGCCAAGCGAGCCTGCCTGCAGCCTGCCTGTAGCCTGCCTGTAGCCTGCCTATAGCCTGCCTATAGCCCTGCCGTCAGGCAAACAGTAGCAGTCTGCTTTGTACATCTTGTCCTCAAGATGTAGCGGCTTCGTTCAAATATGTACCCTATATGAAGGTCAGCATTGCTGAGCTCACATTGCCCCAATAATGGCGCCGTATCTACCACATTCATACCGCTACGAATCATGTAAATTGGAAGTTACACCACATCCGAGCTAGTTCCAAAAACCTATGCATTTCCACCTGCCATCTATCGCGAAGCGCATTCCTTGTTGCAATATCAGTGTTTCATTAAAGCCTGGCACCGTTTATAGGTCAGAGTATCGTCTAATTTACTGTTATCTAGGAAAGGTGGTGGAGGAAAGACTAGGCATGCTTTAGCCAGTCCATCGTCAGCTACGTCAGATAAATGTAACTGTGGTCTTCGGATAGGAAAAAAGGTGTAGAGCAGCAGGTAGGGATTTGAAGCTACGTACCAGGCCATGAATGCATCTGAGAAACCCGGTTCAGTAATCGAAACGTTCTACTTCTGGCCTCTCTCCTTCAGGCTTGGATAAATTATTCTTGAGTAGGCGTGAGTCATCATCATACAGGCAGCCGAAGCCACGCCACATGGGGTAAGGGTTCACCGCGAGTATTGGAACGGGGCATGGTTTCCTGCTCCCATTGAGGTGGTCTTTGCGATTAGTTTCTTTGGTTTCTAAACTAAGCAGAGTCTGGTCAGGGGTATAGAAACCTCTGCGACACAGAGGGACTTAGATTAGACATACACAATTAACACAGGAGCATCCTTTCTGCCTTTCGTGATGACCAACACCCTGATCACCTCTACACAAGAACGTTGAGAGCCTCTACTTTACCCATCGCATTTCGGCAAAGCCTGATCAAGACATATTTGACCTGATCAGGACAGCTGATTCGCGACAGGCTAAAGGCATCTTGTGTGGCTATAGGGGAGCTTGTGGTTGTTCACCGCACCGCACCGGTTTCTATAGCCCTGATCACCCTGCACGCCTCCGGTGTCAATAATCTAGGTAACTTACTGAGTGGCCAGTACTCACAGACTTGAGTTCTAACCACCTCGGAAAGGTCATCACAGTCGCTCGGGTGGTCATCGAATCCGTGCCCACTAACCACACTGAGCGAATGTGCCCTTGCCGATGCTGTTCCGCAGCCCTGTTGCCTACAATAATTATCACTGCATTGATGAGCAAATCTGACTCTCATACCCACTATACCCTGCCTCCCACTCAATACTTGACACGGGTCGTATTATAGCCAATAAATCTTGGGGGATTGCTTCCTTACTGCGCTCATTGGTTGGGGTTTCGGCGAAGTTGCCCCGGTTATTCCGGTGTTATGTCCTGCCTGAGAGCAAGTTGGTTAGAGCCAGGGGTTATGTTGACGTGGCGCTGCATGCTGCTTCAGAAGTTATCCTCCTAGCCCTGCGCCCTATTAACCTCGTGGATGTGATGTTCCATCACATAAGGCCATGAGTCCTCGAAATCAATCACGGGTATGAGTTGGCGTGCAATTAGGTCTCCTTACCACGATCTTAAAAATGCTAGAAGCTTACTCGCATGCAAGTGAACAGCTTAAAGAAACTGTTTATTGGAAGCGAAGAGAGTTTTCGGGCCCGTTGTTGCCACTCTGGTGCTGTGGGATTGTATGGCATTGCTCTCCTTATCGTTCACGTGCAGATCAGGGCAACACCGCCAACTATCCTTAGGTAAGATTTTGCTATACATAGACAGCATCAGAAGAACGAAGCTGTTTCATATCTCTGCATCTCTTTCTCAAATCAAAACCACACTTCCTCAGCCAATTGATATCCCTTCGCACTTAGCTCCGCTATAACGCGTTCAACAGTCTCTCAACCGTCCATTTTTGGCCTCTTAGTACATTCTCTAATATGCTTTACTGTTCAAGCACTTTCTGATGTACCATCGCTCGATTTATTCCTTAGACGATCAAGTGCGAGAAGTTTGATTTTGTGACTTGTGCAATGTAATAAGCTCAACACTAAAAGTCTCAACGGCGGTGATTGGGACATTTGTCTACGTCGATGGCGGCGAAGTCGCTCAGCTAGATACTGGTAGCAGAGCATCCCGATTTCGCTCATCAAATGGAGGTCAGTGTATCTGGTCGCTGCGAAACAAATTTCTAGGTAAAGATATTCACACGCGATTTCCATAGTCAATTCGACAATATCGATCGATCTCTCTAAATCTTGGTCAAGCGCCCATGTCTCGATGCGAACGATTCCCAAAGACTCCATCGCTTCTCCATCCAGCAGATGTAATAGTATCCGTCTATCTGGCTTTACTGGCTTATTGATCTTTTCACTAGCATCGCCGACCTTGGTCACTTGACTTGTGCAGTATGAAGATTTCTACTTCTAAGAAAACTTAGTGTGCAAATGCAGGTTCTTGGCTGCATGTTCACTTCACTATAAGTCTCCTCCTAGCCATCGGGATTCGAGGAAACAACCGTTTGATATGTCCGCGATGAATGACCATGTTGATTGTGTAATCCCCGTAGTCATCCGAATCAGTGTCTGAGGAGCTGGATTTGTCTGTTATCTGAGTTCTGAAACCCAAATCATTAGTCCTCTGATCCGGCTGTCTCTGGAATTCTCCTTCTGCGTCATTTGCCGCTTCATCTAATTTCAAGAAACCTAACGCACTTCCCATTTTCCCTACAAGAGAAGTAGCTTTTCTCGAACCTGAAGAAGATTTTCCTTCGCGGATGCCCTGGTCATCGAGATCACTAAACACTGCTTTGCTCTCAGAATTTTGAGATAAGAACAGATAAGCATCCACAACTGGAGCGGTGTGCCTGCGCAAGTTTGAGCACTCAGAAGCATTCAGAGTCTTGACCGACACGGCAGAAAGCTTTGGGAAATGATCAACCTGTCTCAACCCCTGTAAAGATCTCCTAAACGTTTCTTCCGACTCCCGAGGCTCGTTTGCTTGGTAATTTAAGGCTTCAGCAGCCCATACCACAGTTCTAACAGGGATCTCTGACTCTGCATGTGAGAGGTCGTCTCTGCCCAGGATAACATGCGCACAGCTTCGAACAGTCCGTTCCAACTTCTTGGGGATCTTTTCTAACCGTAGTCCCTTGATGTGACCAATTCGTTGAAAGACCTCATCAAATGGTTTTCTGGGGTCATCAACCCTCATTAGAGTTATAATGAAAGGCTGTAGTGAAGTGTTGTTGTCTTCAGGCGAGAAGAACACAACAATGGCCTCCCATCCTTCTTTCCCCATCAAGAGATTGCGAATGGGTCTTTGATCATACTCGTCCGGTAAGGTATCCATGCCGATGTTCGCCGTAAGGTGGTACTTGTCGTCGCCGACATTTATGGTCACCCGGCCTTCGTCAGGATGAAACGTCAAGCCACTGCGAACCGACCATGCTTCGACATGAAGATATTTCGAGAGTTGAAGTGCTGAGTTTTGCGGCATGTGATTGGCCAATGGCATAAGTTCGCCATTGTTATGTTCGAACCAAATGTTGACTTCCGGGTCTGGTATCACTACGCTGTCCGGAGTGCCAAAAGGTAGGCTCATAAACTCAATGCCTCCGCCACAAGATGTCCAAGACCAGGTTGGGAAGTCGGAACGCCTTCGAAGACTGTTCTGAGTCGAGTACCATGCTAAGCTGTATCCGAACATCGCTTGTTCTGAAGAGAACACGGCTTTTTTCAAAGGGCCAGGCGTTAAGCCATCTAAAGCGCTCAGACTGCCGGCAAATGGAATGCCCCATACCTGAGAATTGATTTCACAGCTGCCATCGTTGTATGCGCGAAGTGTGGCGGTTATGGCGTTTAGTGCATCGCTGTCGAAGGAAAGATCTCTCTGTGAGTACTGGGTGATATGCTCCCAAACTGAACTGCTGCGAGCGCCAACCTGACGGTTTGGGAACGCGCTCACTTTCAATGGGCTGGTGAGACTCTCACATGACTTGCTTTCT